TTTTTAATATAAAATATATATTTTTTAATATGGTGCTGAACCCAAATGAATTAAATATAGTAGAAGGATGAAGTATTTCATACTCAATAATTTTTTAAAAAATAAAATAAATATCAGAGTCAAATAAATAGCATATAACATCATTAATCCCTAATAGTTCATCTCCATTTTCGATTCTAAATTGAACATAAATAGGAAAATTCCACTTTGGGCTCATCACTCAAACTTACACTTTCGTATCCCTCCCTCAATATTTTAAATTAATCTTCAATGAGACGTGGCTACATTTATTTGGAATTTAGTTTTGATTCCTTTATCATGCTAAATTCACGATTTATATAAAAATATATTCATTTCGTCCATCTATATAGTTTCACAAGATTTTTTTTATTATAGTAAATTGCAAAATAATACTCCCTCCGTCCACAAACTAATGTTCTACTTTTTTATTTGGGACGCCCAACAACTATGGTCCTATTTTCTTTTTTAAACACAAATTTTACATTTTTACCATTCATTCGTTTATTTTTTTTCATTTCTATCATTCAATTAAGGACAAATTTGTTAATTTATAAAAAATAATCACCTAAAAAAATAGTGCAAATATACAATAGAAATTAGACGGAGGATGAATATACTAATTAGTAAATTTGCACATAATGACAAAATATAAAATATCATTGAATTAAGTGATGTCACCATTGAGATAATATTTGAGCAAATAGATGTACTGATTCAACTATTAATAGGCTATTCAGATAGAATAATCCTGAGTAAAAAGTGATATAATGCATATGAGATAGATAACATTATATATATATATTACAAAATATAGAGTATGTTTTTTTAACAATTTTGTTTTTAGATTTTTACTGTTTGGACTATCGTTTTCTGAAAAAAAAAATTTTTTTCTCACAAAATATCTCATCGTACATGATTTTAATAACAAACTTTTTTTCAAACCCATAAAAAAAAAAAAAAAAAAACACATTGAAAGTAAAAGCAAATCTTTTAAATAAGGAATGGGTGGATCTGGAAATGTATGTGATTTGAATAACAGTGGTTGTAATAATGGTGACAAATAAGGAAAAAGTGAAGCCACCACCACAGAACAGAACAGAACAGGTAGCTTTTACAAAATGGGATTTGCAAATCCAAATCAACAACAAGTTTTCCATAATACAAACAACCATAAAAAGCTTATTCACCTTTTCTTTTCTTTTCTTGTGCTGTTCATCATAACTTTTATTTATATAGATTTGTCCTCTTTTCATATAGACGGATATTTAGCAACTTGCTCTGATTATCTAAATCTAGATTTAGAACACAATTATATAATATTACAAAAGATTAACGAAAAAAATAAAACCCATAAAAAATAATTACATAAAGTTATAGGTAAAATATTCTTTTAAGAGCACTTTTATTAATTGTAAACTTCATTAAAATCAATGTTAATGTAGTCTAACACTAATGTAAGTAATTAACAAATAGCTACGAGTAATAAATAATTCAACTTGTCACAGGCCCAATCTGAATACGAGCCCACATTTTATTGGGCCAAAGTACTACCGCATAAAGCCCAGATCACGCCTTTAGTAGTTTGTTAACAGCCCAATAAGCGTCAACATATCCAATTACCTAAAATTCCTAATGTATATTTCGTTCCATGGGTTTAAAAAAAATTTAATTTGAATTTAATATTAAAAAATGTATGATAAAATATTTTATAAAAAAAAATATATAATCCAAATAGTAGAAACCTTACTAATAAAAATAAAATTACGTAGAGCGGGGGTATAATTAATACTCCCTCCGTCCAATTTATATTATTCTAAAGTATATTTGCATGATTTTTTAGGTGATTGTCTTTTTGTTATGAATTGACAAATTTGTCTTTAATTGTATGGTAAAGATTAAAAGTAATAAATGAATGATGGGTAAAAATGTAAAGTTTGTATTTAAAAAAAATAAAAAATAATAGTCGTTAAAAATTCCAAATAAAAAGGTAAAATATTAATTTGTAGAGGGAGAAAGCAGTAATAAATAATAATCGGGTGTGGGGAAGGTACAGCGGGGATCCGTACGGTGTACTTGGGAATAAGGGACAAAACTAGAGATGGGCCCCACATTTTGAACTATGGGGCCCACTTGGCGCGGGCCTTTCCACCCACACCCACACCCACACCCATTTCTATTTAAAAATTTATGTAGTATGTGTGTGTATTATTCTAGAATTATTGATAGATGGTAGTAAAAGTAGCAGTGAATAGGAATTTAATTTTGTGCATGGGGGAAATTATAATTATGTGATAGTGATGAATAAATTGAAGGGAAATGAGGGAACAAAAGAGGCAAGTAAGCAAGCAAGCAAGCAAACCCAGAATAATGGACCCCATGCATTAGCTGTTCCTGTACATACATGTACTGCAAGACTTTCACTTTCTGTGTAGTATGAATATTTATAGGGTATGTATCTATGCATGGGACTTAAATACGCTATTTTTAATTTTACTTCCAACATATATATGAATTTGCACTAATTATACATACACGCATGTTCCCGACTTTCTTTTCATGGGGAGGGGAGGGGAGGGTTGGGCGAAATTCAAATAAAGATCTCTTAAATATATATACATTATGGTACCTTAAGGAATATTATTTTTTTCTTTTAAAAAAATGAAAATTAATATATGTGCACATGATATACATGTAAAATAAAAAAAAGTTTTTTTAAACAAATATTATCTATAGTTGATTATAGCCGTGTGTTCTTTTCGCCGTTATAGAAGACCAATCTCATATATATATATATATATACATAAGACAAACTAAAATATATGAAATTTAATGAATGAATTCCAATTATTTCAGATAAATTCATCACCCGATTATATTAAATATTTGCATCATAATGAATATTTAAAATATCAAAGCGGATACATTCAAAATTCATACTAATTTTGAAGATTTAAAATTATATCGGATTTAATTTTGATGAAATCCTTTAAACTTTAATTTCTCCAACCAAATAGGACACTAAATATAGCAATGTTTATGTATATGAATGATCAAAAAATATAGACTAATTGTTCATGTACATTTTAAATGAAAGGATTTTTACATTGTTTATAATCAACAAATGTCATCTATCTCCTAAGTTCCTTTGTTTCACTCCAACTATTCTAGTTTTTCATCACCTAAGGTTTTTTTATTTCACTTAATAGGGCACCACCTACATGGCTAGAATGAGGATGTGTGGGTGGGTGGGTGAATAGCATGAAAAAAGATTTAAAAAATTAAATGAATGAGAGGATACGAATTAGTTCATTTGAACGAAAACTAAACCAAAGGCCAACAACGAGAAAAAAGCAGCATTTATAATATTGAAATGTGTGCGCACGTGCAGACATGTGTGCAAATCTGATGAGAATTCTGAATTGCCATATGCACACGTGCAGACATGTGTGTGTTTATTTGGACTTGGAGTGGAGAGAAAGTGAGTCCATGTGAATACGTATATACATATATATATATATACATTTATATAGTTTATATTGTTATTATCTCATACAGTATTTCTAAAACAAATAGAGAGTAAAAGTTAAAAAGATCCGCACCCAGAGTCATACACGTTCTTTTATTTTAATGGGTCGGATTAATTTGGTACATGCAAATTGCGAATTATAATAATTTATTAAAATTTGGTACACTATTTTCTTTTTTTTTGAAGATGTGGCAGTCAAACTGACTTCGAGGGTTTGACTGGCTACATACCATATGTGTTTTCTTGATCCTCTCTTTATATTTTTTTAAATGTAGTTACATAATTTAAAATTAATTATTTAATTTATGTTGATCTAATCTTGGAACTAACACCCAGAATATATGATCACTGTATAGAATAACACTAAATTCTGGAGGTTAGGGCTCACTTAATTTTTTTTTTTATAAGAGAAAGGACAAATAAAAATTCTAAACATTCAGTTTTCATCTCAGTCCGAACGCATCAAACTCAACTGAAAGATTGATGAAGATTATGGATGGACTATTAATCTACAATATATATATATATTTTTAAATATCGTATTAAATACTTTTTTTTTACCATTTTTAATTTTAAATTTTGTGACCTATAACAAACATTGGAATAAAATACAATTTCACTTGAGCAAACCTATCTAAAAAGAAAATCATGTTGTACTATTCTCAATAAAAAAAAATCAAATCAAAATACAATATAAACAAAAACCTAAATCTGACACTCATTTTCAAACCACAGCCCAACAATTCAATTCAGTAATAAAGAACTTATATCTAAATCTAAATTTGTAAGAATGTGATCATAAACTCATCTAATATAATGTAATCCCTCCCTCCCACCTAGTAGATTAGATCATGAGAAAGCTAGAATGTACTTGTATGAGGATGGACAGAGAGATAAATCATAAATGTATGCACATAAATGAGGGAAGAAAGAGAGGGGAATTGAAGTGAGTGAATGACATAGAGAGATAGGCTCATAGGTGGGGGAATAAAGAGAGAGAGAGAGAGAGAGAGAGAGAAGGGGGAGGGAGAAAGGGATAGGTGTCCAGTCCACCAAATGGAGAGGAAAAAGGAGATGGAAGGTGTACCCCGTTTTGTTATGAGCCTACAATGTGCCTCGCTGTCTTCCATGTGAACATGTATGTATGTATGCCAAGTGAATTAACTCAACACTCCTCTCCTCTCCTCTCTCTCCTACCCCCACCCTACATGATACTCACACTCGTACTCATACATTCCCCTCAATTCATTCTTGCTCACACTCACACTCACACTCATACTTTACACTCAAACTCAAACTCAAACTCCACGACAAATCTCTACAATATCACTTTTAATTCCTCCCTTCTTCTACTCTTAAATTCATTCATTCCAACTCACATACAGATAGTAGGGGAGGTGGAGGGAATTGAATCAACAGGCACATAAGAAAAAAAAGAAAAAAGAAAAAGAAGATGATGAATAATTACCTGTATGAGACTAACAATCAAGAATGCAGCAGTGGGTGTGAATCCGGCTGGACTGTCTACCTGGAGCATTCCTCCATCTCTGCATATGATGATCAAGAAAAGGGCAATAAAAATGGAGGAATGTCCACAGAGGAAAAGAGATTGAAGAAACACTTACAGGAGGAGGAAGAAGAAGAGGAGGATGAGGATTTGTCCATGGTTTCTGATGCATCATCAGGGCCTCCACATTTGCATGAGGAAGAAGGCTATGGTGGGAATGATACCAATGCCTGCTCTTACCACCAATTCCCAATTGATGAACCTTTCTCTGGAAATGCCTTTATCAAGAAGAAGAAGAAGAAGACGGAACATTATCGGCGCAGGGAGGTTCAGGATCACTCCTTCCTGCTTGATGACACTGCCAGCTCTCCCTTCCTAGGCTTCTCCAATGTATGATGATGTGTTCTTGTCAGCAGCATATATTTCAATCATCCCACTTGGATTCAATTCATGCCTTGTAATTGATCTGTTCTATTGTTGATGTTTGATTTCTGCAGAAGACAATAAGCCAGGCTTCAGCAGTGAAGAATGTATTGGAAATGGAATACTCACAGGGCTATTCTACTACTCAGTTTGAAGTATGATAAATTTTCTACTGAAGCCCTTTGAAATGGGAGTTTTCTTGAATATATACTAAAAGGTTTCATTTTCATAGATGAGGCAGCCATATCAGGAGCACCACTATGATTTCTTCCACTCTACACCTTCTGGAAAACAAATGCAGCAAAACCAGTTGAGTTCTTTTTCTATTTCTTGGTTCTTTCATATTTGGATCTAGAGTTACAGTGTATGTTTTGATAATGATTTGTTTGTCATATTTGGAAATCCTTTTAATCTTAATTTAATAATGTATTCTTAAGCAATTTGTGTAACTAGTGTTTTTCTTGCAACAGGTGGTTAGAAGGCAAGGGGTGGTGATATCTGGAAGAAGAAACGGAGGGGTGCATTTCCTAAAGGGAAGGAAATTAATTGAATCGCAAAAGAGCTTGTGTTTCCCTTTCTTGTTTTGTTCACTCTTCTTTTGTAGCTGCTAGTGCAGTGGGAAACAGCTAGAAGAGAGGGGAAAAAGCAAAAAAGAAAAAAAAAAGAAGAAGAAGAAGAGAGGAAAAAAAAAAAAAACTCTAGATTGTTTTTGTTTTGATGAAGATTAAGATTTATTGTCTACAATAATAATGGCAACAACTGAGCTATATATTTGTTTTTCTTGAGATTATTAAATCCTAAGGAGGCCCTCATGCTCCCTTTTGGTTCAGCATGGACAATCTCCAGGATTTGTCCCTTTTAAGTGTATTTCAAGAAAATATTAATTTGAAACAAGGATTCTTCATTAATAATTTGTCAGAGAAGCTAGATTTATTTAGTATCAAGCAACAATAATGGTCAAAGTAAGATGGTATAAAGTGGGCCAATTATGGATACATGCATGTATATCCAACCATGCTAGCAAGTGCTTATCCTGTAGCAAAGTATATTTAACAGGAAATGGGATTAATTATAATGTGGACAAGGACTAATAATTGTCTCTCTTCATATTAGTGTCCAGACAACAAGGATCCACCCTAAATAGTGACTCTAGTTCAGATAACAAAGTGAAACTTTTTGGAGATTTATAATGTAGGATGTAATAATGTGACCAGATGAGAGGAAAAGTTGTGATCCTAGGTGATGGGGAGTCAGAATAGAGCCAAAGCAATATGTTGGGATATTTCATGTGCATCTTTCAAAGTGCACAGATCCTGCCTGAGATCTTCCTGGCCTAATAAATAATCACAACATCCTCATATAATTTAATTTAATCTGCTACTTTGTTTTTTGGTGTCTTTTGGAAGCATTCTACAACCTAACAGAGTGACTTCACAATTTCAATCTAGTTCCTTACTAGCATTGCTGATGAGGGAGATATATATTTTCTACTATTTAACCTATTAAGTATAGGTCGTATTTGTTCCTATCAGCATTAGATTCGTGATGCTCGTATATATATAAAAATTCATACCTGGAAAATAAATTATTATGGAGAAAGGCTAATCAATCCACTTTATATAATAAAATTCATACCTGGAAAATAAATTATTATGGAGAAAGGCTAATCAATCCACTTTATAAAATCCTCCAACAAGGGCAGCACCCATTGTGTCCTATTTTGGATAATGAACCTGCGGTGAAACACATAATGAAAATTCAGTTCCAGCTAGAAATAAAAATAAAAAAAAATATAAAAAAGCAAAAAGAAAAAGAAACAACACATATAAAGAAATAAAAGAAACATGACAAACACATACAATATGGTATAGATGATAAGACTGTTCACTGCCTGCAGTAAATTATGTTGGATGGGATCAAAGGGGTATGGGGAAAAACATTTTTGTCCTACCAACAGCCACCAAATCAAATGCCTTCATTTACTTGTGAAACAGAGCAAAAAATCTGAACAATTATCTTTCCAATAGTCCAAATTAAATTTTCACCTAGGACTGTTCCCAATTCTCATGACAAACCCTCCTCTCTCTCTCTCTCTTACCCTCTCTCTACACAGCTGTAAATAATGGCTTCTACCTCTCACCTATGCAATTTTCCCTCTTTAAGACCTGTTTCTATTACTTATAACATCTGCTGTCCAACTGGTCCCACATGCATGTGTTTTGGATCAGTGTGGCTGAAAAACTGTACTAGGGTTCCAGCACTGGATCACACCAGTGCATTTGCTGGAGGACAGAAGCTAATACATTCAATATTTCCATCTGTCTTGCATCCTACAAACATTACTCTTCCCCCAACTTGCCATAAATTTCTAACGCTAGTAAGGGTAAGTGGTAATAAGCCCTAGCAGTTTAAGGTAAAGTACAGCACATTGACAACATCACCCCATATACATGGAAGAGTTAAAAGAGATGATAGCAACGCAATGATTACGATAATGATAATGGGATCAAGATGTAGAACTGTAGCTTCTTTTTTTTAGGGGAGGGAGAGATACCAATTCTAGTATGAGACAGCCTGTCACAGCATGATAAGGGATCATGGCAGGTATTAGGAGATCGATGACATGAGTGAGACAGGACCACAAATCAACTTGATTATGATTGAGCAAAGCAGAAAGCCAAAAGGGGATTGAATCAATTTAGATACAGTGCATGAGGAGGGATACCTCTCAGCAATCATCATCCATAATGCATGGGGTGAGTGAATACATATGGCCACCCCCATCCCATGTTCATAAATTGGAAATAATTTTGTTGTTTTGTTTGGTGGCGTGGGGCTTGAGATCCCACAATCATGAACTACTTTATTACAGCTGAATCTGCATTTCCACCCTTTTTTCCAATTCCCAATCAAGAATCAAATACCTGATGCAGGTAGAACAATTTGTTATGCAGCTTCTTAATCCATTTGGGTAAATTAACACAGAGGGAGGGAGGCTGTTTCTAAACTCCTCATACCTGAGTCCTGAAGCATCATAATCCAATTATTTTTCAGTAGAGTGATTGTTGCAGCCCTCCAACTAAACAGCATCACATAAATTTTTGCTATGGCCATTCCCGGTCTTGAAGTTGTTAACATGAATTAAGTTCCATCCATTAAATCTTGACTTTACCATAGTAGATGTTAAAAAGAAAAGGTAAGTGAAGTCAGGACTCAGGATTGAAGATATAGCTGGATACTTCTGAAAACCAAGAAGAGTAAAGGTTAGTCCAATTAAAGCACAAATATTCCAAAGAAATGAGTAATAACTCAAAATGCTAACGCCTGAATCCTTAGTGGTTCTACTCATACAACTTCCACTCATGAAACCCACAACTCCGGTCAAAGACTAGAAGAATAGATTAGAGTCTATAGTGTTTCTTTAGATGGCCGCTGGGAGGTCATGGTCAAACCCTACAACAATGAGCTAAGTCTTCACGTCTTCTTTTGCCATTCTTCCCATTAATCACAGGGAGCAGAGAGATGTTTCGTGACCTTTATAATTGCAGAATGGAGACAAGCTATTTACTTCTAATCATCAAATGTCAAAGCTAAACTTTCAAGATTGATATTCAAACCATTAGCGGTTAAGTAGTGCAAATGAGACAAGCTTGCCCTGCAACTTGCTTAGTGGAATTCCACCACCCTCTCACTATGGCTATTCGGTTGCTGCCCATAAATTATTTCTTCTTCCCAATGTAGTAGGAACCCTAAGTTGAAAGTACATATATATATATAAGGGAGTATTCTTCATTCTAATTTTAGATACTTCAGCTCACGTAGTTTGGTTGTCTAAATGGAGGATATCACATGATTCAAAAGTAACAGAGACTAGACATAACTTGCAACAGTAAAACCATGGTATATCCTTTTACAGCAAGAAGGAAATGGTATCAGCTGATGTAACAACATCCTTGTCTACGGCCACTCTTCCATTGCAACAACTTTCTTTCGGTTCCTGATAGTAACAATCAAGCTTCATATTACTATTAGTAAATTATTTTTTTTTGCAAAAACTACACCTTTTCAATTATCAATACTAGGTTGATGAGCAGAAAGATTTTTGAGTGCTGAAATCCTTGAGTTATATATCTTGGAAGTTCAGCAGCATTTAGTTTGTTTACCCCCATTTTCAGTACATAAATATAAATAGCACATTATGAAAGATGTCAGCAAGGTTCTACAGGTAAATAATTGATATTGACATGCATGGAGATGGAGATCATGAAAAACACAACACTTCTACCTTAGATAGTAAATGATGGTAATTGAATTATCATCTGACGCTTGTTTGGGATTTTTACGGTAGGTATAAAGGACATTGTAAAAGTCTGAACCATACACATTTTCCAAAATGAACTGGAACTGCCACTCGCAAAAGCTAAGAATAGAAATCCATACATGTAACGTAATTACTATTCACCTCAGTGCTGCTGGCCTACATTATTGAAGGTGCCAATCAGCATGAAGCATCAAAATAATGAAAGTATGTATATGCCTATAGTTCAAAGTTCAAAGTTCAAAGATAAGAGGATCATAAAAAACTCTGTTGTTGATGGTAAGATAAATTGATGATGAAATTTTCCATATGTTAATGAGAATTGTTATAGGCTTATGTAAACTGATATCATTAATAATCACCTCTTGGTGTGCACCTGGTGGCCACCCCTCGGAATCTCGAGTCCTCCACTCCAAATGTACGAGAAGATGGATGCCTGTTGAAATTCCAGGTTTTGCTGATTTCCTTTACTGTCGCATGATCGTACTGCCATCCAGACATACGCTGGAAAGGCAGAGCAGCGTTTCCACCAGTGATGGACAGCACATGAGGATTCTTCTCGAGCAATCTCTCTGATCCTACAAAATAATAGTAAATCATCACTTCAATTACATCCATTTTCACCTACTGAACGAGAAAGGTAAAAGCGCGCCATTTTAACGTCAAATACCATCCGCCTCCTTCCAGCTTCGCAACGAATACGTGAATCGTCCGATCAAAAAAAAAAAAAAAAAACGAATACGTGAATTGAATCAGCCTGAAACCGTACGCCTTTAAACCTAGGCTGATTGCTTAGAATACCTTCTGGTGATTCAGAAAATGGCGTGTGAAATTAGGAAGAAATTTGTATGGAAAAATACGGGAGAAACGCACGTCTCTTGCTACACTGATCTCCTGGCAGCGAGATCCCAATTTTTTTCAACAAACTGAAACTGCGCTATGAATGCCCATTCAGAAGAGCTTTTTCTCGCCGGTTCTCATTTTTATCAGTGCAGGTTTTTATATGAACATAGTGTGCATGTTTATCAATTCATTAGGATCCTTAACCATGGATTATCGTAGCAAACACTGACTTGACAGACAAGCGAAAAAAGAACACGTTTAACTGAATTCAAGCACGTATATATGATATATACACAAATACATACACACTGTACACAACTTACAAACCGTCACCACGAAAAAACGGCGAGCCGAAGAAGGAGCTGTTGAAGGTGCCGCCGCCGTTGGGGAAGAGAGTAAGCAAGCAAATGAGGAAGAGAACGCATCCCCAAGCAAATCGATCGTCTCCCAGCGGTGTGATCTCGTCCTTGGCCGGAATTTCCTCTCCTCCCCGGAAGAATGTCGCGAATAGCCCCCACGCCAGGCACAGCACGCTTCCGCTCAATCCTCCAATTCCCAAAAGTAGTGACGTGGCAAAAGATAATATATTGGCGGTGCTTCTGCCGAACATGGCTTGGGCGATGCGGCCGCCCTCGAGCCGTCCGCATGGGAGCAGGTTCAGTGACGTCACCACCATGCCTGTGCACGTCGATTTCATGAATAAATTCACTCAACTTGAATTAACCACCAAAATTCAAACCAAATTTGAGCCTCAACAAAGAATCCAACTTTCAAATAGCTCAACCAAGGTTAGGTATCAATTCAAATCGAGTATGTAAATTTACAGAAACAAATTTACAGAAACTTTGATGGATATCGATAATCATAGAAATTATTTTGAAATTTTAAAGATTCCTTTCCAACATTAACTGACCAAGAAGTCCGGCGAAGGCAAGAGGATCGCACGGGACGCCCACACCTTCGACTGCATACGGCAGCACATTGCCAAGATCGTCAGCATATGGGCCGATGACATATTGGATAAACGAAAGGAGTGGATTATTGTAAAAGAACTGAGGTCTTATGTACCTGCAAGTAAGTAAAAGATCAGATCGGGAAATCATAAAGCTCTACCATTCAAGGCCCCGGAAGTAGCAAGAAGACGACGAAGAGATTGCTTACATACAGTGCATTGTCGCCGCCATTAAAACTGCCATCAGCTACAAAAGCAGCAATGGCGAGGATCAATGATGTCAGATACGCAGTGGCTGTTCGGGCCACGGGGATATCGAACAGAGCCTTCTTATTCGGCAGTAGAGACTCGTAGTTATTCATGACGCCGAGGCACCCGGTCCAGTTCGATGGAACAAGAAAGGATGGGCTAAGTTTGACGCCGTAGCGAGCTGCTGTCACTCTCGTCGCAACCTGTAGGGCAGTAAATCAGAGTCGAAAATGAAAATTTTGATATGTACAAGAACTACACATTTTTTACATTAAAGATGAGAAATTTTGGCGCATACCTCGGATGCTAACAAAATGGTCAAAAATCCGGCAAACAAAGGTGCAACATTGGCCAAGTAGTCGTCGACAGTAGCATTAGGCTTGACGAAGAATCCACTTGTCAGAGCAATCGTCCCAAATGTTGTAACACATAAGGAAATCGCGCTAATGTAGCCCCAAGGCGTACTCAGTTTAGTAGACTCGAACTGGAGGTCCATTTCTGCCTTGGGTTGCACTACACAGGCCTTATTACAAATATGAGACACCAACAAATTAATACCTCCAACGGCCACAACAAAAGCATCGATGAAACGTAATAAATAAAGGCACAGAAGGCAACACCATGCTTCGCTGGCAACACCATGCTTCGCTTAAATACGTGTGCGTTGTAGTTTTACAATTATGTACAAGGAAAGTATAAGAGTAGATTTAGCTAGACCCAAAAACCTTAAGGGTGTGTTTAGTATAGATAAATGGGGATAGAAGAATAAAAATATCTCCATTTTCTTTGTTTGTTTGGTCAGAGAATTCAAATATAAGAAATCAATGATATCTCAATTTTCTCTTCCAAGTGCAAAAAAAAAAAGAAAAGAAGAAAAATGAAAATTTAAAACTGAAAATTGTGCAAGGTGTGTTCATTTATATATATATATATATATATCATTTTCAGTACTATTAAACTTTCACAATTTTCTTTAAAAATGCCCTATTTTAATTTTTTTAAAAAAACATTATATTCAAATTATTATTGAAACAATTTTTTTTTAAAAAAAAAATAAAATCACAAACTAAACAAACCAACAATATTTCTCTACTAATTTGAATTTCTTTTTTACTCAATTCATCGTCTACTATTGATCAATGCATTATCTATTTTTCAATTAACAATACATTATTGTCTTCTCCAAATAGCTTTATCAGACAGAAATCAATTCTCATTCTCATGTGAGTCTTTTCTCACTCGCTCTATTATCTATTGTCATTTCTCCGCAAAGCACACTAAAATGCAATATGTCTTCGATGTGAGACATTATGTTTCACATTTTTCTGATCATCTATTGATTTCATCAGACACTTGTAATATCCATATAAGAATCCTAACATTATTGAGTGAACATCACCGCCGATGCATCATACACTCTTATAATATATATATATATATATATGCAGAAATGAGCACCACCAATGTCCTAATATAGTTACAATTACCCAAGCATAGCACCGTATACGTAAAAGCATGAAACTAACTTCAAGAGGGGCTTCCAAAATATACCTGTTTCGTGATTTCATTAGCTTTCTCCTCCATAAACCAAACCACAACCTCCCTCCCCGCTGCCTCCGAAAGCTTCCTCTCCAATTTTGGAATCACTTCCTCAATTGGCTTCCTCAGGTTTCCAACAAATATCCCTCCATCACCAAATCTCCTAACATCAGTGGCGAAAAATGTATCGAAACCAAAACAGCTCTTCAACTGCAAATCACAGCAACTATTCAGCACAAAACATGGCTTCCTATGCAATCATTGAGAAGAATGATAGTAATAAGAAGAGATGGCAACCTTGTTGAGATCGAGAGCCTTGAAGGTCTCCTCCGCCATCTCCAGACGCTCTTTCTCTCGGCTCACATTGGCGCGAACCAAATTGTTGAAGAATCCGATTATCGGATTGTCGCTTCTTTCTCGATCGAGCTCCTTCAGCTTCCTGTCAGCTCGTTTCTTCTCGAGCTTTATGGCGGCCTCGATCGACGGATTCCCCATGAATTTCTTAAACTCCTCGTCGGTTTTCCAATCCAGTTCCTGCACTCTATCATTCTCCGAATCCTCCTTGGCCTCGTCGGACACGCTCGGCCCATTTTCCTCGCCCTTTGGCTCCTCCACCGCCACTGAAGAAGACGACGGCGACTCCCGAGGAGAAGACGGTTCGTTTGTATTCTCTGCTTTAACACAGAAACTCAACCTTTGGAACGAATATCTCGCCCTGTGGCCAAATTGATGCTTTGAGAAGGAAGAACAGTACGATATGCGAAGTGGGGATTTGTCGATCGAAGAAGGGCACGGGACTGAAGCGAAGAGAGAGGACGCCATTGGAGGGGAAACAAAAACAGCTCTTGAAATGAGTTCATTCTGTGAACTGCGATTAATGACCTTTTTAGGGAAGATCAAGAGATGTCTAGAACATTGGAGGAGCGTCCGGAATAGGGACGATCGAAGAGTGCCGTTTTGTCACAAAATAAGGAATTTGGAATTTTGGATTTTCACAGTGACTGTGATCGAAGCGAACCCCACGTACAGATCGACTCCCAGAATCAATGGGAAGGCGCCAGCGCGCAGTGGAGTCAAAAGTTTAGTGGGGATTGAAATTGTGTGGCGGAGGAATTTTGGAGATCTGGAGAATTATCGGAATTAGGGTTTTCAAAAATGCGGGGAAATTGAAACGGGATGGGTGAGTTCATGAACATGTTTCTTGTAGCTCTCCAAGTACTTGTATATATATTTTTATAGCCCCAAATCTCAATTTATTGTTTAGACTACCAAATAATTTTTCTCATAAAATTTTATATCATATTTATTTTAATATTAAATTTAAATTCAAAATTTTCAAACTTAATCAAAATAAACACACCCTTAGTGTTCCTGGTTTGAAATTAATTTGTATTGTATAACATACATTGTGATACATAAATTTATATAATATATATTATATTAACATTTGCTTTTATGTGTTGTATATTATATTATATTAAACTGAAACAATAATATATTACGATTGAATCAAATAAATATTATGTTATTTGACTCAATCAATACTTTAACAAAAATTATATTTGTAAACAAAGTTAAGGGTGTATTTGGTTGTTGCTTTGCAACCTTTTGGGATTAATATTGATAAAAAATAGTACCATAATAATAGTTTTTAAACGAATCTAAGCTATTATGAATACGAATAAAAACTCGGATATGGCAGTGTGAGAAGTAAATATATGACCCTGAAATCACAAGTTTAAACTCCACGTCTCCAGGTCCACGAATTTTTATATTATAAAAGTAATAATAATAATAATAAATAAATAAATAATACTAAATTTCTCACTATGTTGATTGAAAGACTATAGTTATAGTCAACTTCTTATTCCAAAAGTCGGGCTTGTTTAGATTTATGGGAGTTTGAAAAGATTTCAAATATAAAAAGGATTAGTATTTTATGTCATATTTTGTGGAAAAGAATATATTTAATATGATATTTTTAAAAATTAAATAATATAAAAAATTTCAAAGTTTAATAGGTTTCAATCTTAATCTAATCGGTTAAACATACAATGCAATAACTTTAAACATACGAGTGTGCAGTTACGATGGTGTATATTTTGAAAAAAAAAATATTTTTTTAAAAATATTAATATATTACATATATTTATTATTTTTATAATTTTTGCCCAATTCTTCATACCTAATAAAAAACTTCTCCACTAAATTATATCACAAAACAAACCAATTCTACTGTTATTTATACCAATAATAGACAACATTAATCTATTTATTTCTTATACAGTTGGATTTCAATTTAACAACAAAGTGACTACTTATCTGATAATTATTTTCAAATTTTAAATATTTCACTAAATATGTGGCTATCTAATTTGTTTGGGAAAAAAATAATTTTGTTTCAATATAATCAAAATTTATCAATTTTGATCAAATGTACAAAATTCATCAATTTTAGTTTCAATATAAACAATTTTAATCAATTTTGGTTTCACAGTTAAAAAATTATCGGAAATTGCTAACTTGGACATAACTGAGGTGACGTAGCAATTGTTTGGAAAGTACACGGACATGTACAATTATATACGGTCATGTTGTTACACGACTATACATATTTCAGTGTATATTATACATGATCATATTGTTATGTACAATTATACATACACAATCATGTTATTATATGACCATATTATTACACAACTAAAATTGATTTTTTCCGAATTTGTTTACAACAAAAATTCCAGCCGACATTTATATTAAAATAGAATACATGATCATTACTATGAGTGTTTTTGTTTGGAAATTGGATTTTAAATACACTGTTCATATAATTTTTTACCCTCAAAAATATTAAATTAAACACATATTTATATTATATTATACAATTATTTAAATTCAAAATTTTTACTATTTAAATTTCAAACTAAAAATTTAGAACCTAGATAAAAACACGGTATATATTCATGGAAGCGAGGTATAAAAGCGAGGTATATATACACAGACCCAGTCAGTCACGTATACGGTCGGTATGCCCTAATTGCGACGTCTTTCTCGATACCCACGTAACTTATCCGGATAATCCGGAGTTCGTTGCTCCACTTCCACCGCCATCCGCCACCGACGACCGAATCCCAAGCGATGAAGCTCAGGTTCAGATCGATTCAATCCAACCAAACCTTCAAGATCGAGGTACCGAATTCCTGCACGCTGCCTCATCTCAAGCAAATCCTCTCTCAAATCTCCGATTCGCCCCCTCTGGCTTCGATCCGCCTCTCGCTCAACCGGAAGGACGAGCTCCGATCGGACGGAGAAGAATCGCTCCAATCCCTAGGTATTACTTCCGGCGACCTAATTTTCTTCTCCATCGAACAGCACGCGGTCGAAATAAGTTCGCCATCCCAAAATACCCTTCCCCAGAGAGGCGAATCATCTGCTCTGGAATCGCAGAATTCGCTCCCTAATCCGTGCTCGAATTCCCCGAACGCTCTTCCCGGGGCCAGGATTTTGGATTCTGTGATGAATACCTTGGGAAATGATGCTCGGATGGAGGAAGTCGAGAGGCAAGGTAATGGAATTAACCCTAATTCCTATCCGAACTCATCGCATGCTGCTGAGAACGCACATTCAGTACCTGATTATTTGAGAAAATTCTTCACCGAAGAGCTAGGCGACTGCGAAACCGATCGCAAGTTGCTCGCGATGGCAATCCACGCAGTTATGTTGGATTCGGGTTTCGTATGCTTCGATCGGAATTCAAACAAGCCGATCACAACACGCCAACTCCACAACAGCTGGTCATCGAATCTGCTAGGAACGTCTCTGCACTACACTCTTCCAGTAATCCTCAATTCCCAGAGCAGCAGCCATGGCTTCAAAACCTCAATTCTGAAATTCCAGAGTTTAGGGAAAAAGTTCACCACACTCTACGGAACAATAGGAACCAATTCCGAAAGCACTCATCGCGTGCATTTCAACGAGGATCGACTGATTCCCTCTCTGAATGCTTTGTGGGCAAATTGTGGCGAACCAGAGGTCATCAAGGAAGTGCTCAGCTTCTGGAGATCCATGAAGGATAACCTCGCTCTGCCATTGCTGATCGATTTATGCACCGACGCTGGTTTACAGCTCCCACCATGCTTCACGCAGCTCGGAGCTGATCTCAAGTTGAAAATACTGGAATCCCTGCAGGGCTCCGACATAGCCAGAGTCTGCTGCGTCTGCTCGGAGCTCCAACAATTAGGTTCAAACGACGATTTATGGAAGCTCAAGTTATCCGAGGAGTTCGGGGTGAGGACAAAGGAGCCGTACTCGACATGGAAAGAGGCATTTGCGACAACAATGAGGAATAGGCAAAACGTTGCCCCATCTCCTTTCTGGCGATCAATGGTTGCTTACTATCCCCGCGTCATGAGAATGCAGCAGAACCCATTCATGGTTCAAAGGGTGCCGCGGATGATCTCGGCAGATGAGTATGAGCTGTCCCACCGGCCGGGCGGACGAGAGGATATGGAGGGTCGGCTACGGTTTGATGATTGGTTCAATCGGCGGCGGATGAATTTGGCGCCGTGCTGTAACTTGGGAAGGAGGTTTGCCTGATCGGAGATCTTTTTGCTGCTTCAATGTGATAGGACTTTTGTGGAGCTCCATGGATGGATTCTTGAGCTCATCTATGAGGTTTGAATGCAGGGAAGTTTACGTTAGCCTTTAAATTTGATGGGTTTTATTTTTATTTTTATACTTTTTTATTTTGTTGTGTATATTTAGGTAGATTTTGTGTTTTGCTGCTTCCTAATTCCTGTGTCTTGTCTTTTATGTGATGGGGACATCAAAGTGGATATTCTTGTTTTGGATGCAGTGAGAATGAAAAATAAATTTTGAAATATACCTCGAAATGGGAGAAAACATGGAGGTTTTACGACAATACATATATATATATATATTGAGATTTTACATACAAATAGAGCTAACCAATTGCATTTATAGTCTCGGATGAATAAGGGTTCGTTTGGTTGTGGTCTTGTGGAACGGCAATGGAATGAATAATGTGATTTCAATTTGAGATGACAACCAAACAAAGGTTAAAGTATGTTCTTTGTGGATTTTAGCAAGTACTTTTATTATTTATATATATATTTTTTAAAAAATATTAAATCAAACAAAGTACTACTAAAAAGAGGCCGTATATACACAACTTTCAAATTTCTCTTTAAAAAATTTAAGTAGAGTTCATAGCCTTTTACTGTAATACAGATACTCTAAAACACATTATATGAAATGCTAATTGTTCATGCACGAGTTTAATTGTCAGTCTTTTATAATTAGTAATTAATTAATATAATTAAAATTTTAAAAATTATAAATTAAAATTTTAAAAATAAAATTAAAGTGTATAATATTTTTGAAGGAAGGAATATTATACTAGTCTCGGTTTTGAAGATAATATGTTCATATATAACAAAACAATTATATTATTACTAAAAAAACAAGTTAAAAATAACCTTTTTTTGGTATTATTAGTACTATTATTTACTTAAAAAATAAAAAAGTATCAATGAAATAGTATAAATTTGTGGATCAAAAAGTTAACATGACTATGGGCTCCCTTAAGTCCAATTCCAATTCCAGTCCTCAAATACTTTGGCAGCATTCCCAACTGAATGGAGAAAACCTTCACCGTCGATTCAACTGCGGTACATCGATATACCCGCGGAGAATCCAAGCTCCTCCTTCAGGCGCTATGGCGGCGATCTCCTTCACTCTTCATACGCAGCCTCCTCCTCAAACTCTCTCTTCTCATCGCCTTATCGACGGTCGTCTCTCCGGCTCCACCGCTCTTCAGTTAGGTCGCAATGATTCAAGCACCGCAAGTATCTGTCTCCAGGTCGAAATCTGTCCTTGACCATGTTCTTTAACTTTAATTTTAATCGTGCTTCGATTTCAACTTCTGTGACTAATTGACTGGTGATTTGCATAGAAAGGGAGAGAATGGATCCATGAACCACGCGCGTGGAGTGTGAATGCTCGGAGTGGCATGGTAATGGGTGATTACGGCGACGAAATTGACGACGATGATGACGACGATGACGATGAGGAAGAAGACGAAGACAGGAGTTTGGACCTTTTGATTAAGTTTGTTGAGAATGTGTTCCGAAAGGTGTCTAAAAGAGCACGGAAGGCTGTCAAATCTGTTTTGCCCGTTCCCATCTCCACCAGATTAGTAAGAAAAGTTTATCTTAGCTTTCAATTTGGGAATTTTTACTCCATGGATGAAATAGTAGTACTGCAAAGACGAAAAATAACAATATTGAAATCAGTATATCCACCTATCATTCTCTGCTCTGAGCTATTAATTAGCTCCAAGAAGTATTCACTTTGTTTCTGAAATTTGAAGCGCTCCTTGTTCTTCCAATGTAGGTTGGATTTGCTGTGAACGGAACAATAATCCTGACGTTCTTGTGGGTTTTGAAAGCTTTCCTTCAGGTAATGCTTTTCTATCTTTAATGCTTTTTCTGTTTTTTCTTTCAATTGAAATCACGCTCATTTAGACATTATAATGTGCGTCTTTGTATTGAGATTGTGGTTTCGATCAAATGGGTAACTAAGCTAAACTTGATGATAAAATTTCACATTGTCTTTACAGAAGTTGTTAGTGGCTATCTGTTCTATCCTAAACTTACTCTAGATTCGGGAAATCGGGATGCTCATTTACTCAGCTCTGTCAGTGCATTTCATACTTTCGGTATTATTTAGCTGCAAATGATAGGATGTGAAGCTAACAGTGGGTTTAGTTTTAGGTTTGTTCATCCATCTTTATTTTACGATCTTATGGACCTCACATTTTTCTATTTAATTTTTGTTCAATTTCTCTCTTTCCTTGTCGACAGGTTAGTTTATTAAATACCTAAGTTTGTTCTCTTCCACCTGTTTGGCTTGACGGAATAAAAACCAACCGATAGTTAAATAATCCGTAAATGATGTTACGATGAGTTTATAAGCTCCGGATATTTAAGTGCGTGCCATCTTTGAGTTGTAAAATATTGGGATAGCGAAATGAGATCAAGGGTTTTTGTCTCCTTTCTTACCTGTTATTTTCTGTCTTTCCAATATAATTTCGGGTTATGAGCATTCTAATCTATACAAGCTTTTGTCTGCCAAATTGTAATGCATTCTTTTATGAACTTTATGGACATTCATGATGTCTCTTTGTTAGTTTCATGGTTACTTTCTTCATCGGACAAACTCATTCCAATATTTGTGGCCTATCTTAATCTTCCCGTATAACTTCCAAGCTCATTTATTTGGTAGAACAAGGATTTGAACAACTGTTTGATGAATTTCCTAGTTGCATTTTTTAGTAGTAGTAAACACGAACAATCTTGCTAAAAAAATCACCGTCGAATGTGCCTCTATCTGCCTGCCCACATATATATACCTAGTTGAGCATTGTAACTAATGGATAACCAGTTTTGCTACAATGCTTTGGAAATCAAGAATGGATTTGCCATTGGTTTTATGGTCAAATTGTTCAATTTATGCTGCATCATTGCCATTGTTGATTGTTGATTGATAAGTCCCACATTTCTTTCTCTCTTCATCTAAAACTTTTGCTATATTTTCTCACACAGATACTTCCCATTAGAGTTTATGTTTGCCATATGTGTTGAAGTTTCTCTTACTAGACCAGAAATGTAGTAGTAAATATCCAAATTGCTCCGATGCCATTTCAGGTAATCTGCACCCTCGGCAGTGTGGTGTTCGCCAGCATATTACTCATCCGTGGCATATGGACCGGGATCTCCTACTTCCAAGACAGCCGTAGCTTCCGGGGGGACGATGATGATACCCAACCATGGGCTAGCAGCCAGCCTGCCTTGTGAATTATTATTATTCCGAAAGATCCAAAAGTCGAAACACGCACAAGCATTAAGGCCAAGAATTTGAAGTAACACTGTAGATCACAACCATGGGTCATCAAATCTGAAAGGTTTGCTCAGGTTCGTTTACAGAATAGATAGAGATTTGATGAAAGCATTGAAAGTGAAAGGTTCATGTGAATTATTTAACAATTATCTGCAATAATAATAATAATAATAATAATAATAATAATAATAATAATATACCCTTTGATTCCACCATTAATGTTTTTAAGCACCCTGTGAGGATGATGTTCTATTGTAGAAACCAGCAAGAGTACTTGAATAAGTGGAAATACATCAGCAAAACAAAGAAGTTGTTCACTTTCCTATGGATTGGATGGATGCTCTTCAGTTGATTGGAGGAGCTGTGTCGTATATCCTCTCCTCATCGAGTAGCTCGTAGGGGTCGATATATTGAGGCGGCGCCCTCGTACTTGTACTACCATCGTGCACGAATTCAGGTCCGAAGTACTGGATCATACAACAGTTTGTTTACTATGTGATGAGATATGATCTGATCTGGTCTGATCAATGTGTATACTACAGAAGAAATGAAGGTAGAGAAAAATGTCGGAAGTTACCAGATACAGAGCAGAGAAGGAAGCAACAGTGACAAGTATCAATGGCCAGAAGCCAAGAAAGAACGTCCCTCCCAGCGTCAGCAACAGCTTCGCTCGCGGGATCAAGCCCTGAATAAAGAATGGATTTGGAGTAAAGTTGCATTGATCTTCAAGCAATTAGTTCAGGTAAATAGGATTTTTAGAAGATTCTCACCTCTAAGCCTTCGCTGTTGAGTGCCATGGACTTCTCCCTTTGGCCTGATATGTTGGTTTCGCCATCTGTTGTGACTCCATTTCTTCTAGAGTAATTCCATCCTCCGTCTTCTTCTCTGTACTTTGTTCCTGTGCTTCTGCTTTTATCCTCGGCTGATGAATCGCCTGTCATCCCGCGTCTCCTCAGCTCTTTCGAAAATAAAGACTCTGGAGGTTCTTCCCCTGCATTATTGAACCACACTGATTCACATCTCACATCCACCTGATGTTGCGGCAGAAAGGTAGAGAAATATAGCTCATAAGAAATGAAGGATGAATTCGTAACTGCAGATATCACAATGGCGTATCGAACACCAGCTGTAAAAATCCTAACGTGGTTGGTTACAGGCAATCCATGTATGGCTTAAGAATTTCAAGTCAGGAATGGACAGTCTATAATGAATGATTACTCGTTCATGGTTAAATTTGTTGCACAGCCATAGTCAGCTGTGTATGAAGCTAGAATTCGACTTAAGCCTCTATACAGAAAAATTCCTAATGCTCTGGTTCAATTTTAATTGACATTGAAATCCTCAATGAGCATGGGCAGGAGTATATAGCCAGCACATGACGAGTGTTTCTTATTTATCGCAACATATTTGAGAATTTCGACCGAATTGGATGCTATTTTGCTGTTACCGGTAAGTTCCATGCTCTCTCTATCTCTCTCTGTTTTTCATATGTTCGTAACTGCAAGTACCTCCTTATAACCGTCCAGAATCTGGCAAATTCCTATGGATCGTGCCTTGTTACCGTACTGAAAATGAGCAGCAAAGCATACCGAAAAAAATTGGGAGGTTAAGCAACTACAGCTCTGCTTACGATTGCTTTGATTGTCGCCGCTTTCACGTTCACAGGAAACTCGAAACCTCCGACGATCGAGTGCAGTTCCTGATTTCTGAAGCCTGACGAGCCTTCTCCTCACCGACGCCTTCGATTCCGAGCCGAAACACCCGAGCTTTGCCTGCGGACTCGATTTCAGCAGCTGAAGGCAAGCCATTGCGATTTTGAGAGAATCAAACCGTTTATCTTCGGGAACGATGAAATGGAATGGCTCGCGGTTTAACAGAGTAGTATCAGCGGTGAAGGGAATTCAACCACGGAACTGGAAAACGGTGGCGTGAAGTTTTGTTTGATCAAAGAGTGGCGTAGAGCCCGAGTTGGTGGTGACCGTTGGGCCCAGCGCATTCTAGAACGACCACGCTATCACGGGCTAGTTTGCGCGAGATTTTGTGGCCAGTAGATTGTGGAGGGAGCTTAATCGATTAGAACCATCGGATGATGGAACTTTGCGTGGCAGCATCACAACCGCACGTTACACCAGCACGGGCAAGTTTATAATACTGGAAAAAAAAAATTATATAATACAAAATATTATATATATTTTAATTTTAAATATTATATAATAATAAAATAATAATATATTTTTTCCACACCTCTAAAATATTTAAAATTAAAACACTAAATGTTGTGTTATTTAGTGGATTTTACCAATTTTACTATTTAAATTCTTTTTTTTTAAATATCAAATTAAATATTTATTTTTTATCTTTTAGTTAATTTATATACAAAATTATTTGTGTTAGATGTTGCTTGGCAATTTTTTTTTTTTATTATTATTTTTTTTTCATGACGTAAGAACTTATAAGTTACAATAGGTGAATCATCTGTGACAGGTGACTTAAGGCGTCGGGGGTGAACCCATGACCTCACGATCATATGTCCAACTCTGATGTCACCGGACCATCCGTTACGAGACTACTACTGTTGCTTCTTATTTTTCCAAAGAAAGGAAATGAAGGGATTATGTTATGGCTCTTCAACATGACATGGAGAATTGAACATGGCAATAATAGTCCAGGTGGCATTCAGATTTGTTCGGATGTACGTATGTTACACATGTTTCTTAATAAACCCAATATACATATAATTATTGATATAAATTATTATATAACACCTTTTAACATTCAATTGCTTGATTTTTCTTTATTTTTTATGAGTATAGAATGTTGGAGCGACTGAAAAAGTGTGCATTTATTTATTTTACAAGGAATAAAGTTACAACGTAGTTTCACATTATCGGAATTGATGCTTAAATGTTTTCCATGAGTTGGTAATAGCTACCATGGATGCGCATTTGATTTATAGTTAGCAAAATGGTGTATATAAGGTTAATTCGATAGAAAAATCTTAAATCGGATTGTCCGAGGTGATCTACCAGTTTCGTTTAATTTGAGCATTGCATTATTCATGCATAATGATGCACTATATGATATTTGTTTCTGTATTACTACTTTCTTGAATTCTCAATATTTTTATAAGTTACTATCCGGGATGTGGGGACTACTTGTTAAATTAATGATTGTAAAATTATTTTTCAGAAATTTCAAAAATTGCACATTATATTATTCATAGGGATAGCCTAGTGGTGTGGTGTGAGTTGAACTTATGATCGTAGAGTTATGGGGTCTCTAGGTCCATTTCATGCACATGGTTCGTTTAGTGTGACTTACAGTGGCGGAGCCAGAATTGTTCCACTGAGGGGGCTAGAGGTTTAGTTGAGGTCGAAAAATCAGATATTTTTATTATTTTGAAGAAAATTGATAGTAAATATATATATATTGAATGTATTAAATCAATATAAAAATATTAATTTGGTAAAAAATGATCAAATATGAACGGACAAACGATCTATAAAACTAATAATACAATCGACGTAATGACGGGGACGACAGCTCGGGGAGCTCAGGACTCCCCAAGCCCTTATATGGCTCCGCCACGGGTATCTTGCCTTGTCAGACTTGGTTTACACGGAATTAAGTTATGCCAAGGACTTACCGAAAGGACACATAATATGACTTATCTTGTTGTTAAACTTGAATTGTCTATTATTGTTATTTAAAAAAATATCAAAACCAATTTTTTATTATATAATATTAAAATTTAAAACATCATTCAATAAATAAATATTAAACCGTTTATTCAAAATTCCTATTTCCACCCTAAATTTCATTCTATTTTTCATCATAGATTTAATTCCAAAACATACATTCAGACTCGTTTGTACTCCCTTAATTCCATATTTATATATCCATTTGTTTTTTTTCAGAGTTTTAGAAATATTAGTATTATATTGAGATAATATAGAAATAAAGGTAAAAAAATTAAATTAATCCTATGACATTTATGTAATATATTGAAATTTGGAAGGATATTTGTAATCTTAAATAGATAGTACAATTACTAAAAAAAAAATAGATACTTTGTTATGAGATGACCAAAATAGATAGATTATTAAGGAATAGAAATAATATTTTTGTAATATATAATAATATATGGTAGTATCAAATAATATAATATGATTTTGTCCATATATTAAACCTAGTAAATATATTAGTATTACGTGTATATTATACATTTTGTAGGGTTCATGATTCATATTTCACATTTTAAAAAGTATCTTAATAATCACAGTAATAAGATATTTTGAATCAAAATTAAAGAATTGTAACATTAATGTGATACTTGATTATTTATTTATTTATTTATTTTAAAAAAACAGTGTTTAGAATTATTTTTCAGATTTTAAATTTTAGTTTTTTAAAATGAAATAGTTTAATGCAACGGCTCCTTATTGAATATGATATAGTAGTATTTTTTTTAAATAAAATTTTGAAAATATTTTCTAAATTTGTATTTAGGGGCTGTTTGGTTCAAGAATTTGATGGGATTCCATGGGATTTGGATTTTAAAATTGAAATCCATGTTTGGTTAATAAAAAGAAGGTGAAATTTAAAATAATAGGATTTGAAAAAAAGGGTCTAAAATCCTACAAATAAAGGATTTTTTTTGTAATGGGAATACCCAGTTACGTTTAAATCCCATTCTTGAAATTTTAATTTTTACATTTATATCCTCTTATAAAGAAATAATAGTATTATATTTATATAAAAAATTAAATAATTTTAACATTAATTATTATTTGAATTATATACTTAATTAAATTTATATTATTTTTTATTGTACAATTTTTTTTAAATAAATTAATAAATTCATTGTTTAAATTATTATGATTATAAATTTTATTTGAATTATAAAATTATAGGGACGATCATAAGTCGGGTTCAGTCGGAACTGATATTCATCCCAAATATATATTGTTAAATCCGATATTCAAATTAGATCTGATTATACTAGATCCCACCGAGATTATACCCGGGAAGACTTGATGAATCCAAAAAATCCATTTTTTTTACAATTCTTAAATTTTAATTTAAAATTATATATGTACCGAATCCAATGTATATTAAAATTTATTTATTTTATTAGAAAAATATTATAATAAAATAATGAATACGTTAAACTCAAAAAATATTTTTAATATAATTATATTATTCGAAATTATTTTTTGATATGTATGGTTGATATATTATTATTATATTACCCTGATCATGATCATGATCCGGATCTAGGCCTAATACTCAAATAATTGGACTCAACTTCAAATAAATAAGTCGGGCTCGGTCGGGTCTCGAGTTTATGCGAATCTATTGTCATCTTATAAAATTATTGATATCTTTTCGATTTATATTAATAATGAATTAGAGGTTTAATTTGTCAAAATAAATAAAATTTATAAGAGGACAATTATGTCATTTAGAATATAAAAAATCCAAATCTACGAAATATAGTTTCAACCACATTTTACCAACCAAACATAATATGGGATTCCAAATCCTAAATATAATAAATCCTATCACATATAAATCCTACTGTAAAATCCCAATCACAAAAAAAAAGTCCATGAACCAAACAGCCCTTTGTATTTCCACATTTTTTTCTGTTGTGATTCATTTTTTATTTTACTTTATTTTAAAAATATTTTATTTAACACTTACTTATAAATTATTAACATTCATTAATAATTCCCTAAAAATATTATAGCAATTTATAGACAAATAAAACTATACTATTTTATATCATAAAATATAATGGGTTTGTTCACACAATTTTTTTTTTTTCGACATAATTTCCAATATATATTTTATCATCTCATAGGAGTTAATATTCAACATAAAATATTAGTATTTTTTATATCACCGACACAATTTTCTATATCTCACATCAAAATAAAAATTTCAAATCAAAACACTAAACAAACTCACCAACATCAAAATATTATTTAAAAAAAAAAACTCAAATCAACATCTAATTTCGAATCAATTTAGAACTACAATCAAACAAACCAAAATTCCATATAGGTTCATAGAGTTTAAAACCACCTTCCACACATGGTTTCCCTAAGGTGACTTTGTAGGGTATTAGTTCGACCGGAGGTTTATTCAATCCGCACTTTCGGAAAACCGATTGTGGATTGCCACGTAAAAAAAAAAAAAAAATTCTATATGTACGAAAAAAAATAAAAATTCACATATGAGTTCATAGGTTAAAACTCTTGACTCCTATAGGTCACCTGTCACTGTTCGCCTAGTGTGACTTTGCAGGGTATTAGGTTCAGTTAGAGTTTACCTATGCATTTTCGGGAAAACGGCTGCGAATTTTTAGGTAATAAAACAAATCCATATGTACGGATATAATTAAGAGAATTTTTATTTTGATTTTTTACCATAAGTATTTTGACATTTTAATTTTTGTATAAAATGGTGTATTTATTATCATTATTTTTGAAAAATCAATTGAAAAATAGTGCTGCAAAATAGAACGATTGATTTGATTTTTTAAAAATTATTGTTTTAATTTAATATTTTTGTAAAAAATTAATTTATTTTTATTGAAAATTTATAGATTAAATAGCAATATTCTTTATTTAAAATAAACAAGAGATTAGATTTTGATGTATTTATTAACAAAAAAATATGAATATTAATTTACTATTATATATTTTAAAATATACTAATATATATTAAGTAATTGTTTTTAAAGATCTAATAATAAAAAATATTATTCTTATAAATACACTCATAAAATTCAAAAGTTTAAAATACATAACTTTATTTTATTTTTATATTATCTGATAGTAATGCATAATTTTAATTTATTTAATAGATGATTCGATATTGATATCTCATTTAAAAGTAATTAGTTTGTTCACTATTTTTAGATGATACTATTATTTTTTTAATAAATATTACATAACAATATAATATACATTTATTAATACAATATATATTATATATATTTTATTTTATTTTTTTAAAAAATAATCATTTAATATTTTATCGGTCCCAATTAAATTGTCCTATTTAGTTTAGATTTAGAGCTGTAGTTATTATCTAATTAATAAGTAATTAAAAATATATTAGTAAAAATAATTATAATTTAATAAAAATAATTATAGTTTAAGACTAAATAATTTAATTAAAATAAAAAATTATAAATTATGAATTTTAAATTGCTATTAAAGTGTATGGTCATATATATATTTTTTAAAAAAGATTACGTGGAAAAAATAAAAATAGAAATATAATACTCTCTTAATCCAATAACAATTGACACATTTATATTTTTTGTCTGTCTTATAACACAATTGATATATTTTTATTTTTGATAAATTCTACTAAATTACCATATATTTAACAAATATAAATAAACTTAATTAACTATATCAAATACTATAACATTATAAATGATGTAGACCAAAATATTTTTAATTTATGTCAATTATAAATATTTTTTTATAATATATGTAAATAAAAAATATTTTTATTTATTTATAATTAATATAAAATTGAAATTTAAAGTATAGTTAAAAAAAATTATATCTTTTAAGGAGAAATAAAAATGAAAATATTTTGGATGAATCTTATCTTAAGCAGTTAATTAAATTTATTCAGAGTGTGTTTGTTGGAATTGGATTTTAAATACACTATTCATTCTATTTTTTCCTCAAATAATATTAAATCAAATACCTATTTTTATTTTTATATTATACTAAAAATTAATTTTACATTCAAAACATATTTATATCACATCATACAACTATTCAAATTCAAATTTTTTACTATTTAAATCCAAACTCAAAATCCAAACCTCAAACAAACACACCCTAAATATTTTTTAATTTAGTACTCCCTTCGTCCCATATAATTTGTCAATTCTTTTTTGGAAATATAATTATACACTTTACTCTCATTTAAAATTTAAAATTTTTATAATTTTTATAATTTTTATTATATTTTAATCTTAATCCACAATTATTTTTATTATACAATAATTATTTTTACTAATATACTTCTTAATTACTTACTAATCATACTTTACCTAATTCCCGTATCACAGTAATAGGCCATAATACATGGGACGGAGGGAGTAATTTTTACCACCTGATAGGAAAAAAAAAAAAAAAAAAATGTAAGGGAGGAGTATTACATTTAAATTACCATTTAAATAAAAAAAAATAATCAAAAGGCAAACAAATAAATTATAATTATATTTACTGTAATATTGGTACAAGCAATAAAGAGGAATCCATTCCTGAAACAGTTCTCTATCTCTCTGTCATTTTTGTGTTCCTCTCTCTCTCTCTATATTCTCCGTACCGCCGATAAACTTGTACACATCTTCGCCTGCTGCTTCTTGATTGATGTTCGGTGCAAAAATTGGGTTCAGACTGCTTCACATTTTCTCAGAATCCGGTTAGGGTTCTGGGCGGGCTTTGTTCTAGTTCCTGAGTGATTCTTGCTCACCCCTAGTCTGTCTGTATCCCGAGAATTCCGGCGGCCGGCTCTCGGTGGCGGGGAACTCTGATGCATTCAGGAACTGGCTTAGGGTTTTGATTATCATCTCTTCTTTATCTTTTCTTGATCATGGCGCTGGCGAGCGCATCTCAGTCTATTAGGTACATCGGTCCGGCGCCTGCTGCTGGCGCCGGCAACCTCGACGCCATCAACCGTGCCCTGGCGGACCTCTCTGTGCGGGGAAACGCTGCCGGAAACCTCGACGCCCTCAACCGCGTCCTGGCGGACCTTTGTGTGCGCGGCAACCCCAAGGTCTGGAAGTTTTGTGTTGAGCCCTACTGTTTGCAGCTAACTTTGTATTTGATCTCATAGCTCTTCTCTATCCGTTTTCTTATCGGAATTGTGTTTGCTTTTGTTTTCGAAGAGCTTTTCCTAATTGATGATCAGCTTGTTTGGTTTATCTCGTTGGCTTTTGTATATGTAAAGCCTACCAGTATTTTCATTGATCGGTGCCTGGTGGTTTCTTTGTATAGTACTAATCGGATTCCATCTTTCTCGCATTTTAATTGATAAAAAATGAATTATCTGTTGGTTATGTTGGAGGGGTTTTGATTGTATTTCAGGATGGGGCTGGTCCAGCATTGAGACGACATGTAGAGGAGCAAGCACGGGATCTCAGTGGCGAAGCATTTTCTCGTTTTATGGATCACTTGTACGATCGCATTACCAATTTATTGGAAAGCAATGAAGTTGCTGAGAATTTGGGGGCCTTGAGGGCCATTGATGAGCTTATAGATGTTGGAATTGGGGAGAATGCTGTGAAAGTTGCAAAGATTTCTAATTATATGAGAACTGCATTCGAGGCAAAGCGTGAACCTGAAACTTTAGTTGTTGCAAGTAAAGTTTTGGGCCACTTAGCAAGGGCTGGCGGAGCAATGACGGCAGATGAAGTAGAAAGGCTGGTAAGTTGAAAATTTCTGTTCTTGGTGGCATACAACCTTTTATGATCTTCTTATCCCTGCCTATTTCAGGTCAAAATTGCATTGGAATGGCTTCGTGGCGATCGAGTCGAATACCGTCGCTTTGCTGCTGTGTTAATTTTAAAAGTATGCTCCCAGTTTTAGTTACTGATTAATGTAGTTACTCAGAATATTAAATTTTTATATCTCCATCACACTGCCTTTGGTACCATGATTGAAGAAAATTCTATTTCAGTGCCTTTACTTACTTGTCATGGTACATGTTACTGATTGGGACTAATTCTATTTAGCTCCTTGTCCATTCACTAGAAGATGGTTTTCTATTATTTCCATGCTTACAATTTTGAAATAATCTGATTACAACATGATGTAGGCCAATGTCGTTGGTTTCTTGGTGTGGTAACTTTAACATGAACAATGGGTAGGAGGTGGAACTATTTTTGTGTTTCTGTGAATGTTCCTTTCACTTGTTCGCTTTATGGTTCATATAAAATTATTGAAATTGTAGGTTTCTTGGAAAGAAAGAGCGGTAGGCTTATGAATTAAATTTCAAGATGTTAGGACCTTTCTAAAAGATGACAATAAGCGACGAGGTTTACCCTTGTGAGTCTAAGGGCTCAGTGTGGAACGATCTTAATGACCGGTCGCTAAATCTATGGAAAGTGAGGATACCATTACACATGGGTCGTAGAGATCTCTGGACAATTAATGACTCAAAACATAAACCTTTTTATTTTTTGGGAAAGATTTCTCTAACAGAATTGTTATTATATTTATGTTATATTAAAGAGGCGAATAAAAATGATGTGGCTTTAAATACTAAACCCTTATCCTAGAAACTTTATGATACTATTCGCTAAAGTAATCGAATTGAATATTCTTTATTACCGTAATTCCTCTTCACTTTAGACCAATATTGATTCGAAAGATGTCATAAATTGTTCTTTTGAATTTACTTTTATGCCTTTTTGTGGTTGTACCAGAGGTAAAAAGATGTTGGTATTGTCATTTCTTAACTAAAAACTTTTATGTCATCTAGCATTGGAAGTCTCTTATACATATATATTACATTTGTACGACCCTTTATGTGTTACGGTATGTGTGATAAATGTTCAATACTTTTTACAGGAAATGGCTGAGAATGCTTCAACAGTTTTCAACGTGCATGTTCCTGAGTTTGTGGATGCTATTTGGGTTGCCCTGAGGGATCCAAAACTGGATGTCCGGGAGCGAGCTGTAGAGGCATTGCGGGCTTGTCTTAGAGTCATTGAGAAACGGGAGACACGATGGCGTGTCCAATGGTAATTGCGCATTTCTAAATGATGCCTTGGATAATTGTTTTTATGAGATTAATTGTTACATGCATGTTATGGCATGTCCAACTTTTTCATGATTTCACTTGGCTGGTGAGTTTTCTGCTTGTAACTTTGTGTACTCTTATTTGAATTGGCATGTCCAGGTATCTCAACCATGAGCACTGAAATTTTGTTTGTTGGCTTGCATATGATGCTAATTACTTCATATATGGCCAACTTCTGAAATTAATATTCTTTATTTGTGTTGCTGTTCATAAGTAGATTTCTAGGCATGTTACTCTGGCTACAACAATGGTAGCGTGAGGATAATCTGCTATTGACCATATTTACTTGGACCGTTATATCGTATACTTGATTTGTAACTAAAATGCATGATGAAAAATTACCTCAATTCTCTTATTGCCTAGAGAACAGATCATGTACAAAAAAGTGCTGGTGAGCTTTAAGCAAACTACTAATTCGTATTATTCAGAATTGAGTTACTGTACTATGGAGCTGTATTGTCTTGAATTTTTAATAGGTGAATCATCTGGAACTAAGCTTTTAAATATCCCTCCCAAAGAGTTGACCTTTCAAACCTGTACTTGTATTATTCCTTGTGTTTGCTTCAGCCCCTCATTTGCGTCTCCAAAAAAATTTGGTAAATTTGGTATTTACTTGCTGAAGTGATGAGTATGACATAGTTTAGCTGCATGTATGGTCACTTAGTGTTCATTTCTTGTAAGAGCCATATCAAAGTTAACTTTGTATTTATCCAAAACTCTAGTGCCTCTTTGAGCATAAGAATTTGAAATATTGCAAATTCTTCACTAGCTGTCTGGTGGGAAGTCCAGACTCCGGATGGGGGAATAATTTTTTGAAGAAAATATTCTGGAAAAAGAAAAGCAATACAACCTCATACAAATCACAAACATGAAAAAGCTAATGAAACTTGAACTTGTTTTTGAGCATTCTGAAATGTTTTTATGTTGTGAATTTTTGCACGGGCCTGTCATAGAAATAAAAATTCTGTATTAGCCGAATCTGATCTATAGCTCACTGAGTGTTAGTGCTATCATTTTCCTCCAAGTGCACAGAAAAAGAAAAATTTAGTGATGTTTAAGTATTACTGGTTAATTGTTATTAATTATTGTATCCTGGACCATATGCTTAAAAATGTTCATGGCAGGTATTATCGCATGTTTGAAGCTACACAAGATGGACTTGGAAGAAATGCCCCTATACATAGCATACATGGTTCGCTTCTTGCAGTTGGCGAGTTGCTGAGGTAGGGCTGATGAATGTCTTATAAGAAGTTGAATCTGTATTTTATTGCATCTCATTGTGCTATCCTCGTGATACTCCTCCCCAATCCCCTTCTCCCAGCCAAAATAGAGAAAATTAAAAAAAAAAAAAAATAAATAGGGAAGGGAGAATAACAAAACAACAAGCTGTGTTATGAATTGTTTGTAGCGTCTTGCTTCATATTCTAGATTTGTTGGGACAGATCTTCGGTTCTCTATCTCATTTTCATCTTCTATGGTTATTGAACACTTTTAAGTGGAAACTTCTTCTAACATGTTTGCATTGAATTTTGAGTTATATTAATCTAATCTAAATTTTCCAATATATTCTCCCTTATCTTTGACACTTTGCATTTGTTACTTTTATTCTGGTTCTTTGATATTTCGGTAAAAAAAGATGCAAGACAACTATGCGTCTGGTTCTTGTTCATCCATAGTTGCTGCATAAGTTAATTTTTCAATCTTTAATCATAGTGTTTTCTACTTGTAGTGTGTTTATTGGAAACAGGATCAATTTGATCCTTCCATTTATTTTGACAAATGTTATAATCTGTGATTTTGTTCTATTTTGTTTTTGGACTGAGCACTATTAGCTCCTGCTTTGTGTGCCATTGATAGTATTGATTGTAACTGAGTAACTCTGTTAGTTATAGCCTTATAGGAAATGTCGCCACCACTGTGTTTAGATAGTTAAACATCTATCATGGGTGTTACTGCCATGGTGGTTGCATTGAAATTCCTTGTAGGAATCAATTGAACTTCAACAATCTATTGTATGATAAATGTTAGAAGAGATTCGAGCTTCCAACCTAAAATCAATTGGTGATAGGTGGAGGGTCCTTCACTCTTATAAGCCAAGGGAGTTCCTACATCATATCCAATGTGGGACGATATTCAACGATATATATATTCTATATATGCTTTAGTGTGCAGTCCTTGTATCTCTAGTTTTTTATGATGTACCGAATGCTGAAATATCTGATTCCATAGTGCTCCAAGGAGTGTTAGGTCTGAACTACATAGAAAACATTTCCATCTTTTGTGGGTTCTAACCGATAGAGGATTTTGTTTGGCAGGAATACCGGAGAGTTCATGATGTCTAGATATAGAGAAGTAGCTGAGATCGTTCTACGGTATCTTGAACACAGGGACCGCCTAGTTCGTCTTAGCATAACTTCTTTGCTTCCTCGAATCGCCCATTTCCTGCGTGACCGTTTTGTGACTAACTATCTGTCGGTTAGTTGTTTATTCTCAGTAACTATATTCAGCTTATTTTGGGATTAATTTATTTTATATTAATTGCAATTTGATTGATAAATTCTTTACTCAGATTTGTATGAAGCATATACTTCATGTCCTTAAAATACAAGCAGAAGCTGCTAGTGGATTCATTGCCCTTGGGGAGATGGCTGGTGCATTGGATGGTGAACTCATCAATTATTTGCCGACAATAACTACACACTTGCGTGATGCTGTATGAATCAAATCATTCATCAGTATTAATATTCAACTCCAATACTTATCCTGCTATTTCTGCTTATATATCTAGTATATAGAATTTTTATTTTGAAAATTGGCCTTCTTTGGTAGATTGCTCCTCGTAGAGGGCGACCTTGCATGGAGGCATTGGCTTGTGTTGGAAATATTGCTAAAGCCATGGGACCTCCTATGGAACCATTTGTGCGAAGTCTTTTGGATGCAATGTTTTCCGCTGGATTATCCTCAACCCTTGTACAATCCCTTGAGAACATAACTACCGGGTTTTCAGCAAGATTTCCTTTGTTCATCTTTGTTCTTCTTTCTTTTAATTAACATATTAAGGTTTAACGTTGAGAATCTCTTGGTGTTTCAGCATTCCTTCTCTGCTTCCAACAATACAAGTGCGTTTACTTGAATGCATCTCAGGAGTTCTTTCTCGACCTCAACAAAATCAGTCAAGGCCTTCTGTTACCATTACGAGGACTGCTAGCATTTCAGCCCCTCTGCAAGTGTCTGACCTGAGTGGTTCTGCTCTTGTTCAACTTGCTTTGCAAACGCTTGCTCGGTTTCATTTTAGGGTAGCTTCACTTTTTAACCATCTGATTTTCTTCATTCTCACCATCTTTCCTAATGGTTATGTTTTTGTTTCAGGGTCATGACCTTCTGGAGTTTGCTAGAAACTCTGTTGTTGTATATTTGGAAGATGATGATGGAGGTACAAGAAAAGATGCTGCTTTGTGTTGCTGCAAATTGATGACAAATTCCTTGTCTGGCTTATCTTCCACCCAGTATAATCCTAGTAGGACAAGTCGTTCTGGTGGAAGACGCCGCCGCCTAATTGAGGAGGTTTGAGTTCTGTACTACATCTTAAGTAATCTCCTTGCTTTTCTGTCTTTATATGTGCATTGCACAATAAACTGGAGTTGAGGAATTGCGTAATCCTTGATATTTCTTTTGAGGTGACCATATAATTTTGACCTATGAAAACAGCTTTAAAATCTATGATTCAGGCTCTGTACACTTACATTAGACCTAGGAAATTGAATATATAATTTAAATAATATCTATGAAGTAGGATAATTGAATAAAAGGTTGAACTTTGCCTGTGGTTCATGCTTGACTCATTCTTTTGTGACTAATTCCCATGCATGTGATCTGATGGACCATTCTTATTTTGACATTATTTGGATGCCACCTGCAGATTGTAGAAAAGCTTCTTATTGCAGCTGTTGCTGACTCTGATGTTACTGTTCGGAGATCTATATTTTCCTCTTTGCATGATAATCGGGGATTTGATGATTTTCTGGCACAAGCAGATTGTTTGACTGCAATTTTTGCTGCTCTCAATGATGAGGTATTCTAGCTGGAATATGATAAGGCAAACAATTTACTGTTTTAGAGAATTTGTCATGGAATTATGCTTGGTGGTGGGTAAGAGTATGTCCAAAGATTTGTCCCTATTTTACGAATTCCAGGTTACTTTTTATTTTTTATTTTTTATCTAAGCTTGAGTAACCAGCTACTTATGATCACTTCCTTTTCATTCCTGTCTTGTCTAAATTTGATATCCGATTACCCTGAAGAAATTGCTTCCCGCAACATATGAACCTTTGAGTATTGTCTTCGGGACGATTTACAGATACTGATTTAGTGTGGTACTTTGGATGAGGAATAAATCCCATGGATCCTTTTGCTTCTTATCGAGTAAAAGGGGAGAGGGTTTATTTTATAAAGATGAAAAATAAATCTAAAAGTAAATTTGTAAACAATCAGAGAATGTGGGTGGCAGTGTGGCACATATCCTCACGTATTTTATAGTTGTGAAAGTAATACTATATGGATGAATTTTGGGTTGGCAATCTATTTATAAGCAGTATTTATTATTTTATCACTAGTTTGTTTAATTAGCTATTAATCTGTCAAAGAAGCAGTGCTCTGTTTTCTATTTACGATATAAGACCTGGAGTGTATTTACACCTGAAATTGAGATGGCCAATGATTTTGGCACCTCATTTTCTAGTGTTTATGCTTTAGGACTTTCGGCATTGATATTATAGGAACTTTTTGATGTTGTTAGGTTGGGGTGAAGAAAGAACCTTTTTCTAAAGATTGTGACGTTTAGGCCAAGCTTTTGCATGCTTTTCTAAGATACAGAGACAAGACATTTCTCTTGTGATACGACACAAAAAATTTGAAACTTTCTCTTAAATCCTCAGGACTTCGAAGTTCGAGAATTTGCAATTTCAGTTGCTGGAAGACTATCTGAAAAAAATCCAGCTTATGTACTTCCAGCTCTCCGTCGGCATCTTATTCAGTTATTAACTTATCTAAAGCAAAGGTATTATTGACACACTTCAATTTCTTGATCTTGTTGGACTAGAATACTTTGGGTGTTGGGTGATTTGATTTTGAGTTTTGATTTGAATAGTAAAGTTGTAAATTTGAATAGTTATTTGATGTGATATAAATAAATATTGATGTGATGTTTTGAATGTAAAATTGATTTTTAGTATAATATAAAAAATAAAAAAAATAAAAAATAGGTATTTGATTTGATGTTTCTAGGGGTGAAAACATGTGAATAGTGAAAAACAAATAAATCACCTAAACAAACACACCCTTAGTTATTTATCTTTTCATAATGAGAACTTTATGGTATTCATCTGCTACCTCTTTATCTTGTATTTCGTTCACTTTGTCCATTGACTTGTCTACTTCTGCAAATAGTGCTGACAGCAAATGCAGAGAAGAAAGTGCAAAATTATTGGGATGCTTAATTCGCAACTGTGAGAGATTAATATTGCCATATATTGCTCCCATACACAAGGTTCAAGATATGCTTGAGTAACTTTAATATTTTCGATGGTTTGTTTTAAGTTGTATTTCTCAAATGCTGTAATTCTCTAATACTCTTCAGGCCCTGATTGCTAAACTCAATGAAGGAACTGGGGTAAATGCTAATAATGGAATTATCAGTGGAGTTCTGGTAACCGTTGGTGATCTTGCCAGGGTGGTGAGTATTTCCTTAGTTTCTCTTAAAACATGCATTTGTATCTGTAGTGAGTGTTGACTTTACGGGCTGTCTTCATTTTATATTGATATATTGTTTCTATGTTTGATGAAACAAAAAATCATTTGTTAACACTAGTTTCTATGTTGAACATGTCAGGGGGGCTTTGCAATGAGACAGTATATTCCAGAACTTATGCCCTTAATTGTTGATGCTTTATTAGATGGTGCAGCTGCCTCGAAACGGGAAGTTGCCATCACAACCCTGGGTCAAGTTGTACAAAGCACAGGGTATGAATTCTTTCAATTTGCTTATTTGTATTCGAAAGTTGGCTGGCATGTGCCAGACTTGCATTTTTCAGTTAACTGCAAAAAAACTGTTGTAGTCCTGCCTATAGATCAGTAGTTAAAGTTAATTGTTTATGAGGCTTTGCGGTGTTCTATAGCTCAAAAGGATTGTTACATCATTGGGCAAATAATTTACAATTGAAATAATAGAATGCGTGCATGTGTTGGTTGAGGAGGGTATAGCAGGTGTGAAATTTTTTGTTGTTGCTTGATGTGAGGAGTTAGCTGCTTGCTTACAAGAAACCTATCCTTAACATAATTTTGATGATTTGGCAGTTATGTCATTACTCCATATAATGAGTATCCTCAGTTGCTTGGATTACTTCTAAAATTGCTTAATGGTGAGCTAGCATGGTCCACCAGACGAGAAGTTTTGAAGGTAGTTGGTGGTTTCATCCAGCCAATCAAAAGTTTCTTCTACTCGTTAGCTTAAGAATTGTTATTGGTAATGTTTAGGTTCTAGGAATAATGGGTGCTTTAGATCCCCATGCACATAAACGAAATCAGTTAAGCTTACCAGGGCCACACGGAGAAGTTGCCCGTGCTGGTGCTACTGGTGATCCTGGTCAACATATTCATTCGATGGGTGAACTTCCTATGGATCTGTGGCCATCTTTTGCCACATCGGAAGATTATTACTCCACGGTAAGAATTTGAATCAGGCTTGCATGTTATTCTCTGTTGTACTTCGATTTAAGATTAGAATGCTCTTTTCTTTACTTTCTCAACCCTAATTTACTTCAGGTTGCTATCAGTTCCCTCATGCGAATTTTCAGAGATCCTTCGCTTTCTAGTTACCACCAAAAGGTGGTTGGATCTCTAATGTTCATATTTAAGGTTAGTTTGATGTTTGAATTCTAATTAGTACTGTTGTGGCTTTTGTAATATGCTTCATGTTTGTTTTATTGTGCACAATATCCACTCTTAGAATGGTTGCTAAATTGTTCTGTTTGTTTTGGGAGGAAAGTCAATGGGCCTTGGCTGTGTTCCTTACCTTCCCAAGGTTAGTCCATTATTTACTTGTATTCATGTCAGCTTGTAAAGTGCTTAACTTCTTATTTTCAGTATTTCCCTAATGCTACTCTTGATTTGTCTTTTTCATATTTATTTATTTATTTATTTTTTTGAATGACATTGATCAAAGGTGCTGCCGGATCTCCTCCATACTGTTCGTAATTGTGACGATTCCCTTAAGGAGTATATAACATGGAAACTTGGTACCCTGGTTTCCATTGTTCGCCAGGTAGACGGTCTTTGCCCATCTCTTTAACTGTTTTCCAATCATCTTCGGACCCTTAAAGCTATGCATAACTGTTCTGCCCTTGCAGCATATTCGTAAGTATCTTCCGGAGTTGTTCTCTTTAATATCAGAACTATGGTCATCCTTTAGTTTGCCAGCTACGAACCGGCCAGTGCATGGATCTCCTGTAAGTCAACTTCTGAATACAAACATGGAGACATGCCACGGTTTAGAATCTTTAGATTGTACTGCTGAAATATGTCACTAATTAGAATGTTCTTGTTCTTTGACTTCTAGATCTTGCATTTGCTCGAGCAACTCTGTTTGGCTCTCAATGATGAATTTAGGACCCACCTTCCTTTTATTCTTCCATCATGTATTCAAGTCCTTAGTGATGCTGAAAGGTTTAAAGACTACACTTATGTAGTTGATATTCTCCGCACTCTTGAAGTTTTTGGCGGTTAGTGGCATCTTTTTGTTTTTGGTTTTTACTTTTGATTGTCACCTTATCAGGATGAATTGAAATATTTGACATTATTCTTTAGGGACTTTGGATGAGCATATGCATTTACTTCTTCCTGCACTTATACGAATTTTCAAAGTGGATGCTTCAGTAGAAGTGCGTCGTGCTGCTATCCGAACTCTCACTAGATTGATTCCTCGTGTGCAGGTTGAATATAAATTCATAGCTATCATGTGCTTCTATGTATCTCACAGTTATAGGTAATCTATTCTTTCTACCTATTTGTTTATTTGCCAGGTTACAGGTCACATTTCTGCTCTTGTGCATCACCTGAAGCTTGTCCTGGATGGGTATGGTTCCTTCTTATTTTCTATTGAATTTCAAATTTGTAGCTATTTAGAAACCTTGAACATCTGGAGGGTGTTATGGTAAATGGATCCAATGTACAAGTGTGCATAGGCTTAATCCTTGAAGAAGCATGTGAATAAAAAACGCTTGTCTAGTTTTCCTTACTCTGTGATGAATCTTAGTGGTTCTTCCCTCAATCAACTGCTTCTCAAGATTTCACTGCTTCAATGCCACGTAAAGATAAATGTTGCATGTTTTGTTAGGAGCACAAGATGGCCATGTTGTGTTTTTACTGCCTCCCTAGTCTATTTTGAACTTGATGGTCAGAACCTATTGTTGAATATATATTGTATTGTAAATTGGGTGCTAGCCCTGCGGCTGAATGTCAAAATCTAGCAACCTTTAACTTGAATAGGGAAAAGAATGCTCATTCTTGTATTGCCAAGAGTTATGCATCCTTTGTGAATAATGCATTTTTTGCAATCTGAGAAGGGTTCTTAGTATCATAAGTCACTGTTTGTAGGTTGAAAGTAGTTCAACATTCACTAAGCATCTGGTTGTCTACCCCTATTCTTGTAAAATTTTCCAGTTTGTCCTTGATAGATAGTTGACAATGTTAGTTTTTTCATATCCAATATGCAGGAAAAATGATGACCTTAGAAAGGATGCTGTGGATGCACTTTGCTGCCTTGCTCGTGCTCTCGGGGAGGATTTCGCCATTTACATTTCATCTATTCAGAAGCTCTTACTGAAGCATCGCTTGCGGGTATCATAGTTATTTTTCCTATATTTTTAGTCTATGAAATTTTAGGAGTATTATTGAACATGCCTGTTTTCCTTGACCAGCATAAGGAGTTTGAAGAAATTGCAGAATGCCTAGAAAAAAGGGAGCCTTTGATTCTTGGGAGTGCTGCTTCCCAAAAACAAAATTCCCGGCTCCCGCGGGAGGTTATAAGTGACCCTTTAAGTGATACAGAGGATCAAGATGATAGAATTGATCTGCATAAGCCCCATCAGGTACATTCAGTTTTTTTTTTTTTTTCTCTTGCATACAAAGTGTTCGAATGATGATCTGTATAGTTCCCTACATTTTGTGCATTGTTATTGGTTTGATAATACATGTCAAAACTGATCTTTGTAGCAGATTGGCATATGATGATATTGAAATTTTTTTGTGTAGGTCAAGTTTCTTGTATATATATATATATATTACATATCAAAACATTTCTTGTTTTTGTGGATATTCCTGTCACTACCAAGCCATTTTTGTGGCATTGCTGGTTAGTTCTTTACTTCTTTAGGCTGAGCTATTCAGTCTAACACCTAAAACTTATCAAAATGCTATATAGCACTCTGAGGATTTGCACAAAATCACAATTACAACAATGAAATGGCTGGAAACAGCTTGATCTATTTGCACAAACCAGAAGATATGCTGACCTTGCTTATCTAAGCTATATCAGTGGTGACATCTAACAATATACTCATTAGAGGTTGTCTTGAACCAATGGTGCTTGTGTGATTTTATGTTTCTAGTAGAACAATAAAACTCACTGTAGACTGGATAATTAGTTGGCATATTGTTCAATGTACCATAATCAGGATAAAGATTTGATACTGCTGTATGTTGTTTGTAAATGAATAAATTTAGCGGTGTCTTTTTTTTTATTTTTATTTTCCATTTGATTATTTTAATAAACCACAATTTCTTTCATCTCTGTTCCTGCAACTTTCATAGGTTAATGAAGCACGACTACGTGCTGCTGGGGAGGCTTCTCAGCGTAGTACAAAAGAGGACTGGGCTGAGTGGATGAGGCATTTTAGCATTGAACTACTAAAAGAATCACCTTCACCAGCTTTGAGAACGTGTGCCAAGCTTGCCCAGTTGCAAGTAATTCTCATGATTCCTTATTCCTTTTTCTTTTTCACCCTGAGCTAGAATATTGATGATGGATACAGTGACTTCTTTTGTTGGTAATCCCATGTTGCCTGTTATTGAAGCCTTTTGTTGGAAGAGAGTTGTTTGCTGCTGGTTTTGTTAGCTGCTGGACACAACTGAATGAGCATTGCCAAAGGCAGCTAGTTCGAAGTTTGGAAATGGCCTTTTCATCTCCGAACATACCTCCAGAAATTCTTGCTACACTTTTAAACTTGGTATATTCCATTTAATCTTTATCACTACTGAATGCGCCTTCCTTAAAATGATTACTTTTGCCTTCATCTGTTGCTTATGGTTGTGAAGTCACTTGCAAATATGCATAATTTAATTCAGTTAGACCTTTATGTTGGGAGGACAAAGTTCTACAATAATCTGTGTGACTTTACTGATTTGAAAAGTGTATGCGTCTCCCTTAGTGGTAGATGATGTAAATAACTGTCTCACCTAAAAGTTTAAACTGCTAGGATACACATCATTTATTTATTTATTGACAGTGGGACTCGAACTCGAGACCTAAGTCTCTGATACACAAATGTAAATGATCATCTCACCTAAATGCTTTCTGTTAGGATACGTATCGTTTATTTATTTCTCTACAAACGGGAATCAACCAACAAAATTCAAGTTGATGATAACAAGGGACTTGGTATGGGGAAAATGAGTTTTTCATTGGTGTTTGGGAATGGTATAAAAAGTTATCAGTATCTTGTTGGAGATCTCTTTGCATTGTGCAATATTTTGGAGTATATTTTATTTTATTTTTTTGGTTTTCAGGCCGAATTCATGGAACATGATGAAAGGCCCCTTCCAATTGATATTCGTCTGCTTGGTGCTCTAGCTGAAAAGGTGAAAAGCTTTTACTGTATCTGGACAATTACAATTTGTCATTAGATGCATAATTTGTGTACAAGATTTATTTTTCTTCGGCTTCTGTGTTTCAGTGCCGTGCATTTGCGAAGGCTTTGCACTATAAAGAGATGGAGTTTGAAGGTGCCCGCTCAAATAGGATGGATGGAAACCCTGTTACTGTTGTTGAAGCTCTTATTCATATCAATAATCAACTACACCAACATGAGGTTGTTACTTAGGATTAGACATCTCCTCACTAGTTTCTGATATCCACAAACATTTTCTGAGCCATTAACTGAATTGTGTGTTGTTATTATTGTTTTTGTAGGCGGCAGTTGGAATACTAACATATGCTCAACAACATTTGGGAGTTCAACTGAAAGAGTCATGGTAAGATTCATCAACAATTGTATATTTTCTTGCAAAATCCACACTCATTGTGTACTGTGGGTTCTCCTTTTACTTTAAGTTCATCGTAAGACTTAGTCCTTGGCTGGATTTTTTTATTCCCACCATGTACTGAACTTTAAAAACTAAGATGTCTGATTATACTTTGTAGTCACAAGTTTCAAGAGTTTTTGGAAGCTGACATTGTTGTATTTTACTTGGATCATTTTGTCACTCAAGTAAATCTTTCATTTTTTAAGGTATGAAAAACTTCAGCGATGGGCTGATGCTCTCAAAGCTTACACTGTTAAAGCCTCCCCCACTCCATCTCAACCAACACCGCCACATCTTGTTCTAGATGCAACTCTTGGTATGTATTCCTATTCAGATATGCAGTGAAGTAGGATATGATTGGTTTGTATTTCGTTGATCAGCATGAAGAATATAGGGCCCTGCGAGAGTGTCTCACTTATGTATGAGTGTTTTTGCTTGATGTGTCTGCATGAAAGAGTAACTACAAGAAATCTGTCTGATTATCTTTGATAGTTGTTATGCCTTTTAAATTTTTTATTGATATGGTATTAGATGAAATATCTAATTTTAAATCCATCTTCAAGCAATTTAAAACTAGAGAATTTAAAGCTTTCAGTTCCTGCTTGCCACACATAGTTCGTCTAGTGTGACTTGCATTGTCAGACTTAGTTTGCAGGTTATTAGTTTTGGCTGGGAGTTACTCAAAGCGCACTCGAAGAATAGCGGCCGTCGGTTCTCACGTCATCAAAAAATTAGAGGATTTTATTTTATTTTTTAATTTTCATAGTATCTAACTTTTGGCAACCTTCATGTAGCTTCAGCCAAATCACCGAATCACTTTTCCTTTTGTTTCAAATGTTTACTGCTTTTCAATAGGTTTCATCACTTCATGCTATTGTAGAACTCACATGATAATACATAGACTATTGAAGACATTATCTCTATGTCAATGCCTTCTTTATGTTGGCACTTCTTTAAACTCATTTCACTTCTTTGATTATCCCTGATTCTTCTTGTAAGTTTGTGTTTGGTTCGACAATTGCAGTGGTTCTTTGATTAGGTCTATTAACATTCCTTGAATCAACGAGTGCAAATTTCCTGGACCATATGATCTTTTAGATGATATAATAATTTTTTCATCTTGTAAAACTTGTTTAAGGGCGAATGCGATGCCTGGCTGCACTTGCTCGGTGGGAAGAGCTCAACAATCTCTGCAAGGAGTACTGGACACCTGCTGAGCCGGCTGCTCGGCTGGAGATGGCACCCATGGTTTGATTTTGGCTTCATAAAATGTTTTATTGTTCAATGATATCGTGCTTTCTGTTTCAAATTCTATATTAGATGGTACTGAGTCAAAGTGAATCTGTATCATTCTTCATAACTCATCAAATATATGCCTGTTTGCCTTTTGCCCCCTATTTACTACCGAAATAAGGAGCGGTAAATATTACTGTTCTGACAATTTTAGCAGTATGCTAATGGTACTGTTTATGATGTGTCATGTTTCAAATTGCTTCAATCTGTTGTTTTAGGCTGCACATGCTGCCTGGAACATGGGCGAGTGGGATCAGATGGCTGAATATGTATCTCGGTTGGATGATGGGGATGAAACCAAGCTTAGAGTTTTGGGTAACACTGCCGCTACAGGCGATGGGAGTAGTAATGGAACGTTTTTTAGGGCTGTTCTATTAGTTCGTCGAGAAAGGGTATAGCAAAATTCATTATAATCTTGCCCTTGTAAACTTGTTTTGACCTTTTACTATACATATCATTTTATTTTATTTTTTCAATGGTAGTATGAAGAAGCACGTGAATACGTTGAAAGAGCCAGGAAATGTTTGGCTACAGAAGTAGCTGCACTGGTTAGTTTTCTCCTTTATATTTCCTGCAAAGTAAGGTGAAAGTGGAAGTTAGGAAAAATTTAATCTTTTGTTATACATGCATCAAATTCCTTTCAACCTTTTTCAATTGATTGTAGTTCTGTTACTCTTAATTGTTTCCCCCAATGTTCTTATTGATGATATAATTGAACTATGTGCATAACTCATATATTTGTATGTATTGGACATGGATTTGTTTTCTGCATAACATTGTTAGGTAGTTCCCTAATCCCTATATAACATAAAAAACTAATTCACCTAGGTCACAGACCCTTAGTACTTATTTTCTCAAGGCAGGAGTGAAGTTGTGTAGTACTGGGGAGCCAGAAAATGGTTTCAAGCTATCTGCATCTATGTACTGATGGGTCTTTTATTACCTACACATTCCCTTTTGTCATGCTGCTTTTACATATACTTTGATGTAAAAATGCTGCTATTTTTGCCCATTAGGTTCTTGAAAGTTACGAACGTGCATACAGCAATATGGTTCGCATCCAGCAGTTATCAGAGTTAGAGGAGGTATATGCTTTTCTACAAATAAGGAAATGTGTTGTTACAGGTCTATATTTATGCCAATAAATTCTGATTCTAACAAAGCTGCCCGGTGCTCTTTTAATATAGGTCATTGATTACTGTACCCTTCCAACTGGAAACCCTGTTGCTCAGGGACGACGAACTCTCATCCGCAACATGTGGAATGAACGGATAAAAGGTGCAAAACGGAATGTTGAGGTAAGATTTCGATGAGCTGTATTTTCTCCAGTTAGATGTCTCTACGCACTTTCCTGTAGCAAACTACGTAAGTGTACTTTTAGTTACACTTATTTCTGCAACCTTTTTTGAACCCACCCAGGTGTCCCTGATGCGAAGGCTAGTTTATACCCATTTATCTGTTCTTCATATTGGTTCTATTGGCTCATGTTGAATTGTGTTTGATATACTGTTGTAAACATGCCTCATTCTTACTTTAAACAAAGTTTTGTAATGATACAAATACAATTCTAAATCTGAAATTAGTCAGGCCTTGATTGCGTGTTGATGCTCTATTTTCACAATTTAGATTATCTTACATGATGCTGATGTATGTTGGCATGCTTTTATTGGGCCCAATTTAAAATTTTCCTTTATTTTGAAATTGAACTTCCAAGAGGCGTAGCACCCAACCTGAATCCAACCAGCTGAGGGATTTCTACCTCAATATTTGATGTATCAACTATTAAATTTACAGGTTTGGCAAGCACTTCTGGCAGTCAGGTCCCTTGTTCTGCCACCAACAGAAGACGCGGAAACATGGATAAAGTTTGCATCCCTTTGCCGTAAAAGTGGCAGAATAAGCCAAGCTAGATCAACCTTAACCAAACTCTTACAGGTAATTGATAAATATGAATGTACAGCATACGTATGCTATATGCTGCTGTTCACATGACTATTGATGACTTAATTCTTTATGGACTGTGTAGTTCGATCCTGAAACAACTCCGGAGTCTGTAAAATATCACGGGGATCCTCAAGTAATCCTAGCATATTTGAAGTATCAGTGGTCTCTTGGGGAAGATCATAGGCGCAGAGAAGCATTAGCCAGACTGAAGGTATACCTTAACCTATTCTGACTGTCAACTTTTTCATTGCATGCTTTGTTCTGTTTCGTATGGATTTTGATAATAATTCAATATTTAGGATTTGGCCATGGACCTCTCAAGAAACTCTATTATTCAACAAACCCCACAGTCTAGCCTGTCGGGGCCGTCAAATATGCCACTTGTTGCCCGCGTTTATCTCAAATTAGGAACTTGGCAGTGGGGACTGACCCCAGGTTTGGATGATGACTCTATACAAGGTATGCTTATATCTGTTCAACTCTTGCCATTTAAGACTTTGAGGATTTAATGAGCTCCATAAAATTGGTTAGATGATCCTTTTTCTTTTGTTTGCTGCAGAAATCCTTGGTGCATTTCGAAATGCAACTCATTGTGCATCTAAATGGGCAAAAGCTTGGCATAAATGGGCACTTTTTAATACTGCAGTTATGTCTCATTACACCGTGAGAGGTTTTTCTGGTGTTGCGGCACAGTTTGTTGTTGCTGCAGTCACTGGTTATTTTCACTCTATCGCTTGTGGTGCACATGCAAAAGGTGTCGATGATAGTTTACAGGTATGTTACTGCTTGGGCAATTTGTGTTGCTTATAGTGGCTTTCGACGGCATTTTGGTTTGATTTCTGTACCATTTTTTCAAAGATTCTCTACTGGTGCTATGCATTATCTAAGATGCTTTTGTGCCAGCACATTTAGGGTGTGTTTGTTTGGGAGTTTGGATTTTGAGTTGGGATTTGAATAGTAAAGTTTTTGAATGTGAATAGTTGTATGATGTGATATAAGTAGGTGTTGATGTGATGTTTTGAATGTACAATTGATTTTTAGTATAATATAAAAAATAAAAAATAAGTGTTTGATTTGATGTTTTTGGGGTGAAAAAAATATGATGAATAGTGGAAATCTAATCCAATCCTCCAAACAAACTAAAATTTAGTCACTGAGCTCAACTCTTTCTAGATGTTTCCTTAGCCATTTTGTTTGTTTTCTTACTATGAAACTTTGCAGTTAAACAATGTGTAATATAATATGCTCTTAATGACGATTGTTGTGGCCTTGGATTTTAGGATATCCTGCGTCTCCTCACTTTGTGGTTCAACCATGGAGCTACAACAGAAGTTCAGACGGCTTTGCAAACAGGATTTTCCCTAGTTAATATAAACACATGGTTGGTTGTTTTGCCTCAGATAATTGCCAGGATACATTCCAATAACCATGCAGTCAGAGAACTGATACAGTCACTATTGGTCCGAATTGGTCAGAGTCATCCACAGGTTAGATTGATGATTCACATTATGTTATACAGCCTTTCTAAGTGACTGGCCTTTCACTTTTTATAAGAAATTACTTGTACTTCTTGCTTTCCTTTTTGTTCTCTTCTAATCCTTGCTTAGTTTTGTTCATTGAGGTGTTAAATATGATATTTTAGGTCCCATTAACTCATAAATAAATGAGATCTGAATTATGAGAGTGTCTGGGTGTCATAGGTATTTGTAATTGAGTGTTATTTATTTTTTTATAATCTACAGTTTGTTCTATTAAAAAGCAGATAGTTCATGATTGCTCACTTTCTCTCCTTGGAAAAACTTGGTTCTTCACAACAATGGAAATTACATCCGCTCATATGCAAAAAGAATCTCAAATAGTCATGATGTATGGCATCATTAACAAAAACCTCGAGTGTTTTATGTGTTCTAAGATGTACCACAATACTGATTTTTATTCTTCCTGCAAACCTGTTGAAAATGTATATGTTAGGTTTATCATGTCGGTGCTTTAAATTTTCCAGGTGTTGCTTCAAGTAAATTGCTTGCTTATTGTTTTGTATGCAGGCTCTTATGTACCCTCTTCTTGTGGCCTGCAAATCTATTAGCAATTTGCGGAAACAGGCAGCTCAAGAAGTTGTTGACAAAGTTCGACAACATAGTGGTGTCCTAGTGGATGAGGTAAAAAATTCTGTACTATGAAAGTATATATATATATATATATGTATATATCAAAAGAATATTTATTATTATTTTAATCCATGTCCTTGATTTGCATAGGCTCAACTCGTATCTACGGAATTGATACGAGTTGCAATACTTTGGCATGAAATGTGGCACGAGGCGTTGGAAGAAGCTAGCCGCTTATATTTTGGTGAACATAATATTGAGGGAATGCTGACTGTCTTAGAGCCACTCCATGAAATGTTAGAGGAAGGGGCGATGAGGAGCAATACCACCACAAAAGAAAAAAGTTTCATCCAGGTTCCAACACTTCTCATACCTGCGTAAATGATTTTTGATAATCTTAAGCATAAAATACATGGGCTTTTTATCATCATTATTTTTTATTTTTTGCGGGTTTTATCTGAGCACATGTTCCCAAAAATTTATCTTGATATATCTTTGATTTATTATTTCTCTCATTGTCTCCTTTTCTTGTTGGCTTGAATTCTTTGTTTATCACTGGGGTTAATTTTCGTTTTAGATGTATCGCCATGAACTTATGGAGGCTTATGAATGTTGCATGAAATATAGAAGAACTGGTAAAGATGCAGAGTTAACTCAGGTACATTACAATAAACTGTGATCTTGCTTTCAACTTATCTTAATGCTTCACTTGCCCCTGCCTTTTGGCTTTTCTCTGTTTCAAACTCCTCTCGTGTCATGCCATGTCATATTGCATGCAACCTTATTGGAAAACATGAAGCATTTGAGCATGTCCACGAGAAGATAAAGTATTTATATGTCTTTCCCCCTAAACCCATATATATATACATGAGAAGTAAAAAATATTATTCTGTGTTGGAAAAGAATGGAGGATGAATATATTGAACAAATATTATTGAGTAAAACTGATGTAACCAACATGTGATTTCATCAAGTGAACGTGTGGGAATAATTTATCTTTGTTATGTATTATGCCTCAAGTCTTATTTTTTATTTTTCCTTTTTGGCCATCAGTTACTTGTATTATCCTTTCAATCCTATTCTAATGCAACTTTGTATTTTGCCTCTAGGCTTGGGATCTCTATTACCATGTCTTTAGGCGTATCGATAAACAGCTCCAAACTCTCACCACTCTGGACTTGCAGGCAAGAAGCTATTCTGTTATGGTATTATTTACATGTTGCACTAGAAGATACTGATTGTTTCTTTTGTGAAATTAGTCTGTCTCTCCAGAACTGCTAGAGTGTCGTGATCTGAAACTGGCTGTTCCTGGAACTTATAAAGCTGGTATAAGTGGTATTTTCATTTGGAGAAAAAACGGGTTGTTTAGTGTGTATCTCTTAACTAAATTATTGTCTCCCAGATGTACCGGTGGTGACAATTGCATCATTTGCGCCTCAACTCGTTGTCATTACATCCAAACAACGACCTCGTAAGTTGACAATTTATGGAAGCGATGGAGAAGATTATGCTTTCCTTCTTAAAGGACATGAAGACTTACGCCAGGATGAGCGTGTCATGCAGGTCATATTCATTTCTTTCATAGCCTGTATCATACTGTATCTTTATATTATGAATATTCTATGAGAGTACTGTTTCTCTAACATGTTTTCTTAATGATCCCTCTCTTCCAGCTCTTCGGTTTAGTAAATACTTTACTGGCGAATTCTAGAAAAACTGCTGAGAAAGATCTCTCCATTCAAAGATATTCTGTCATTCCTTTATCTCCAAACAGTGGCCTCATTGGATGGGTCCCAAATTGTGATACCTTGCATCATCTCATCCGGGAGTATAGGGATGCTAGAAAGGTGTGTTCCATCCTTCACCTACTTCTGCGATTTTGTCAAATTTGTTATACTTGTGAATCTGGTATAATTGGCCTGATTATTGCATCTGCTATTTCCTGCACTTCAGATCACTCTGAACCAAGAGCATAAGTTAATGCTCAGTTTCGCCCCAGATTATGATCATTTGTCTCTTATAGCCAAGGTTGAGGTCTTTGAGTATGCGTTACAAAATACAGAAGGAAATGACCTAGCAAGGGTAGGATTTTCAATAATTATGTGATTCACCCTGTCTTTATAGCACAAGCTTAATATGTGCCTTCTTGAAATGTTAGGTTCTCTGGTTAAAGAGTCGAACTTCTGAGGTCTGGTTGGACAGGAGGACAAACTATACTAGAAGCTTGGCTGTCATGAGTATGGTAATGTACTCCCTCCTTAAAATGCGTCACTCACTTGCCGACATTATTTGTGCTAATTGTTTTCTATTACAATATCAGCCTATGGTTACTACAATTGTTTGTTTAAGTGGTTGGATATAGGCCTTTAAGGGTCTATATCGCCTCATTCGATTGTATTCATCCCAACACCTGATTTTAAGTTAAATAAGATTCCCCTAGCCTGTTTAGGAATCTGTCAGTGAAATTTTAGTTACCAGCTCTGCCTTTTTTCCAGGTTGGTTACTTACTTGGCCTTGGTGATCGACATCCAAGCAATCTCATGCTCCACCGTTCCAGGTATGTAAATGGCTAACTCCATAGAGTTGATTAACCACTTGAGCTTTCAACTTATATAGACAAGTTGTTTGCAGTGGGAAGATACTTCACATTGATTTTGGAGATTGCTTTGAAGCTTCCATGAACCGAGAGAAATTTCCAGAGAAGGTTTGGAAATCCACTTATTTCTTTTTCAGTATGTTTGTGCCTTACATAATCACGCAGATCTCTTAAAATAGAATTTGTTGATTTAGGTTCCATTTCGCCTTACTAGAATGCTTGTCAAAGCAATGGAGGTCAGTGGTATTGAAGGAAACTTCCGTTCCACTTGCGAGAGTGTCATGCAGGTTCTACGCACAAATAAAGATAGTGTTATGGCAATGATGGAGGTAAAATTGAAATCTGTTTCAACTCAACTTTTTTTGGCTTATCGTATTTAAGTTGGATTCATTTCATTGCCGGATTAATGTGACAGTTCTTGAATTTTCTGGCAATATATTCCTGTGTTTTCTTACACTTGGCTCCTTGTGGTCACGCTATTCGTTCACTCTTTTCCTTGCCAATAGTTATTTTTCACTTCTTTATTAGCACTTGGATCCTTATGGTACATGCTCTGCCATTGTGATTGATGAATTGTTAGATAAACAGTTTAGTCGAAATATGTAAAATGTATACACTTTTTTTGTGTGCTACAAATCTAGAATTTAACCGAACTTTTATTTATTTGTTTTGTAAACTTTTTCAGGCATTTGTGCACGATCCCCTGATAAATTGGCGTCTCTTCAACTTTAATGAAGTTCCCCAAATGTCTACTCTCACAAGTACACACACTCAACCTGTTGTGAATGGGGATGAGTCTGCTGCCAATCGAGAGATGCTACAACCGCAACGAGGCGTCCGTGAGAGAGAACTTCTTCAGGTATCATCGATGGATTAATTAATTGTCTTAACAATCAGTAGCTAACTAGCTCTATGGTGTGATCTCAAAACCATCCCTTTTTTAGGCTGTGAATCAATTGGGTGATGCGAATGAGGTATTGAACGAGAGAGCCGTCGTTGTGATGGCAAGAATGGGCAACAAACTTACAGGAAGAGATTTTTCTACATCCTCGTCTTTACCTTCTAGCTCACTCCCGCACGTGGTAGACCATAGCACCTTGATCTCTGGTGATACTCGCGAAGCGGAACATGGCCTTTCCGTCAAATTACAAGTTCAGAAACTTATCCTTCAAGCAACATCACATGAGAATTTGTGCCAGAATTATGTCGGGTATGTTCCCTTTATACAATCAAATTATGCACGAAATACTCGGCTGGCTTTATGTGTCCCTGCCATTTTGTCTTTGGTGATATTGTTCTTGTATTGCATTTTGTGATAGAAAGATAGATAGTATATATAGTGTGTGTATATTTTGTGTTGATTTTCTTTTGCTTGTCTTCCACTTTCAGGTGGTGTCCTTTCTGGTGAAGCCCCATCATACCTTTTGTGGATGTCAACCAAGCACAGGAAATACATACATACATACAATGTATTCGAATGTAAGAGGAGTTGCAGTAGTATGCTTTGTGTATAGTAAAAACCATTCGTTCAAACAAGCTATTATTGTGTGTGCATACAGAGTTAAACTGAAGGTTGGTTTTGTGGCTGGCTACCTTTTAACTTAAGCAGTTAAACTGAACTTGCTCCAATGCTGCCAGCCAACTCTGGTTTATTTATGTTTGTTATTTCATTTTTTCTTATTATTATTATTATTATTATTATTTTCCCTTGAATGTGTGGTTCTTTAGAAAAATGGATAGGCAAGTCCTTTAATGTGATAGTAGTGAAGTCACAAAATCAAGAACCATAATAAGAAAATTAATAGTAATAATAGTTGAGGGAGGCAAAAATGAATAGAAAAAACTAGTATTAGTAGTTGAAACAAATCTTGTTACCTCCTACCTCATCACACTCTAGTCTGACTGAACAAACTTCAAAATACAATACTATGCTATGCTACTAATAATACTAATAAGCAGCTAATGCTGAATCATCATCATCATAACAATAATAAAAAACTGGAGTGAGACAGTCACTCACTCACTCACTCACTGTAAACAAAAAAACTAAACAAGCAATGAAATCAATCAAGCATACTTACTGATGATGAACCCAACAATTCATTCTACCTTATGGAGAGGTGACTTGATTATGAGTATTATGATAATGATTCCTAATCCTGCTTGATCGCCTCACCGGAGTGATCATCTCCTCCTCTCCTCCTCCATTACCCTGCACCAAATATAACACATAATAATATTCAACTGTTAATTATTATTATGGCTATTATTGTTACTTACACTATTATTATTGTTACTCTTCATGGGAATCCTCTCATAAGTCGTGAAGCTTCCATACGAAGAAGGTGATGCTGATGCTGATGCTGATCCTCCTCCTGTCATCGTATACTCTGATGATCCACCACTTTTGTTCGTCGCCAATGCCTCCCTTTCGAAATGCCTCCTCCCCGCTGCTGCCTTCTTCTTCCTCTCCACGCTTTGAGCTTCACTCGCTACCCCTCTCACCGTCGTCGTCTCCTTCACACTATACGAATACGAATACGAAGACGATGATGCAGCAAAGCTGCTCATCATCTTCGAAGGACATGGCTTTGTCTGCTCCTCCCTCACAACCTTCAATGGACTTTTTTCTTGCACAGCAACACTTCGCTTTTTCGTATGAGGACGATAATAATATGTATAGGCAGCAGCAGCAACAGCTAACAGGGAAGCAGCAGCTATGATAGCAGAGATCCCACCGGCTCTTTCATAATAGGGATGCTGGATCTTGCCTATATCAGATGGGATGGAACTTTCCACAGCTTCTTCGACCACAAAATTTGCATCTGATGGGATCTTCTGGTCCGAGGAAGGGGATGAGGACTCAATGATGCCATCACTGCCACTCTCGGAATTCTCAGTTTCGGAAAGTTTGCTGCTATCTTGATCATGTGAATTCAGATTCACTTGATCCAGTTCAATCTCAGCCACACGTTGGCTATTGCCGTAATCAAAAGTTTCAGGCTGCAATTCAGCAGACTTTATGTCTAAATTGTCTACTGGTGTGCTGCCAATTTCTTCTTCCGATGATGATGCTTCTTTCACATCTTCGGATACGTCCATTGTTGCATCAACAACATCCTGCTCCTCTTCCATTTCATTGTCTTCTTTAGAGCCATCCAAGACTTCACTAGTTTCTTGCACATTGGACTCCTCATCAGAAACGACATTCTTTTCAGCATCATTATCATCCTCTTCGAAGTCATCCTCCTTTTCGATCTCCTTAGCAATGCCAACATCTTTTTCGATGAATTTCCCTCCTCCCCAACTCCATCCATCATCTTGCAAGGCATAAGAAAGGTTCACAAATTGCACCGGGCCGATATCCTCCCCCCTTCGAAGATCATTAACCAGATTGGAGAAAAAAGCCACAGAATCCACTGAGAACCGACTAACATGCCTTGCAAGCAGATCAAAATTCACTTTTGTAGCAGCCGCAGCAACTCTTGATCGGTGATAAAGCTCGCTCACATCCGAAAATCTCATCTCATCAAAGGATATCTCATCAAATGCAGGAGAATGGAACACAAAAACATATCCACACCCAATTAGAAACATGATAATCATGGAGAAACACATCATTCTAAAGACTGACCGGGGCTTCTTCTTTGCTTTTTCCTTAACTGAATTCTCTTCAGAGACTAACGATTCAGAAGATTCGGGAGGATGAGGACTGTCTTCAATTTCATCTTCCATTCCTACAACCAAATCTGCTGAAACATTTTCACCCAAGCCTTCTTCGATCAGCTGCTCATCACCTTGAGTGTCCTCTGCTCCTTCAGTGTCTGAAAAGCTTTCGGACAGGATTTCAGCCAAAAGGCTATCTTCGAGCTGCTTCAGTTCATCAGCCTCCAGGCCCTTCTCTTTGTTAATGAGAATTTCAACTCTGGGATTAGGTTTGTAATGAAGAAACTGAGGCCTTGGGACCAAGTAGTTGGTTTTAGGATCATAGGACGGATCAGCATCTAATGGAGCTATTGAAGAAGAATCCGACGAACAAGAAACCAAATCTTCTGAAGCATTTCCACCCAACTCTTCTGACTGTAGGTCGTCACTTCGAATGCCCTCTTCTCCGGTTTCTTCCAGAAGGCTATCTTCCAGCTGCTTCAATTCATCAGTCTCCACGCCCTTCTCTTTGTTAATGAGATCTTCAACTCTGGGAATTGGCTTGTAACAACGAGAATGAGGCCTTGGGACCAAGTAGTTGGTTATAGGATCATACGGAGGCAGTGAAGGGTCAGGATCCAGTGGAGCTATGGAAGAAGAATCCGACGAACAAGATACCCCATTGTTTGAACTGAACTCCATTTTGCAGCCATCAGCATCGGTTATTACCGACTCCGATAGAGATTCAGCCTGAGAATCTGAAGAAACATCTGCAAATGACACCTTTTTTGAAGACTTGGACACTTGAGTGCCCTCCAGGACAGCTTGTTTCCTTGCTAAATCAGAGTTCAATGAACACTCGATTCCCTGACCTTTGTTGTGATTCTCCATTTCCGCTTTTGGCTCCAATTCTACTGAGTCTCTGGTTGAATCTCTGGTGGAAATGGGAGAATAAAACATGGCTTTTCCATCAGACAATGAAATCGAGGTGCGTACAGGATCATTCCTCTCTACCAACACTTTCTTTTTGGGTGATGGAGTGAACTTTGAGGCAGCAGAAATTGTAGGTGACATAAAATGTTTTGAGCCTTTTGCTGAAGGATGAAATTTTGAAGGTTTTATGTTGTGATCCTTTTCGTAATTCTCCTTCTCTTTTGGATAAGAATCCACAGAGTGTCTTCTTCCAAAATCTGCAAGTTCATCCAAACAACAAGCACTAACTCACTCAAGGACATTCACAATGAACGGAACTATAAAAATTACCAAAAACTAGGGCTTAGTTAAATCGATAAACCCTAAATCCCCAAATCACAGCCGCGCTAAGCAATTACTGAGAAATACACATAGTAGGCACACCTAAAATCGAATAAACAGATAGAACGACAAACCTGAGGGACTATTGGCAGGTGTAGTCGGATCGAGTCGTCTCGGATTTGTGAACACCGATGGTTTGACGCTGAAACTTCGCCGGACCGCCGAATTGTTCTCTAAATTTCTTAAGTTCGGGTTGATAGGCCTGGAGCCGGCAGCCATCGGGGACGGGGATCTGTTACTGTTAGAATGAGCGGCCGCCATTGGAGAGCTGATTGAGAGTCGTTACGGTGGAATCAGAGAGTGGGGAGAAGAGAATTTGATCAACTGAAGAGAATATTTCAAAATGATATGATGGAGATTTGGGAATTGATTTGAAGGGATGTTGTAACGGCTAGTTGTAAATTTGAATCTGACCTTTGCACGGGAAAAGAGATCCTAGCCGTTGGAAAGGATGTTTGATAATTTTCTTTTTCTAATCGCGCGCTCTTTTTTTTTTTTTTTTTTTAATGGAAAAATATTTATTTTCCATATTTTAAAAGAAAAAAAAAAACAAAATGTATATTTATGGAAATGAATTTGGTGCTGATAAATGTTATATAATCAAATTTTAACATGATTTTCTCTTTAATTCAGTATATTAAATTCATATCCTGGATATATATATTTTTCTATAAGAGTAAAAAGTAGTGTTTTAAATTTGAAAATAATCATAAAATTAAGGGCTGTGTGTCTCAGAATTTTCTTTTAATCTATTATTATTATTATTATTATTATTATTATTTAATTCTTAATTTTCCAATAAATGATCAAATGTCATACAAAAGTATATAATTAACAGTTCACTTTGTATTTGGATGGATGTATTTTTCAATCCATTTATTATTATTGTTATTATTATTATTATTATTATTATTAATTTTCCAATAAAAATATCAAATACATACTCTATCCGTCCAGATTATATGGAGACGAATTTTTGCAGATTTAGGTATATTACTCCCTCTTAGTAATAAAAAAATATAATATATACATACATCAGCGTAATATAAATAATATATTGTTATATTTATTTGATTTTTTTAAGTTATTAAATATAATATTTAAATAATATTATATAAAAAAATATCAATTTACATTTAAAAATATTCATTTAAACAATTTGTCAAATAAAGTATAAGACATGAAACATTCCACAAATTCATACAATATACATGCATTAGTAAAAAAAAAAAAAAGCCAGTAATAAAAATTACCTTAAAAAAACAGTGCATGCACAATCAATTAATTATCTTGTAATTCAATAAATAAATTAACCAAACTCAAATCAATTTCAAAATTTTAAATCCACATAACTTTTCATTCAAAATTTAACTTTGTCCCATTAAGGTAAACTACTTGAATCCTCAATTTAATGTAACAAATGCACTAAGGGAAACATAAGATCTCCATTACATAAATCATACTCCTATAAATGAACCCTAATTTTTTCCAACACTATTCATCTTTTTCATCTCACCATGAACAACAATAGTGACTCATCAGATCAAATTCAAGATCAAACTCAAACTCAAACTCGAGTTCGAAAAAATAAAGGCCGCCAAAAAGTAAAAATGGTAAAAATGGCCAATCGGAGCAATCTACAAGTCACATTCTCGAAACGCCGCGCCGGTCTTTTCAAAAAAGCAAGCGAGCTTTGCACTCTGTGCGGCTCAGAAGCCGCCATGGTTGTCTTCTCACCGGCCGACAAACCCTATTGCTTCGGACATCCCAACGCCAAAACGGTGTTTGATAGGTCTTGTTAAGATTATTTCGCAAAATACACACTACCCGATCGTATATAACTTTTTCCACGCAATATTTTACGTGTATAGGTTCATGAAAACAGAGAGTGAGCACGACGCGGATCATAACGACAACTCGATGCTCCCTAACGATGCGACCCGACTGATCATGGAGGCGCACCGTAACTCGAATATCCGGGAGCTCAACTTGGAGCTGACCCAATTGGAGAGTATGCTGAGGGTGGAACGGCATCACGGGGAGGAGATCGACGCGATCCGGAAGGCCGGTGTGCGGCAGCGGTGGTTCCCGGGGACGTTCGACGAGTTCGATTACAACCAGCTCGGCATGCTCAAGGAGGCTATTATGGGGTTCAAGAACAGCTTTGACGAGAAGATGCGCAACAGGATCAACTATGCGCCGTATGTCAATAATTGCGCGATCCCGATTGGTTACGTCGGAGAAAGCTCTAACTCTAAACCTAACCCGAACCCTGATCAGCCATCGTCGTCGTCGGAGCACGATGGTTGCGGTTGGTCGGGATGAGGTGGTTCGGTTCGGTTCGGTTCGGTTCGAGTTTTTGATGCATCCATGTTTGTGGTTTTAAGGATGCTTTTAAGACTTTGATCTTGATTGGTTCTTTGGGGACTTGTGTTATTTTTCATGGTTGTGTTTTTGTGATATTTGCTTGTTTCGAGTGTTGCTTTTGGTAGAAATCTACAAGCTTTCTCTTGGAGTGATATTAAGCATAACTAAAGCCATCAATATATATTAAAATGTTTTATTTTATTTTTATATCATATAATATATATTAAAATGTTTTATTTTATTTTTATATCATATAATATATATTAAAATGTTTTATTAAAAAAACTCTATTTGAAGTATCAAGTAAATATTTTATATTAAAAAATTAAATAAAAATTACAATAAGAAAACTTATTATGTTTGTGTTTGTTTGTGGTATTTGATTTTGACTTTGAGCTTTGAATAAAATAAAATTGAATTGAAATGTTTGTTTGATATGATTTAAAATATTAAATTTTAGTATAATATAATAAATAAAAATTAAGTGTTTAATTTGATATTTTTTAAGTGAAAAAATTTAGAATAACAAAGTTCAATTGAAAACCACCGCAAACAAGCTATAATGTATTTTTAGAGGATCATGGCAATGCAAAAAAGTATTTTCCTCTATCACTCTATAGGTCCTAAATACTCATTTTTGTATAGTTGTGGAGTGATTTTCTTTCTTTTGATTTTTTTTAAACATTTATATTACATATATATTCAAAAGACTCCTACTATGTGTGACAAATCAAATTTAGATGTTAAGGGTTTGAATTCACGAATTCATCCTCATACGGGACACCAACTCGGATATTTATTTATTTATTTTAGGTCCTATAAGAAATGGTACGGTGGTGTGAGGGTGAACTCGTACTCATGAGATCATAGGTTTAAAACCCTGACGCTTTCGGATCTTACCAACCATGGTTCGTCAGTTTGACTTTACTTCCAGAGCATTTATATGTTAGGTAGGATGCCGGACCACAATGCAATGTAATGCATGTGTGCCTAGCTCTTATCATACACAATACTACAATTACAATACAAGTAGTATGTGAGTGAGAGAGAGAGTCCATTTTGTCCTTGTCTTTGTCCTCATTTTTTCAGCAACATCTCTCTATCTATCTATCTGTATTTCTTGTATCAGATCATTGTTGTCTTGTCCCCATTTCCAACGGATATAAAAATTTTAATGATATGATATGATGATGTTCCTCATCTATTCTTTTCTCTATGTTGTTTGTTTCTACTTTAATTATTCTAACCTAACTTTAAAACAAAACCCACAAATCTAGCTTCCTTGCCCATTACAAACATAGTATAGTGTGTGTAGTACACTACACTAGTGTTGCCAATGCTGCTACATTAATCAATTATGATCTATTTAATTAATTTATTTATGAAACCAGCCTAGCATGCATACGTTTGTAATAACTGGCATTTTGTCCATTATCATCATATCATATCATATTGTCTTTCATTTTACTCTAACTAACTAATTAATTAATTAATTAAATGATATCATTACTATTGTTGTAGAAGAAGAGATGGCAACAATAGTTAGGTGTGTTGGGCTGCTGCTGACTTAGGCATACGTTTTATTTAAAGATTTTCTCTTCTTTTATTTTTTCTTTTTCCAACAAAAATTAAATACTACTACTCTTTCTTAATAAACTAGGTTTAAAGATCAACAGTAGCTCGTAGGAGCTCCTGGGACTCAAACACCAGATAAATACGTACCGCTTATTATAATAGGCAGTCGACAGCATGATTTGAGGGGATGCATCTGGACCAGGGAGTCCATGGAGCTTCCAAGGTCGTTTCTCACCACACTTTGCAGCATTTTCTTCATTTCAATGCAGCACAGTGTCCATTAGCTGTCTCTCTGACAAAATGGAAATATTTAAAATATTAATACTATAAATAATACTTTCTCTCATGGTACTATTAGATACTGGTAAAAGTATAATTAGTAAGTAATTAAAAAATATATTAATAAAATAATTATTATTTAGTAAAAATAATTATAGATTAAAATTAAAATAATTAAATAATTTAATTAAAATTAAAAAAATTATAAAATTTAAAATTTAAAATGCGATTAAAGCTCGTAATTATATTTCCAAAAATAGAAAAGACAAGTTATATAGGACGGACGAAAATAGAAAATAGGGACAAATTATGACATTACGTGGGATGGAGGGGAGGGAGTAATAAGATAATCACCTAACAGATAAAATCACCGAAACTAGAAAAAATATTACCTGTGAAATTCAATTAAATACCATCATTGTTGAAAAGATAAATATTTAATTTTTTAACTTTGACAAATACCAGTTATAAATCTAAAGGAGAACATTCTAATTGCCAATTAATTTTAAAATTTTTCATGCTTGTGATAACAATTAAATACCATCATTGTTGAAAAACTAATTTTTTAACTTTGACAAATATCAATCATAAATCCAAAGGAGGACATTCTAATTGCCAATTAATTTAAAATTTTACATATTATTTTAAATTATCTGTGGGCCTAAGTTTTGAGTGGTCCAATGAAAGTCATCGTCTTCCTCACCATTAGAATGGAAATAAAGCTCGACAACTGTAATCCAATGAATTGGATTGAACATTCAAATAAATTCAAAAGAAAAAAAAATCAACAAGTAAATGACAACTCCAGCTGGCCACAAAACGACAAATCATGGCAGAAGACAATCACAATGGACAACCTGATCATGATCATAACTATGATGATGAAAACAGTAATTAAATTAATCGATGATACCTCTTTGCTGGCATTTAACGTCCGTGCGCTCACAGCTCATTCCGCACGTATGTCCCCCCACTCCAGCCTGTCCCTCATCTCGCCATCCATACATATATGTGTTCCGTTCTGCTCATGATTTCTTCAATTGTAGATTACTTCTTCATTGAATCTGCTTCTGAGGTTTCGGAATTGGTTTCTAATGGATCCGTGCCCTTTCGTGCGGATTGTGATAAGTAATTTAGCGCTGAGGTTGCCGGACGATTCCGCGGCGTATTCCTTCCACCATTACTGTAAATTCAAGCTCAAGGGATTTCCGGCGCAGATTTCCGACGACGTTGCCGTGCTCGCCGGAAACGATGCCGTGGAGAGCAAAATTCAGGGGTGTTTCACCATGCGCAGAGCGGAATTGGAGAAATTGGTGACGGAGAGATCGAGAAGTTTCTCGAATTTGAAGATTGAGATCCGCCGGAGAAGGGGGAAAGGCGTTTGTGGGTTTTTAAAGGGCGGGAAGCTCGTCGGCGCTGCTGTGGTGCAGTTGGATTTGAAGAATGTTCTAGAGAATGGGACTGTTAGGGCTTCCGTGGTGCAGAACGGGTGGGTCGCGGTTTCCGGGTCGGATCTGAAACTGCATGTGAATGTGAGGACGGAACCCGACCCGAGATTCGTATTCCGGTTCGACGGCGAGCCGGAGTGCAGCCCGCAGATTTTTCAGGTGAACGAGAACAATGTCCGGCAGCCGGTTTTCACCTGCAAGTTCGCGTTCAGGAATTCGACGGAGAGGATTTTGAGATCGAGGTCTTCTTCAATGGAGCCGGGCACGTCGACGGGTTGCTTCAGCGCCGGCGCGGCGGAGGGCGAGCAGGCGGCGAGGGAGCGGAAAGGATGGTCGATCACGATTCACGACCTGTCGGGGTCGCCGGTGGCGGCGGCGTCCATGGTGACGCCGTTCGTGCCATCTTCTCCGGGCAGCGACAGAGTGAGCCGGTCAAATCCAGGGGCGTGGCTGATTCTCCGGCCGGGACACGGCACCTGGAAGCCGTGGGGCCGCCTGGAGGCCTGGCGGGAGCGCCACCGCCTCGGCTACCGCTTCGACCTCATCCCCGACGGCGGCATCGACACCGTCCCGCTCGCCAATTCGGACGTCAGCGCCAACTCCGGCGGGAAGTTTAGCATCGACGTCACCACCGGTCCCACGCCGATGACCAGCCCCGGTAGCAGCTTCGACTTGAGCTCCGCATCCGGGTCGGATCTCGGGTCGGCCCCCGGATCCGGGTCGTGGGCTCACCTTCTGTACAGAGGATTCGTGATGTCGTCGACGGTGGGCGGAGACAGGAAAGGCAGCCGGCCGGAGGTGGAGGTCGGGGCGCAGCACGTGAGCTGCACGGAGGACGCGGCGGCGTTTGTGGCGCTGGCGGCGGCGATGGATATGAGCGTGGATGCGTGCGCTCCGTTTTCGCGGAAGCTGCGGAAGGAGCTGAGGCAGTCGGAGCGGGTGTAACCGTTTTTGTTCCGATCGGGTCGGGTTTGGAGCAGGTTCATTTTTTCTATATTAAAATTTCTTGCCAGGAGTGTACAGTACCGTCAGCATTATTTTGTCTCAGTTTTTGGCTTTCTTCAAAGGATTGATTGATTCATTTCATTTGTACAAAATCAAAAAAACATTAATTCAGAAGGTTGTTTTGTTTTTAATTTTCTGGTGAGAATATTTTTATTTCAATTTTGCTTCGCTTTGCTGCGAAATGTGGATATATTATTGGGACTGTGAGTTGGCACCCACAAGCACCAGTTGGTATCTATAATACATCTGCTATTGGTACACACACATATTCAAACTTGATTAAATAAATAAAATAAAATAAAACAAGTATCAAGTAGATTTGAATTCAAAAGCATCAATTTCTCATCCAGACTGGAATGAACTAGGTTCTTGATTCTCTCAAAGTCTCTAACTAAATTTCAGCCACAAAATATGAACTAAAATAGTAATACTTTCAGACAGCTGTACTCACCAGTCAATCATATCACAGGTGAAAAATGTGTGACAATCCTCAATTTTACTGCCTGAAATTTTCAAGCAATTAAATATGACCTTCCAAGAATATCAATAACTGGAAGCCCACATCAGCAATCATTCTCAATGCTATCTTAATCAACTTCACCATTTCAAGAAATATCTTCCAAGAATGTTCAGTATTCAAACATCAAAGATATCATCAGCACACAGGAAAAGAGCTCAGTAATCAGTTGAAGAACAAGAGGAAAATGGAAGTAGGATTCGAATATAGATGAAAACAAATGATGGATTGTACAGAGAACACAAGTAATCCTCGAATTTGGCTGAGTTTTAACAGCAACGTTTTGAGAATAAGAGCACCGACAGAAAAAATAAAATTTTGGTACACACAAAAACAAAGAGGATGCTTAGTGTTCAAGAAAAAAGAAAATGAGGATGAACTTCATTCAATTGATGGAAATCGATAGAACTAACACTACCTTGCTAAATCCATTACTTTATTCTGCAGCAACATCTCTGCTATTTGTTCCCTCGGTTTCTAACTTGGGAAGTGTATCGAGATCCATGCGAACATCATTTTCTTCCAAGGTATTGGATGTATCAGAAACATCTATGGTGCCGTGTAGATCATCTAAATGATTTTCAACCGGTGTAGATTCTGTAGAACCGTCTGTACTGCTGTTTACATCTGAGTTTTCAGCCTCGATTTCATCCTTCTTCTTAGGTGGAGATCCATCAGTTCTTGCTTGCTTGAAAGTACCAGTTTTATCAATGGTTTCTGATGCAGACTGTGTATCATTATTAGATGAAATAGACGACTCCTCGGAGTGCAAATCTGCATTTTTCAGTTCTATTGAATCTGTTGAATTAGAACCCACACCAGCACCATCTGCACTCACAATAGAATCATTGGTATGACTGGAATCGGTAACTTTGAGGTCAGAATCTTCGCTGGATGTATTGTTGGTGAGAGTTTCTGGATCATGATCTAACTCACTCTTGCTCTCGGTTAAATTTTGTGAGGGATTGTCCATTGCAACTTCAGGAGTGCTATTGCTCGCCAAATGTTCATCGAACCCTTCTGTCACCGTGTTGTTAGTAGACGTGTCATTCTCCAAGTTGTCTAAAATTCCATCCATGGTTTCATCTCTAGCCATTCCAGCAGCTCCGAGCTCTGAATCTTTCCTTTCCTCACCTTCACTTTCATTATCATTCTTTCCCTCTTCTAAAATATTGTGAGGATTATCCGTAGATTTCTCTCTAGACTCGTTCTCATTTTCAGTAGTGGACATTAGGCCCTCATGAGCCACGGCACTAGATGCATCATCAGCCTTGTAATGTTCCTCGCGTGCTTCCTTCTCCCCCTGACCATGAGCATTGATAGAATCCGTTTCGTGAGTATCATTCTCGAATCTATCTTCCAAATCCTCTTCTCTTTCATCGTCAGTTCTCTCTAGCTCATGCACGTCTACTTCATCATCTCCACCTTCCGTTGCTTCATCCTCATGTTCTCCAATCTTCTTGCCTCCAAGCACATCATCTTCACTCTTATTTTCTTTCGCTTCTTCTCTAGTGCCTTCATCTTCCTCTTCCTCTTCAGGTTCATCGTGATTTACATTCTTAGCAAATGATCCTTTCACCCCACCCTGAATATCTTTCCTTCCGAATTTTACACGATCACTGCTGCCATCTCTTTGAATCAAGCCTCTTCCATCACTTCCGCTGAACTCTTTCCTCTTGTCATGGGAATGTTTAACTTGGTATAACAGCCAAAAACAAACAGCAACCAACAAACAAATCTGCAAAATGTGCTTCACCTTGATCCTTTTCGATCTCTGGTTCCTACTGGGTGAGTGCCTATACATACTTATTTAGCAAAAAAGATATCTTCAATATCGAACCTATATACTTTTCTTGCCCCTCCTTATTGGAACATAACCTGCCATTCAGATCACCAGTGGCTCTTTATAAGAAATCGAATAAAATCCAAGAATAACTCTAGAAAGTGCATTTGTGAGCTCAACATAAGCACATTATTACATAATAGAGCAGCATTTCCAACAAATGTTCTACTTATCAACTTTGAGCAGGAGAATTTCCTCAAAATTCCAAGGCATGCATACAAAGACGATCTTATAGTTTAATTCAGTATTCACAGCAGGAATACAGTTCACAATTCCACTCACATACTTCACTTCTGCATAATCGAAAGATTACAAACAGATTCTACCAGAAAGTAAATTTTGGCACTAATGGGTTCAATAGTTTCATTACAAACAGCAGGAATATAATTCCAAATTTCCCTCTTAGGCTCAACTTCTGCAGTACTCATGTTTACAAACAGCATATAAATCCATTACTTAAGATCTACCAGAAAGAAGATTTTGACACTACTTAGAGCAGCCAAGCTTTGGACAAGTCCCCACAGACAAGTCGCAAGAACTTCGAACACTATTTGACCAATTCCTCAATTTCCGTGGCGAAACCCTAAGGAACTGAAGTCAAAACAGAATCCTCACAAATTCCACAAAACCACTCCACAAACGATCTATTAGAAGCGAAAACCAATTCAGAAATCCAAAGATTTCATCATTGCACTCAGATGCTCAAAATCCAATTCCACTATAAACACCCGTAAAACTGTCGATTTCTTCAGTTAGTTTTCCACAAATAACTTAACAAACAGCAAAAAAACTAAAATAGGAAAGCAATCTAGAAAAATCCGCAAGAGAGAAAAGCAGGAAAAGAATCATAAACAAAAATAAGCAGCTGAAATACCTCGAGTACAGAGCAAACACAGAACCAGCAGCTAAACCGAAAGCATCAATCAGTTCACGAAAGCAATATTCCCAAATAAGCAATCCCAAATGCTTCCAAAACGGATCAAATTATGCGAATTGGGAGGCCCCTACAGCTCCTACTCGCAGTGGCAGAAGGATCTCATTCCACGAGAATTTGCGTACAAGTGAGAGTTTGGGACAGTTGAAGAAGGAAAACAGTACCTTCATTATCAGTTTATCACACAGTTTCGCTATTATTATTATTATTTATTTTCTAAATACTCTTTTTTTGTCCGATAAAAAATTATTATTATTATTTTTATTGTTAATAAATTTATTAATTTTAAATATATTTAATAAATATAGATTAATTAAATTTAAATTTTTAATATTTAATTTATCTAAAATTTATTTATTTTCATCTTTTCTCAATTAATATATACTTTATTTACCTTTCAAATTTTATATTTTTTTTATAAAATTAACTTATAATAATAATAAAAAAAATTATTTATTTAAATTATATAAAAAAAAATTCTTTCTAAATATATAATTTATACTATTTAAATTTTGGTGTCCAAATAAAATACTTCAAAATAGATAAATATGAACTATTAAATTAAATTTCAAGAATGAATGCAACTTGTTTGACAAGACAAGCGCATGTTCGCATTTTCACTACAGATCCGGACATATATATGAAATATATATATATATACTATTTATTCAATTTTCTGAAAATATCTTTAATTTTACTAATTTAGTAATGAACTTGTCAAGAAATTTCTTCCCAACTACAGGGAGTTCAACTCCCGAATGATACACGCCATTATTTCTAAAATGTATATATATGTATTTTAATTCGAGGTAGATTGTGATTTCAAATTAATTTTAAATAAAGTATTTATTTGAATAGTATTTTGATTTAAATTTTGTAAAAAAACAAATATTGTAATTTTATTAAAAATCGCACAACATGAATAGTAGCGATTTGTATTTAAATAATCAAACTAAGAGTGTTATTTTTGTCAAAACAACAAATATATTCTTTTTAAATATTAATATATTACATATTTATTATTTTTATACTCTCTCCGTCTTAATACAATAGTTTTGTTTACCATTTTTGTTCGTCCCAAAATAATAGTCTCATTTCCATAAATAATCATATCACCATAAAATTATCACTACTTTTTTTATTATTATTACACATTTGTCATTATTTTTTACACTAATATACTCACAAGGGCAAAAAAGTCATTTATCATTACTTTTTACAAACTACCTATATAATATCAATATTTCTTAAATTTCGTATCCAATACAATAAAATTATATTTTTGATATGGTGGAAGTATTACATAAATAATTCTCTATAAACTCTGGGAGTGAGCTTTGGATTTGAGTATTAAAATTTTGAATTAAAATAAATACTTTGAATAAATATTTTTTTAATATTATGTAAATAATATAAGTATTTATGAGATATGTGAAAAAAAGTAATTTTCATGGTAATATAAAATATATATATTTTTTTTAATAAACTAAATAGTAAAATCAACAAGCAAAGCATTTACTTTAGTATTTAATCTTTTTTATCCTTAACTATTGGGAAAAGTAAAAATATCTCATTAAATATTTATTATTATTATTATTATTATTATTATTATTATTAAATATTTTATAAAAAAAATAATACGTGCCCCTTTGAAATTTTGTAGTAGTTTAAAAGATACTATTTTTATTTCATTTAATTTCTCCACTTTAGCTTAGATATATTATTTTAGGTATTGTGTAATTAGTAAATAATTAAAAAATGTATTAATAAAAATAATTATAGATTGAGATTATGATGACTAAATAATTTAATTAAAATAATTAATTATAAATTATGAATTTTAAAATGTGATTAAAGTGTATAATTATATTTTCAAAAAATAAAATGATAAATTATGTGGGACATACAAAAATAGAAAAAATAGACAAATTATGTGAGATAGACGAAAATAGAAAAAAATGACAAATTATGAGGGATAGACGAAAATAGAAAAAATGAATAAATTAAGTGGGATGGGGGAGTAATATACTTTATTGGTTATTGAAAATGTTTAAGTTCCGACATTTTTGTCAATTAATTTTATGTATAAAGTAATTATATGTGTAATAATATATTTGTACTTTAAATCTAAATTAAGAATATTTGTAGTATTAGTGTATAATTATTTTTACTAAAATAAAATATATATTTTTTTTTGTGTGAAAAATAGAAGAACTTTAGATTAAGACGATTAATGGAGTAGTTTGTTATTGTAAAAGTATATATTTTAAAAATAATAAATATTAAAAACAAACAAAATCGAAAAGTTTGTTTACTTGAATTCCCCCCCCCCCCCCCCAAAAAAATTATAGTAATCTCTCCGCTCCAATACAATAGTCATGTTTACGATTTTTATTTGTCCCAAAACAATAGTCTCATTTTCATAAATAACTATATCACTATAAAACTACCATTACTTTTTCATTATTATTACACAATTGTCACTACTTTTTACACTAATACATTCGTAAGAGCAAAAAAAAAATTTTACTTGTACTTTTACCCACTACTAATATAATATCAATATTCCTTATATCTCATGTCAAACACAATACAAACTATAGTTCTGAAACACAAACTATAGTTCTGGGATGGAGGGAGTATTTCTTAATTTCGCAAATTAAATCCAACAACAAAATACATATATGTCCATTATTTCACCTCATAATAAACAATATATATACAAATACAAACTTAATTTTTTTAAAAAAAATATATATGTATATATATATATATTTATAAAACATGATATTATTTAAATATAAATAGTAAATTCACATACAGTACCTATATCCCCGCATAGCATAGCATGGCAGCAATATTAAATTTTCATTATTATTATTTTTTATTATTCAATGAATACAATTGACAGCGTATTTTGTATGATACTACATTGACCAAGTTGCTATGTACGAATTAATTGTTAATTATTAAACTTGATTAGGGTTTTTATTAGTTATATTGGCCAAATTGCTACATGTTAATTTATTGTAGAATTTTTTAAAAATATTGTTTAATATTTGCATTATAAATGAAAATAGTATACTACATAATTAATACTCCTTTCGTCACCCATATCATATCTACGTTGCCGTTTCTGTCCGTTCCACATTCCATATCACTTTCTTTTTTTTTTTTAAATAATTACACACTTTAATCTCATTTTAAACTTTTAATTTATTTTTTTAATTTTAATTAAACTAATTAGTTATCTTAATTTATAATTATTTATATTATAAGATAATTATTTTCACTAATAAATTTTTAATTATCTACTAATTACACTTCTCATAAAATACAATATCTTCAGTGTAGCAGACATGGTATATGAGACGGATGGAATATTATCTATATTCCATATATATATACTCCAACATCAAAATTCAAAATTTCTTGCATGTTGATCAAGTAATAAGAGTATTTTGATTTACACTACTAATAATTTGGTAGAGAAATATATGTATCTAAAAATTAAAATATATTGAATTGAAAGAATTTATATTTAATAAGAATTTATATTTTTTTGGTCTGGTTTATTTTAAAATATTATTTATATTTAATTATTTTAAGTTTTCAGTATTATTAAGTATCTACTTTAAAAAAATTGAATTTAATTATTATTATGATGGATAAAACAGTAATTTTAACTTAAAATAATTTTTGCATATTTCAAAAACTTGTGTTTGAAAGCATGAAAAATAATTTAGCATAAGCTAAAATAAATATACATAATTAATTTAAATCTAATTATTTTAATTAAATATATAATTTAATTAATTGACGATGATGATGATGAAATTCAGCCCGTGAACTCTTTAATTAAGCACCTAATTCATTCCAATATATTTTAATGTGTGGGTACTCAATATATATATATATATATTCCCTCCCTCCGTCCCTTAACAATCTATCCATTTTTTCATTTTGGTCCGTCCCATAATAAAATATTTGTTTTCTTTTTTTTTTTTTTTTTTTTAAGTAGTTGTACTATCTACCTAACATTATAAATACCCTTTTAATTTACAATATATTACACAAATGTCATTACCTTTATATCATACAATACTAATAGGGTTAATTTAGTCTTTTTACCTTTATTTCTACTTTATCCCAATATAATACTAATATTTCTAAAATTCCGTGTAAAAAACAAATGGATAGATAGATTGGGGACGGAGGGAGTATTTAAAATACATATAAAAAATTATATTCCTTTTTAATAACAGCACAATTTATTCATTAATCAAAACATTTTTCAAATTTTCAATACAAACGTAATTCCAAATATTATTACTGCATGCATATAAGAACACACATTCACATATATTTATTTCTAATTGAAAACGACGTTGGCGGTCCGACCGTAATGAATCAATAAGGGCGCTGGCCGGCCCAGTTCCCGGCCGGCGCGTAGTTACACGACACGAACCACCAGCCGTTGGCGCAGCGCGCCCGGGCGCAGCCGAGCCGGTTCGAGTTGCGCCAGACCACCTGCGTGTAGTGGCCGCAGACACGGCCGGGCGCGCAGCTGTTCGAACCGTAGTTGTAGTACTGCTTCTCCGACACCCACAGGTTCACGGCGGCCCGACCGGTGAAGGCCCCGCTGCCCTTGGCCAGGTTCTCGCCGTAACCCGGCCGGTTCGGCGAGTGAACCATGTTGCAGTCGCCGAGCCGCGAGTTGACGTAATTCCGGGCGAAGTTCGCCACGTTGACGTCCCACGTCATCGGCCCGACGCCGACATTCCGCCGGGCGGCGTTGTGGGCGTCGAGGAAGTCCTGGTTGGAGTTCTGGCCGTGGACGGCGGCGCCGCCGAGGATGAGGAAGGAGATGAGTGTTGTAAGAAACCTTGTGTTGTCTGAATTCATGGCTGCTGCTGCTGTTAGTAATTAATTAATTCAATTAATTTGTGTAGCTGTGTGTGTAGGTGGAGGTTCTTGCATGGCGGAATTAGGGTTTTTATAGGTGGTGATTTGTGGAAATTAGGGTTCTATTGGATGGAAGTTTTTTTTGGATGTGTTTGTTTATTAGAATTTTGAATAATGAAAATTTGAAATGTAATGTAAAATATATATATATATATTAATGTGGTATTTTTAATATAAAATTGATTATTAATAGTATAACATGAAAAAAAAAAAAAATTATTTTGACCTAATAGTTTAGAGAAAAAAATTAATAAATGTTAGGAGAAAAAAATATTAAATGATAAAAAAAAAATTGTTATAAAAAAAAAAACCCATCAATCGAATTAGTAAAAGTATTTTGGTCGTCTTTGAACACTCATGATGAATCATGAATTGGATAAACAAACATACCTATTTAGAATAATATTCCCTCCGTCTCGTTTAATATCATTATTTTTTATTTTCGTTTGTCCACTTATTTTGTCATTTTCTATTTTTGTCTATCTGAAAAAATATATATATAATTTCTAAATAGAGTAATTGTAATATCTACCTAACATAATAAATACCTTACAATTTTTAATATATTATATAAATATCATTATTTTTTATTACACAATACTATTAAAGGTATTTTTGTCTTACAATCAAATATAATACTCATATTAAAAATATTACGTGAAAAAAACAAATATTACTTTTTTATTTGGCCATACGATTTTTTACATTTTTCTGTATAAATATGCTATTTTATCCATTCAAATAAAAATAATAACAATAAATGAAGCAAATACTCAGACTAATACTAATAACTAAACACAAGAGGTAACGTACTGGAATTAATTTGCTGTTGACTCTGATCTAGTCTCTAATCCAATCAAGATTATATAAATTATATAAGACGAATAAGAAATTGACCAATAATACTATTTACCATAAAAATAAAAAATAAAAAATAAAAAATAAAGTCACAATCCATTCAACATTCTTAAGCAATAAAATATATGCGATGAATTATTCTAATTGATCAGTGAATTTGAGACGCCAATGGTATTTTCTTCTAGAGTATAGTTTTTGAATAATAATTTAAATATAATGATTTGTTATAAAATAATAATAATAATAATAATAATAATAATAATAATAATAATTTATTTGTTTATATAAGGAAACAATAAAATAAAATCAAACTTAAAAATACATCATTTTTTTTTTCTTTTGGACCATTTACAATCTCATATTTTTCTATAAAAAATACTTGAAAGATAAGGGTTCTGCTTGTAAAATAATTTTAGAATTTTGATAGTACCTAATTTTTGAAAAAAAAAAAAGCACATCAAATATATTTTTTATATAAAAAACATCCCGTTAAATAATATTAGGCCCTTTCGTCTAAAATTGTGTTCATTTTGTTTTTTTTGTTTGTCTTCCGAAAATATTATGATTTATTCCTTTTTTTTTTTTAGAAAAGAACTATACAACTTTTTAATATAAAAAATTTCAATCAATATTTTACATATTGAAGCTCATTAAAAAAAAAAAAAAAAAATTGAATACAAAATTAGTAGGAGGAGGGAATAATTTTTTATTATTTTAAAATTTTGAAAACTTCAAAATCTCTAAACCCTAAGTATTTGGTCTTTGTACAATTAATCACACACGCCGTAAGCTCGTTTAATTTATGTGGTATTAATTATTAGAGTTAGGATAATTAATACATTAATAAATTCATATGATAATTTAATGTGACCTTTTTTTAATTATTATTAATAAATAATATCAAAAATTTTAAAATATTATATAAACAGAGCTTAAGTATAGTTTAAATAAAAAATATTAAGTATATATGTATGATTCGTTCTTTTATTTCTATATTGCTTTTAATAAAAATATATATTACTTTTTTTTTTTCAAAATATTTAAATAATAATTATAATAATAATAAATTGTCTGTCACAAAGAATATTACAATTTTCAATATTAATTAACAAAAAAATCTCATAAATTTTTAACAACCTTATCCTATTGCAGAATTTGAAATTTCTAAAATTAGATTTTCCACAAGGCACTATTTAGTATACTTTTCCTACACATAGCATAAACAGAGATTGTATTTCAATTTCATTTATTTTTAAGCTTTATTTATTACTCTCTCCGTCCCAGATACTATGTCCATGTTGTCGTTTCTATCCGTCTCACATACCATGTCACTTTCGTTTTTTGGAAAATAATTACACAATTTAATCTTATTTTAAATTTTTTAATTTTAATTAAACTAATTAGTTATCTTAATCTTAATTTATAATTATTTTCACTAATACATTCTTAATTATCCACTATTTACACTCTTCCTAAAATTAAAATAGTGTAGCAGACACGGTATCTGGGACGGAGAGACTATTACATAGTTCTGTTCTTTCGTATATTGTATATTTTTTATTTAATTCTTATTATTCTCCAATATATATTAATTTTTCTATAAAAATATTACATATAATTGCTATTTAAATACAAATAAAAACACAAAACACAACACTTACGGAATGGTTTGTCGTAAGAAATATTAAAACTACTATGTCATCAAAATATTTAAATTCATTATCTTATATATTTTTTTTATCTGTCAACTTTATTTTTATTTTTTCTAATTGGTCCGTTGCTATCCTTCGTTTAATATTTACTTGCAATAAATATCACTATTTTTAGATTTTGAGTTAAAATTTGAATTGTCAAAATTTTGAATTTGAATAATTGTATGATGTGATATAAATAGACGTATGATGTGATGTTTTGAATGTAAAATTGATTTTTAGTATAATATAAAAAATAAAAAATAGGTGTTTAATTTGATATTTTTGAAAGAAAAAATGACATGACAGTGAATTTAAACTCCAATCCCCAAACAAACACACTTATTTTAATTTTTAATTAAATTTTAAAAATATATGCAATTACATTTTACTTTTATTATTCTCTTACTAAAATATCTAATTTTTTAATCTTCAACTAAAGTAGGCTAATTTGACTGAAACGGATGGAGCTATATTTAACATTTTTTATTTTTTTTAACATCTAACAAATTTTAGTTTGTGTTGTGTTTAAATTTTTGGTTAGTATTTTAAATTTTGATATTTTAATCTTTAGAAATAAAATATTTGTTTACTGCTATACTTTATAAGAAAATATAAGTGATTTTTTTTTTGAAAAAAAAAAATTGTATATTTTTAATTTCTTTCATTTAATTTTTCTCATCTGTTTTATTATTCATCTACAATAATTAATTTTTTTTTTTTTAAATATCACATCATACATCTAACTTTTATTTAGTACACTATAAAGAATTAACTCAACTCGAATCATCAAATCAAATAAAAACATAAGCAAAACATAAAAAATACAAGTAGTCTTAAATAAAAATATACTTGTTTTCATATTAAAATATTGCATCCAACTATTCCTTCATCCTAAAAAATTTGGTAAAAACAAAAACCTCCAAGAAAACACAAACCAGTAAATATTAAAATTAAATGGAATGCAATAATATGAATGGTGCGTGTAGTAGGGTGGGTAGGGTAGGGTAGGGTAGGGTACTGTGAGTGAGGGCTGCCAAACATAGTGGAAGTGGCCAAAATTTTTCTATATGGAAATTCTATGGATGCTTCTATCAAAAATTAAGAAAATGTCTGCTTAGGACAAAATTACCAAATAGTTGGTTCCGCAAGCGTTGGATTTAAATTTTTTGTTTAAATAATATTTTATCTATCCATTAAATTAAAAATATTTGAATCTAATGTGAAAATTAAAAAAATAAATATTTTATTTAAAAAATAATAGAATATATTTTTTGAAAATTTTATTAAGAATTTTAAAAAATGAATAGATAAAATGTAATTAAAATGACACTTGTGCTAAATAAATATTGAATGAAGAATCATATTTAAAAAAAAGTGAATAAATTTAAATGACGGATGAAATATATTTTATTAAAAATTGTACCATATAAATAATATAAATGATGCTAATGATTTATTTCTACAGCTTTAGTATATTTTTTCCACAATAATAATAATTGTTCATAAGAATAACAATCCGCACTAAAACACTAAGGATGCATTCGAAAAAATCAACCTAATCATGTATCATATTACTATATATTTTTCACTTTTTTATTTTTCTAATTTTTATTGGCTCATATATAAATAGAGTCCGTAGTAATAATAATAATAATAATTGGGTTGGTATTTAATTTTTTATTTGGATTACATGATATGATAAAAATAGAAATAGGATTAATTTAATTTCTTATTTTGAAAATATTATAGGATATTTAAGATAATGAAGTATATACATATATATTTTGAGAAGGACGGATATTATTTTTCATAAGAAATATTTGATAAAACCACTATTTCTAAATCTGAAAATAAATCCCCATAAAAATAACATTACACAACTTTAACAAAACCACGCATCTCGAATATGAATGAACACATCTGATTGCATCTCAAAATCAACATTTCCTCATCTATATAAATTACAGGATGGAAAAATATCTATATCTATATCTATCTATCCATCTAAAACCTTAAAAATGGAACAAATGGCAGTATAATTGAATGGGAAATAACATGAACTGAAAGATCAAAACAAGAACATGCTATATAAGGCACGGACTCAAGATAAATGTGCATCGAGTAAGTCATTCCAAGTATCGGTAATACCTGGTAAGCACCAGTGCATGCAGTCGTCGTGTAGTTTCCCACCGGCCATGGCTGGATGAGCATCAGCTCGATACTCGCTCAAGTGTGTGATGTCTAATGTTCGAAATCTTGAGCCCGTGAGGGAGCCGTGTAGGTGGCTGTTCACAAGCCGTGCCTCCACATTTGTTCCATTGTGTTCAACGCCGAATAGTTTGTCCACCTGGGATTTCGACAGACCAAAGAACAAGATTTATTATGGAAGGGAGTGAGATGAAAATTGAAAACAGCAAAAGATGAGATGATTGTGTCGAAGAGAGTAGTTACTTCTTGAGGCATCAGAGGTTGGAGTCGGGGGCAAGAACCGCCTTGATCCCAATCCCCCCCTTCGAAATGCCTTGGGGATTGGGTTCGGAAGAAGAGAATTGCATCTGGTCGGACATTTTTCTCGACATACGATACCTAATCAAATGCATTGCAGATAGGGTATTGTAAGAAAATATAATTGAATGTGCAAAAAGTGGGAACGCAGCAGACGGATTATTCCAAGGTAGAACTAATGGAGTTCCAAGGAAAAGAGGGAATTGATCAATTCACAGTTCTGACATATGAATTTTATGTTCAGATAGTACATTTGTAACAAAATCCTAGGTTACGTACCATGTGTCTTAACACCATATCAAGGCCGGCATCAGGTGTGATCATGGGGCTCACGGGCACGCCTTTCTCAAAAAAAAGCATAGGTGATTTCACAGGGTCAAACTTTGAAGGAGCCCACCACCTGAATCGGAATCAAGGAACCGAATAACAACCATAAACCATATAGGAAACAAGAACTATAAATGGTGCTTAGTGGCAACTGCAGCCATTGAAAAGATGATGATGGTGGGTTCGCAAATGATGTATATCTAATAATTTATGTTCAAGATCACTCATTTCGCTTCAGCTGTAAGCACCAGCTGTATGGTGAAAAGAGAAATATACGAATAGCTGTGTTCAAGAAATATTCAAGAACCTGTCGCAAACTGTGTATCTTAGCATCATGGAGAGTACAATCTTAAATTAGTAATCTAACAGAAAGTGATTCTCTTTATCCAATAATTATCAGTCTTAGCAGCATACCAAATGTCGAATTGAATTACCAGTGTCCTGTGTTGAAGATGAGTATGTTGTGAAATTTTGGAGCTTCTACCCAAGTTCCTTCTGGTAAATCAACATCGACTCTATAACCTTCCTTATAACCAAGTGACTCCAATGTACCGCCATCCTTACTGGCTGACCACCTAGAAAGTATAGAAATGGTGTAAATACAATGTTCAATCTCCAGTACATTAAATACTTGAAATGCTCCCTTCACAGGTAAAAACTAGAAACTAGAATAATTGAAACATTTAAACGTACCATTACAACCAGGAGCTATTTATACAAGGAAATACACGGCACAAACTATCTGATGATTTGCACAATTTTTGAAACGTATTTGAATACAATGTTCAAACTCCACCAGCATGTAAAATACTGAAATACTCCCTTCACAGGTAAGGTCAAACTAGACACTACAATAATTGAAATAGTTGAAAACACCATTACAACCAGGAACTAATCAAGGAAGAAATACAGGTTTAGTCCCATAATATTTATTCTGTAACATTAAATGGTAATGCAAACACAACATACACTTAAGTCTTCTTAGGAAATACTACTGCATCCAAAACTCTTCTCAGAAGAAATGGCCGAGGAGGAAATTCTTAACATTTTAATTTAGTTCATTGTTGAAATATAGTATAAAATCAAACATCACATCTAGTTTAAAAAAGAAACAAATTTAACAAATCTTAGGGTATAACTGCTAAGCAACCCATAATTACTCTCGACCTCCAACTTAATAGCAGCATAAAAAACCAATCACAGAGCCATTAATCAAAGATAAGGGTTGTATTGTTCCAAGATTCAGGCTACAGAGGAAAATCAATTTTGAATCAGAGCCAAAAAAGGAAAATAAAAAAATAAAAAAAATCATTACTTTTCAACAAAGACAAGAAAACTAGTTCAATTTGGCTTACCTACCATAACGAGCCAGAAGATTGGTTCGATGATACGCAATGGTGAGGTTGTACTTCAAAAACGTGAAACCACGGTCAGCTCCAGCAGGGCGCCACTTTTTAACCTCACTGGACACTCGTCTCAAAGTGCAGAACAGAGAAACAAACATGTTTCTGTTCAAGGAATCCCCAACAAACCCTGCGCTGTTGAAAATTAATTAGGCCAACAATTGATAGATGATCCCAAACCACTTGAGATTCAAAGATTATGATATAATTAAACAATGCCATATAATGATTAATTTTAATTTCACTTAAGGAATGAGTCTGCACTCTCAACAATTCGAATTCCATCTACAGCAAACACACCAATATTGGTATCTCGAAATCTCTCCAGGAACTTCAACGGATCAAACGGCGGGAGATCACAGCCGTAGGGCTTCCACCGCCACTTGGGAATCTCAATGGCGTTGGATTTGTTATTCGCGATGCAGTTCCACCCTTTGAAGATCTCCTTGCAGGTGTGGTCGTAACGCCGTTCGAATCTCATCGTTGGATCGTAGATCCACCGCCCTTCAGTGTAATTGCAGCTACCTTTCCTATTCTCACGCACCGCAGAGTAGGTTACCAACGGCAACACCACGTCGTTCCGGAAGACGGAGAAGTACAGGAACGGAGAAGCTAGGCAGATAAAAGCAAAAATGAGACGATAAGCTAGAGACGAAGTAGAACCGGCGAACTTCTTCGAATAGTAATGTTGATCCCTCTCTGCCATGGCGGACGGCGACGCGCTGCCGAACCGGCGCATATTAGCAACCACCACCGCCGTTTATTTCAGTTGTTTACATGTAATTAAGACATACAGGCTTTAATGGTTCTTCTAATTGGGCTTTTAGGGCCCAATTGAAATTTGTGAATGGGCTTTTAGGCCCAAATTATATATTCCTAAATGGGCTTAAGAGCCCATCTTGTAATCACCTTATATAATATAACGGCGTCGTTTTTAGCGATCGATTTCGGAAATTTTTTAATAGGCTTTAGGCCTAAATTCATAAATTCCTGTATGGGCTTTCGAAGCCAATTTGTAATCACCTTTATTTATATCTATATATTATAAAACGGCGTCGTTTAGGACCCTTCGGCCCAAAATTCGAAGTTTCGGAATGGGCTTTTAGGCCCAAATGTATAAATTCCGAAATGAGCTTTCAAGCCCATCTTGTAATAAACCTTTTATATATATATATATAAGTTAAAACGGCGCCGTTTTAGAACTCTGTCTAGGGTTTTGGATTAAGGAAATTTTGTCATTTCTAATATGCACATGTGAATAAACTACACTCACCCTTCTCCACGCCGTCTGCTGAATCAACGCTCTCGCTTTTGGAGCTGCCGTTCTTGAAAATGTCTGCAATTAATCGGACTATGTCGACGTCTATCGCCTCCTCCACATCCACTTTCCTCGGCAGCAACGATCTGAAGAAGATCAGGTTATAGTTCTTTGTTGTTGTTTTTCCTAAATTTTTTCGGTGCATGTTCAGTTCCTGCTTGATTACATTTAGCTCCATTCGAATCAAATTTGGAAGCTGTACGTGCTTTGCAGGGCCTCGAAGGTATTGATTCCCAGGAGAGTCAATGGTGTAGTGAAATGCGTAGCCTCGCCTTCGGCTGAGAAGACCGGTAATTTGCTGAACTATTGCAAAGTTTGGTTGTGCAGGAACTAGTCTTTGCGTAGCATCAATATTGAAACTGCTGTAAGTATGCTGGTCAATGATGAATGCTTTCTGATTGATTCGACATATGATGAAGTTTACACGACCAAGGTGTCGCGCAACAATAACATGGCCAAACTTCAAGCTGGCTATCTCTTTCCAGAGGTATCCGTTTTTGTTTATTTATTTATTATTGTTAAATATATCTTTAAAACTATGTTTGATGAGAGCCTTTCATGGTATGCATCTTTTGAGTTCTGACAATAAATTCCCTATGTTTCAAAATTTTGTGTATAGTGAATTGTATTTTAGGGATTTAAGGTGGGTAATTGCTGATCACAGATGTTTTCTATCATGTCTATGATGACTATGTTGATACATTATATTCGTCGTCTCTAATCCAACAAAGTGCAATGTTTTGGTATAAAGGGATTGAGTTGTTCTCGTCCCTATAGGTTAACATTTCTTTCTTGCATTCTGTTTTATTTTCTTCTGTAGTGATGAGAAATGAGATTCTTCCATATGTTTTCGAATAATCATATTTTAATGCTTATGAAACAACTACTTTGGCATATGGTTAAATGATGGGTCTATTCATTGCTCTTTTTTCTGTTTTCATTAGATTGCGAGACGAAGATCTGCACACATGCAGAAGCATCCTGATGCCCAAGTGATCAGCCTCGGCATTGGTGACACAACAGAGCCAATTCCTGAAGTGATTACTTCTGCCATGTCAAAGGTGTATTGCTGTTATTCCTATAAACTATTCATCGTACTTTAAAATAATATATAAATCTTGAGAGTAAGATTCTTAACATCGCCAGGCTTGAAGCCTCGAATGAACAGATCTCATAGTTGCTCGAGTATGAGACTATCCTAAAAAGGTGTTCGTAGTGATAGCTGCACACACTTTGACTTCAGTTGGGGTTTTTGTTTTGTGATGTTTTCTTGTAAGGCAACAATGGTACAACCAATCAGTAGCTAAATGCATGCAATTAGATATGAAGGATAGCTCTTTAGATTGGGAAATATTCTCTTTTAGCTCGATATATCTTTATCTTGTGTCTGTTTGACATTTAAGTTATGAAAGCTCATACTTGATCCCTGATTGTAATGTTTTTCCTTTCACTTGTCAGAGAGCACTGGCTTTGTCCACAGTAGATGGTTACAGCGGTTATGGAGCTGAACAAGGTGAAAAGGTCGGTAATAGTCTTTGTCATTTTCTTTTTGGTCTTATTGTTGTTTTCCTTCATCATTTCCTCCAATAACATGCATCGTTTTTGACAATTATTGGTATATTGTGTGAAATTAACAGGCTTCCATGTGTTGATTTTTGTGATTATATTTATTTATGTATTTTTAAGAAAAGCTCATTTTTCTTCTTCTTCTTTAATTTTACAGCAATTGAGAGCTGCCATTGCGTCAACCTACTATGCAGATCTTGGCATAGAGGAGGAAGATATATTTGTGTCTGATGGTGCAAAAAGTGACATATCTCGCCTGCAGGTGAGCATTCTTGTTCTTGTCTGGATTGGTTTTCCACTATGTTTTGATGCGACTTTGTGTGGCAACACTTATGTTTCTTTAAATTAATATATTATTTTTGTATGACAGGTTCTTTTTGGATCCGATGTGACAATTGCTGTTCAAGATCCATCCTATCCGGTAAATGTCTATTGCTTATCTATAAGATCAGAGCTAAGCTGATTTTCAAATAACGCCATTTATAAGCTCGGCTAGTTGTTTAAATGGCATAAAGCCGATTATGTTAACATTATCGTTGCATTTCTGTCAATCTTAAGGTTTTAGATGAATGTGATGCATCCTTTTTTATCAGATGCTCTATCTCTTGTCTCCTGGTTTTGGTTGCCCGAACTGTCAATTAAAAATGACTCGATATGTTAATATGGCTGTCTGAGCTTGTTTTGGTAGCTCCATTATTATTCCTGTGTCGGGAGCAATGTAGAAATGTATTTAGAAGATATTTGAAGAATGAAACTATCTTAAGGGTATTGTGATGGCAGAAATTTTGATATATGTATATATTTTAATTTCTGAATATATTTCTACATTTCTTTTGGTACATGATATATGCATTTATTATTGAATTTAAAGAGAAACAGGATTATCTAAACTCTTACAAAAATGTAGGCATATGTGGATTCAAGCGTTATTCTGGGTCAGACCGGACAGTTTCAGAAAGACATAGAGAAGTATGGAAATATCGAATACATGAAATGCACGCCAGAAAATGGTTTCTTTCCTGACTTATCCAAAGTGTCTCGGACAGATCTCATATACTTCTGTTCTCCAAACAACCCGACTGGTTATGCTGCATCGAGAGACCAGCTAACCAGACTTGTTCAGTTTGCCAAGGAAAACGGGACAATCATAGTCTATGACTCTGCTTATGCCATGTATGTGTCCGATGACAGTCCAAAATCCATCTTCGAGATTCCTGGAGCCAAAGAGGTATGTTTGGATAATCCTATCATCTTATCTCAACTCTTATTCTAGCAGGAAATACTTAAGTATTTCATCAATTTTGTTTATCAATTTTGGGAAGTTTGTAACTATATAAGAAAATTTTTTGCTATAAATGAAAACTGTTAGTATGACACATAATCAAGTTCTCTAGTAATTATTCGATTAGATTGGGTTGTAGTCCAACTATGTGGTATTGATATATCCTATTTGATTACGTGCAGGTTGCTCTCGAAGTTTCTTCCTTTTCTAAGTATGCTGGTTTCACGGGAGTTCGTCTTGGTTGGACTGCAATTCCAAAGGAACTTCTTTATTCGGATGGATTCCCCGTAGCTAAGGACTTCAACCGAATTGTTTGTACTTGTTTCAACGGTGCATCCAACATTGCTCAAGCCGGCGGTATGGCCTGTGTTTCGGCTGAGGGCATTAAGGTCAAGTTTTTTTCTCCCCATGTTTCTTATCTCCATTAAGTTAGTTGCCTTTTCAAATGGATCACCAAAATGACTAAGCAAATATGGGATGTCGGGTCGGGCGAGACAACTATGCATCGAGTAATAACCAAGGGGTTGTGTTGTCCTATGTGCAGGCAATGCACGAGGTGGTTGGCTTCTACAAGGAAAACACAAATATCATAGTCGACACATTCAATTCGCTCGGTTTCAAGGTATACGGAGGCAAGAATGCGCCGTATGTTTGGGTCCACTTCCCGGGCCAAAGCTCGTGGGATGTTTTCAGCGAGATTCTTGAGAAGACCCATGTGGTTACTACACCCGGGAGTGGTTTCGGGCCTGGCGGTGAAGGCTTTGTCCGGGTAAGCGCCTTCGGACACAGGGAAAATGTGCTGGAAGCCTGTAGAAGATTCAAGCAGTTGTACAAATAAACATCTATCTGCCTACCAAATTGAGTTTACCATAATCCCAAAAGACACGTGTGTATTATTACAACTTTGTTATAATGCATCATCTGCATTCAAATATTTGATCTTGTTGTAGTTCCTAGTTTAGATTTCTTGTTCAGCCTTCTTTGTTATTTAGACCCCATTTAGAAACAGATTTGAATATTAACCGTGGAGATAGGGGTTGGGTCACAAATTCAAATTCTGTCAGACATCTTTTGGGTCAAAGTTAGCGAATGGGACTTGTTTTTCTTATATCCTGCAACTGCTACCGGCTTAACAAGGCAAGTCATATTAGGTGAACTATGTAAACTATGTGTTACAGACAAGAGTTGGGTAGTTCATGATCTTACAGTCACGAGTCTATCGTATCAAGTTAAAATATAATGAATTTCTATGCCTAAATAAAAGTATTATACTATTCAATAATAAATAAATTCATAGTATGATCCAAATTCATATTATTATGCAACTACCTACTTGTGTGAGACAGGTATTTTCCAGACATAATATAGACACATATCATAATCATGTAAATTAAATTTAGAAGATTTAAAGGATATCATATTATGCTACCAAATATAACCCTCATCCTAGATTTGGCCATCAATTATACAAATAAAAAATGCAACACAAAAGTTAGCAAAGAAAGTGCACAAAAAGGGTTAAAGAAGAAAAAGGTATAAGCAACAAACATCACAGCAGTTTAAGGAAAACTATCTACATTAGTACACTAAACTACACTACACAAAATCTACATATGTTCTATACTGTTCCACGTACCTGATTTGCAAGTAGACTTATAATGCCCTATCTGATTGCACTGGCTACAGTGGACGATATGTTTCTCGCGGTTAAGATCCTCCACGCACATTCGTTTCTTCTCCGGTCTTCCGGGAGGCCGCCTGGACTTAGGAGGCCTCACAATCTGTAGTTCATTGTTCAAGTCCATTTGCTCGTCTTTATTCCACTCAATCCTACGAGGAACCGGACGTACTTCTTTGGCATACGCTGTACGATAACTAGCCACAGTGAAGTACTTTCCGATGAAAGTATGAACATCCCTTTTGGATGCGGTAATGGCTGCGACAGCATGAGAGCAAGGCAAAGAATACAACTTCCAATCCCGGCAGGAACAGGAATGTGTTTTGATGTTGACAATATCGGATCTTTCTGATGAAAGAATCTCAAACTCTGCCTCATCGGATTGGAGGACTTGATAAGTTGAAGCCCGGTCGGTTGCTTCGATCATGTGCTTCTCTGCTGATGGGACGAGAGTGAAGAACCATGACTTGCATTTTTCACGCCTATCCTCAAATTCTGCCATGAGCTTACTGTGGATTTGCTCGATCACTTGCATTATGGGGAGCTCCCGAGCTTCAAGAATCCACTGATTGAACTCATCTATATTGGAAGATAGATGGCCATACCGAGGTCCTTCAAAATACATTAATGCCCAACGAGCAGGAGGATATTGTTGTAGCCATTTTGCTGCATCGGCAGAAGCTTTTTCGAGTTCAGCCATTTTTTCTTTGAAGCTAATGGTAGTAGTGGCATATGCTGCTTTCCAAAGTAGTTGGACAAGTAGGGGATTCTTGAACTCCCTACTGATGCTCTTACTCAAGTGTTTCAGGCAAACACCATGCCAAGCAGTCGGGAATTTTCTTATTACAGCATCTGTAATGCCTTTCCCCCCGTTGGATAAGAAAGTAAGCCTCAGTATGGTCTCCGAAGCCATCTCAAGAGCCTTGTGTAATTCCGACAAGAACCACATCCAACTTTCATCGTTTTCTACATCAACAATGCCAAAGGCAAGTGGGAACAACCCGCCGTTAGAATCGAATGAAGTGGCAGAAAGTAACGTGCCAAGGTACTTGCTTTTGAGCTGAATTCCACCTAATCCGATAACAGGGAGGCAACCATGGAAGAACCCGTGCATGGAAGCATAAAAGGAAAGAAATAGGCGGTGAAATCGGTTGTCTGTGCCAGTAGTAAACACTTCTGCGACACTTCCCGGGTTGGTCTTCCTAATTTGGTCACAGTATGCTGGAAGGAGGTAATAGCCTTCTTCGGAGGAGCCATGTATAGCTTGAAGGCCCCGTTCCTTGGCACGCCAAGCCTGCTTGTACGGAATAGTTATCCCATATTGTTCATAGATGTCGTGTAGGATGTCTTTTGGTCTGTAATTTACGTTGCCACGCAGGCGTTCCTCTATGAAGTTCACAATCCAGTCGACCGAGGCCTGATGATGCCCAGAACTCGCGTTCCTCCCACAGGTATGTGTTCCTTCAAGGCTTCGTATAGAGAAAGTCGAGGCATTTGGAAGCTTTATTGCTCGTATTCGCCATGGACAGCCTTCTGCAGCACATTTAGCTATGTAACGGATTAGATCGCTTTTAATGATTCGAAGCTCAAAGTGCTGTGCAATGGCGGCTTCTTTTATTGCACTGCGGAAGGTCTTTACATCTGGAAATTCCTGTCCAACAAAAAAGTTTGCTTCCTCCATGCAGCAAAGGAGGCGACCGCTTAGTTAATCGAACCATCAACCACTCAGCTCAGTTGATCTACAACTCCTTCAGTAAACATTCCCAACACGCGAGGATAATCGAACACAAATATCTGCACGTGGATGCACAAGATCAGAGAATGACAACGTTAGCACAATTAGGCAGGTGATTTTCGAATTAAACAACCATGTGCTTTTTCAATTCTTGGATACTGAATGCAAAAGAGGACTACTCACGAATAAATCAGTACAATAAAAATGCAGCATAATCAGATGTTTGAATGTTGAATTTTCACTGCCAAAATTGTTTTGTGGAAGTACACACACAAAAGAAGCTAAACAACATGCAATTTAGATGAACAAATAAATAACCTTTCCATTGATTCGAATTTCAGAAACTCACATAAACATCACCAGAAATCCCCCGCGCCCCTTGAAATCTTTTCGGGAGCTTATTAGCAATGTACAGAGATGCTCGAGTAACGAGCAAGGATTGAAGCTATCGACTCGGCAAACGAATCAAAAGCTAATTCAAAATTCGAGAGATTTCTTACGATCACCAGAAAGTCAATGAATGCAACTCACCTGAGACTTCTTAGCGCGGGCAGTGATCGATTCGAAGCGCGAGGAGCTTACCGGAGCAGTGATTCTGCTCTACCCACGGACTAGGGCTAATGGAGCCACCAAGGTCATAACCGTCATTTCAAGCCCTTCACAAGATGCGTATTGTCTACAAATTTGTAAATTTTAAAATAATATAAGCATAAAATTATAACTTGTATTTCTTGCTGGGCCACATTGAAACCCCAATAAATTTAACTACTGACCCGACTATGGAACTGGGCCCAATTAGAATCCAGACCCGTGTTTGAGCGGCGCCTAGAGCCCAAATTTACAAACAATATATGTGACTCGAGATTTGCCAAAAAAAAATATATATATTAATACACTACGGGGTGTGTTTGTCTGGGGTTTGGATTTTGAATTGAGATTTGAATAGTAAAAATTTTGAATTTGAATAGTGGTATAATGTGATATAAATAGGTGTTGATGTGATATTTTGAATGTAAAATTAATTTTTATTATAATATAAAAAAATGAAAAATAGATGTTTGATTCAATGTTTTTTTTTTATAGAAAAAAATAGAATGAATAGTAGAAATCTAATTAACTCCCCCAAACAAACACATCTTAATTTTTTAACTTTAAATATTACGCATACTTTTTATTTTATTAGTTATTATATATAAATATTAAATATTATATATTAACTTTAAAAAATCGGATCGGTACGGCGTGACCTTCGTAGACCCAGGGGCATAGCCCGAAAAAATTCGGGCCTACTTTTCGATTTCGGATCCAATTTTCGAACCTGGCCTATTTTTGACTCCTCTGCTGTTAGATAACAGTCTCACCTCCTAAGCTCATTAATTATTTTTTGTAATATACGAGAGTTCCAACAATAACGAAATATTCAGAAAAGAAAAACTCGAAACAAAGTGAGCAACTCAAGCAAAGTGTAATATCAATTAGTGAAAAACACTTAGAAGGGCATTCCAAGGCATTAAGCAAGCCCCCAAGTCTGAAATTCAAGAATTATTACTTTGGTGTAGAAGAAAAAGAGTAAAACTCACTTCAATTCCACAAGTTCAAATCGAATATCTTTCATCAATCGACAATAACTCATTCAACGCGCACCTTCCTTGATGACATTCTTCAATTTTTCAGTTGCAGCCACCAGCTCCGCTGATATCCCCGCCTCATTAGCAGAATGTCCAGCATCCGGAACCACCTGTTAAAAGTAAAGCCAGAAGTCGAACCGTGCAAATTTATGAAGAAAACTTGTGCCTATCAAGTTTTTCAAATCTATGGTAGATGTGTTTCTTACTCTAAAGTCAGCTTCTGGCCAAGCTTTATGAAGATCCCAAGCTGACATTATAGGACAGCAGACATCGTATCTTCCCTGCATTAGAAATTAAGGAAAATTTCATTGCCAATTTCGGCAATTTTCTCCCACGAGTTAAGACAACACAAGAGAAGAATCGAGGAACTGGGAGAACCTGCACGATTACAGTGTTGATGTGCCTTATTTTATCTATATTATCAAGCAAGTACGAATCCGTAGGAAAAAATCCTTTGTTCACAAAATAGTGATTCTCAATCCTCGCAAAAGCCTGCATTAAGTGCAAGAAGTTGATTTCAATGAAGTCGGAACAATAATTTTATCAATCAAGAATTATTAAAAGGTTGTAACATTAAGAGGGTAGTGTATGGTAAATAAAATTAAGCTATCTAAATAACATATGATCCATGTTTCAAAACATCCAAAATGATCACGACATCTTACCAAGCAAAACTCATCATCCTCCCCCCGTTGTATGCTTACTTCATTTGGAACAAGATGAGCCGTCATCATTTCCCATTTCGTCCATGCCCTAGCAGCTGCGTACTACAATCCAGACAAACAGTGACACAAAGAACATAAACATGCTTTAAATACGCAAATTCACCAATTTCATCACTCGACGTATAGCGTCGTACATTTTATCAAAGACATAATGATGAAAATAGAAGGTTATATAAAAACAGGAAAAATGGAGTATAGTTATTCCTACTTGTGTCTCCTTGTTGTCAGAGTTTAATCTCTTGTGGTAAGCATCAACAAAGCATCCTCTTTCATTCTCGGGGATAAGATCTCTAAATGGCTCCCAAGCTGCACAAAAAATTTATGTGACCTAATGTTTAGATCTTCGAATGGTTTGACCGCTACAATGCAATAACATTGTCAAAATTATCTGTAGTCGCTACTTCCTCAAGTGTTCAGTCGATAGGAGCTTCCATAACAAACTTCACTACAAAGATTTAATTCAAGTTTCAAATATATTTATAACCTTCTTTGTGGTGTCCATTGAACAATAAAAGTCCGTAATATTCAACTGTATAAAAATTTTGATTTAAGCCCCTTTCAATGTAAAGCGTTTAGATTACGAATAATTCGATGTAATTGTGCCCTTGCAGAGAAATAATGAAATAAAGAATACCGTCGGGGAATATTGCAGCAGCTCCACCCTCATAAAACCAATTTATCTCTTTCTTCCGCAACAAAAAGATGCCTCTCAATACCAAACCAGTTACCTAAGAAACAAGATGATATCAATCATCAACGTGACCAAGAACATCATTTATATTTCAAATTGCGAGTGTTTAAAAGAACCTTGTCGGGATGAGATTCACTGTAAGCCAGAGCAAGTGTGCTTCCCCATGAACCACCAAAAACCTGCACAAACATGTCGATGGATGATGAGAAGGAAATTTAATGACAAACTAACAATAACCTAATATCTAGATTATCACACTGACCAGCCATTCTGGAACATTCAAGTACTCTCTCAGTTTCTCAATATCGTTGACGAGATCCCAAGTTGTATTCTCTTCCAAGCAAGCATGAGGTGTACTTTTACCTGCACCTCTCTGAAGAAGAAGTATTTCAGCAGAAAACATCACAAAAGTATTCGGGTTTACTCTTCCATATTAATCAAAATGTTTATGTTATAAACCTGATCAAATAAAATGATCCTATAAAAACTAGGATCAAAGAATTTCCGGTTAGTTGGTGAAGTTCCACCTCCGGGGCCTCCATGGAGAAAAACCACAGGCTGCAAGGTTCAAAAAATAATAACAATAATCAACAGGGGCACGAAAGCTACCATTTCGAACATAGACATACAAAATTCCTAAGTGTATAGCTTAAGGAATGCCTACGCATAAATAAACACAACCATAAGTAAACTAATCCGCACCAATCCAAAGTACAATGCAATTAGAGAAAACTCACATGTCCATCTGGATTTCCAGACTGCTCATAATATATCGTGTGGATATCCGAAACCTTTAGATTACCAATGTCATATGGCTCTATATCCTGGAAAACTTTCCTGTTTACTTCAGGAGATGACCCCATCATGTCCATAGTTTCTAGGCTTACTTGTTGATCACTATAAACACAATCAAGCCGGAGATTTCTACTGCACTGAACCAACTCTCTTCTCCCTGCAACAACACGACACTATCCACAGAATAAATCAACCAAATCGTTCAAGCAAGTTGCAATGATGCAAGACTGAAGAAACAGAGGCAAAAAAACTAGCAGACATCAAGGGAGAAAGATGAAAAATTATATTCTGTATGTTGAATGAATGAATGACGAATGAGTACATTGAAGAGTATTTAAATAAAGGAATATTAACTGCTTATGCTAACTGCTTATGTGAACTGCCTAACAAACTAAAACAGACTAACAAAACACATGTATAACAAAGTAATCATCCATAGTCACCAATGAGAGTGTTATCAGCATCTGGTTTCAATCTGGAATGGTGTGGTATTTGCTTATCATCAAAGACAGTCAGCCAATCTTTCCTTCAATAAATAAATCAACTGTAACACAGTATACCATTCAATGATAAAAATACAAAGCTGAACTGAATGATTATTTAGGCATTTCTACAAACACTTGGTGAGCGTTTCATTCAACTCTGTCCCCAGATACCCAAAAACAATAGTGTAAAAACAATATACCCTAGAACTTCACTTCCTTAATCGCAAGAAAACGAATAAAGACATGCACATGGATGGATGCAGAGTCAAAGATATTGATAAAAAGAAGAACAAAACAAATACCTGGGGTTCCCAGGCGATATTCGGACGGAGAGATTGAAGATATCTCAAGGAAGAAGCGTAATCGACTGACGGTGGGAAAAAACGGGTCTTTGGAGATGAAATACCCACAGCACTCAGACTCATTTGGGTTTTTATCAAATGATATCAATTTCAAATTAAAATCAACATCGTGGAAGCCCTCTAATTTCAAGAACCCTTTTTCGGACAAGACATCGCTTACATCATTCGGCTTCGGTTGTTACACTACAGCTAGTATTGTTTATTAAATATTGTCGTCCCGTATAAATTATATACATATTAAGATTAAGATAGGTGAACAGAAATAGAACAAATGAATATTTTATATGAGATAAAAAGGTATTAAATAAATATTTTATATTAATTTTATAAATATTTATATTTTTTTAAGTATAATCAAATTTTATATAATATAAATAAATATATAGTATTATAAATTAATTTATGAAAATTATAAAATGTTAAATATAAATAAAAATATTTATTTAGTAAAAAGAGATATAAATATAAGATTTTGAATAAATTATAATATTATATATTATAAAATTAATTATATTTATTTATAGTTATTAAATATATTTTAAATAAATATAATTTATTAAAAATAAAAATATTAATTATTTTAAAACAAAATAATATTAAAATTTTATTTTTATAAAAGATACATTTCTTATCGCATCAAATATTATTTTTCAATATTCAACTATTAAATTATCAAATCTAAACAAACCATTTTGGAGTTTAGATTATAGTAAAATTTGATGAGATTAAATTAATTGCCAAGTGGCAATAGGGTTTGGGCGGTGACAATATAGTATATGCATTTTGTTTCCTTTACAGAATATAAAATGATTAATCAAGACAAACCAACCAAAGATAAGAATTTTGAGAGCCACAGAATTCGGATGGATCTCACCAAAAATAAAAATAAAAATACCTCAACAATTTCCAATTCCACAAAAATCAAATCCTTTTGCAACTCCACACTCTTTTTAGAACAACTTATCCCATTTCATTTATTTTATGTCGATTGCAGAAACTTCTCAACTGAATACTTAACTCCATTACCATTATTACTACTATTCCATCCATGGAAGCTCAACAGAGGATTGCAAGAATTTCAGCTCATCTCTATCCTCAGGTATATGCAATAAACATGATGCATTTAATTCACGTAATAAATTGTACTTCATTACCTTGTCATGGAGATTTCTTGTGGTGCAGCAGATGGGAGAGTATCAGACATGTCTGAGCCGGGACAATTGCCGCGCGAAAGGAGGTGCGCCGGGGTTCAAAGTGGCGATCCTCGGAGCCGCCGGAGGGATAGGACAACCACTAGCAATGCTGATGAAGATGAATCCTCTGGTCTCAGTTCTGCATCTCTACGATGTCGTCAACACTCCCGGCGTCACTGCAGATATAGGTCATATGGACACAGGAGCAGTTGTAAGTATGCATGGATAAAAACAGAATCTTTGCTTGGTGTTTTATGGAGAAATTGTCCTGACTTGGCATTTGCATGGTCAGGTGAGGGGGTTCTTAGGACAGCAGCAGCTCGAGGGTGCGCTGACGGGGATGGATCTTGTAATAATACCTGCCGGAGTTCCAAGGAAGCCGGGGATGACCAGAGATGACCTCTTCAACATCAATGCTGGGATTGTGAGGACCCTGTGCGAAGGGGTCGCCAAGTGCTGTCCTAATGCGCTTGTTAACCTGATCAGCAACCCCGTGAATTCGACTGTCCCTATTGCTGCTGAGGTCTTCAAGAAAGCCGGGACTTATGACCCTAAAAAGCTCTTGGGAGTCACCATGCTGGATGTTGTGAGAGCCAATACATTTGTGGTAGGTGCTGTAACATTAGCTAATCCTGTTTTTTGTTAATAAGCTCATTAAAAAACTTGGATTGTCATTTATGTATGCGTGTGTATGTATATATATGTGTATGTATAGGCTGAAGTTTTGGGATTGGATCCGAGAGAAGTTGATGTACCTGTGGTTGGAGGACATGCTGGGGTGACAATTTTGCCACTTCTCTCACAGGTTTATGAAAAGATTGAATTTTGGCATCTACTTGTGGTGTTGCTGTATAGATTGTTAGCTCAAGATTATCTGTGTATGCAGGTGAAGCCTCCTTGCTCGTTTACGCCGGAAGAAGTCGAGTATCTAACAAAGCGGATTCAGGATGGAGGAACAGAAGTTGTCCAGGTAGATTAGATGTTGCATTAAACTAAACAAGTGATGAACTTTGAAGGGAGTGTCTTAACTGGTGAAAACATTGTAGGCGAAAGCCGGAGCAGGTTCTGCGACGCTGTCAATGGTAAGATAATTGATCCCTAAACCTTGCAATGTTTAAGAAGACAAGATAAGCATATGACATACAAGTGAAAATTGTATATAGGCATATGCAGCAGTGAAATTTGCAGATGCTTGCCTGCGCGGCTTGAGAGGAGACGCCGGCGTCATTGAGTGTTCCTTTGTTTCTTCCCAAGTATCTACTAAACATCCATATGTACATAGTAAATATTTGCTCCATGGAAGGCAGAAATGTGACATATATGTATGTGTATAATAAATCACTTGCAGGTTACAGAACTCCCTTATTTTGCAACAAAGGTCCGGCTTGGCCGTGGAGGAGCAGAGGAGGTGTTCCAGCTGGGGCCTTTGAATGAGTATGAGAGGTATAAATATTGCAAATATGAACTTAACTTACAGAGCATTCTGGTTACTTTCACCGGATCAGTTTAGTGACTGCTTGAGGCTTGTCGGCAGGGCCGGACTGGAGAAGGCAAAGAAAGAGCTGCAAGAAAGCATTCAGAAGGGAATCTCCTTCATCAAGAAATAGAAACTACATCATCAAGAACAATCCTTTACATGCTGTCTGATCTCTCTAGCTGCTGTATGCAGAGATTATGTGAAACTAGTTACCTGTCATGTGTATAATTTATAGTATATGACTGAAATATATATACAGGTTATAAAGTGGCAGCAAGATTGATAGCCAATGAGTATTCTATACCAGTCAGCTATCTAGCATTGCATATATTCATTGCCAAGCAAATATCATATGCACCCTTTGCTCCAAGAAAAATTTATGAGGACACAACAGAATGTACTATTTAAAACTACACAAACATATGGTTTATAACATTAAATGCCCATTAAAGTCTGAGAAAAACTGTAAATATGGGAAGCTAAAGCCAATAAGGAATAAAGCAAAAGAGAAGGAAGGGATAGCTGTACAGGAGGTTGATTCATGGCAGGTTAAATGTTGGCCTACTAGAGTTTCACAGCGTAAAGGAGGTTGCAGTCTCCTTAAACTTGCGTTGTAACAGGTATTCCGAGTCAATTTCATCCAGGACCTCATTTTTCACAAATGGATCTTTATACTTCACAGGATCAACCTCTCCAACAGCTAAGGGTACAAGCATGTCTCCGTCGACTGTAGTGAAAATCTCAAAGTATCTTCTGATGTATTCTGGCTTTGTTCTCCACTCATGAATTTTCCACTCGGGATCCCATACTCTAACCTTTCTCCTGATCCCAAAGTTCATCTTTACCATGGTGTGAGCAGAGACGTCCGCCTTTAGAAGCTTGAAAGAGCCGAACTCGTTTGCTTTGGAACCAAGAACAGAGAAAAGCAACTTCTCAAAAGCAAGCAAGGTAGAGTTTGAACCAGTGATAGAAACGGCAGGCCAGAATGTGCCAAACAAATCACTGTGATTCAATGGCCTCTTAAGATCAACACCTGATACAGATTCGATATCCACGGGCCTCTTGTTTGATTTAGAGGATAATTCAACCAGACCAGGGGCAAGCTGCTTAACCTCAACATTACCTGTGGATGCAAGGGATGATGGACTGACTATGCTTAGGGAAAGAAGAGGACCTCCATGTGAGCTGCAATTTTCTTGAAGATGCTTTCCAAGATATAAAATGCTCGAAGCGAAGCCACTATGCTTTGGGGTCATTGGGAGTGGTAACTCAACTGGATGGCGCAGACTAACTGATAACGCATCTTTAATGGTGACAACGACACCATTATCTGCTAAGATCACTTTCTTCAGCTCACCGGCATCAACATCATCCTACAGCAACAAAACACATAAACATATAAGCAAAGATACTTGAAAATTTTCGATTGCCAGAATTATGAACATGTAATAGAATAAAATCCTTTGAATCGTTACATAATCTACATAATAACGTGAAGCATCCATCATATTACATGAATATGTTGATCACAAACATATATCAAAATTAAAGAGGATACAACTATATACCTATGCAACATATGGATACTAAAGAACAGAAGTAATATGTCACTTACAGGAAAAGATATCTTCATATCCTTGGCATCCTGAATCCATAGCTCTGTCGGTCCGGCCAATTGAAATTGCGCGAGCACAGCCATCTCACTATCATCACCAAGTCTCTGAATCGTCTGATATCCTGAAGATTCAGTTTTCTCCATTCGGAAAATAGGCAAATCCACGTACTTCCAACTAAATGCATCCTTCAACACCTTCAGTGGAAAAACTAATCCATCATCAATCTGTACATGGAATTCGTACGTCACTGTTTCCCCCACCACAGCATCCCTCACATCGAATCCAAATACCTCCAAATCATCGCTTTTCAACCCTAAGCTCTTCACGACATTAACCTTCAGTTCCTGCAACGAGTATAAAGATTAAAAAACTCCAAATAAACGTTAATCACGCAAACCATAATATTAATAATAAGAAGAAACTGAAACCCAAGAAGTTACCGAAACAGCTTTAGGATATGCAGGAACATCAAACTCCTGTGTTTGTGCAGAAATCAAAACTCCAATGAAAACGAAACTAAACGCGGCGCCCAGAGCATTCGATCTCATCCTCGAATCCATACAATGATTAAGCAGAGAATCTACGACTCGGAGTTGAGTTGAGTTATCGAAAGCAACACAGAAAATCTGATCGTCGTTTTACATGCAGAGTATGGCGGTCGAACAAATCCACATACATATATATACAGCCAGATATATATATACACGCGAATATGAATCTGGTAACGGGATGCTGACGTGGAGGCGATTGGCCAATAAGAATCAAGGAAAGATACGGCGGGAATACTTCATGGTGCCACGTAGGACCGCATATTTCGGGCCGATATTTCAAACGGTTTATGGGCTGGGCTTTAACTGAGCTGAAATAATCATCGATTATGATTTTCGTAGGACCCTTAAATTAAATGTTCCATGTGACATGAACCGTTAGAAGTTCGGTTTCGGCTCCGGCTCCGGCTCCGCTTAACCACGGTCCGGTTTAAAACCGGAACCGCCTCCGGTTCGAAAACGACGAACTACCGGTCTGGACCGGCGGTTCAAAACCAAATGTGCAAGCCTACCAAAGGCTCTGCCTATCTGTCTATATGATTCTTCGTTCAGGAAAATCGCGTCTGCATATCATCAATGGCAGCAGCGTCTACGACGGCGACGCCGCTAGAGCTCCGGCCGTTGGGTAATACGGGGCTGAAGCTCAGTTGTGTGGGCTTTGGTGCCTCTCCTCTCGGTAATGTATTCAAAGTCATCTCAGAATCCGACGCCATCGCCACCGTCCGCCGAGCTTTCACCCTCGGAATCAACTTCTTCGACACCTCTCCGTAAATCATTCTCCTCCTGATTGAATTTTTCCATAAAAAACAAAATTCCGAGCTATCGTTATGCTTCGACGTAGTGGTGTGCCTTAATCGGTCGAATTCATTTCATCCTCGGATATTTTCGTGCTTCTTTCGATTGATTTTAAACGGTTATTATTACGCAGCTGCTTTGCTCATTTCTGATTGTTTCTGCATGAGTATGCATTCATTTACGTTGATCTCAATTCGTGCAGTGGAGTTCATCAAATTGTGTGCCACTAATAGTTTAGGGTTCTGATTGTTTTAAAATTAACGACATTTGCCAGTGGCATTTGAAGTGAATCAGAACGTAATTTGATTTTGTATGGAGTTTTAGGTATTATGGAGGAACATTATCAGAGAAGGTGCTGGGAAAAGCACTGAAGGCTTTGGAAGTGCCTAGAACTGAGTACATTGTATCTACAAAGTGTGGAAGGTACAAAGAGGGTTTTGATTTTAGTGCTGAGAGGGTGACAAGGAGCATTGATGAGAGCCTGGAAAGATTGCAGCTTGATTATGTAGATATCCTGCATTGTCACGATATTGAATTCGGCTCCCTCGACCAGGTTCCAATTTATGCTTAAATTGCCTGCTTCTTTATCTGAAAGGTCCCTACATAATAGTATGAACTTGTTGCTGATGATTCTCTCTCTCTGTGTGTTAGAGGAATACTAAATAGCTATACAATGTGTGTGTGTATATATATATATATAATATATATGTTTTGATGATTTTAATTTGAATGTGGTAATGATCAAAATTTGAATTGTGGACATTTATGCTTAAGTTGCCGGCTTCTTTATCTGAAAGGTAACTAGCAAATAGTATGAACTTGTTGCAGATGATTCTGAATGTGTGTGTTAGAGGAATAATGAATAGTTATAGATTGTATGTATATATATATATATGTGCATATTGATGTTATATTGATTCGAATTTGAAAGGAGTAGTGATTAAATTTTGAAATTTAGACATGCAAATTATAAGGGTTCCTAAATCACTCCAAAAATGCATCCAAACACCTATATCTAAGTCCAGTCTGATACTACTGTATTCTTCCAAAAGCGTCGACACTAAACTTCCGTTCAGACTGATAGTTTTGGAGTTTTGAAACATTTGAAAATAGTAAAAAGTTAATATTTGATATGATGTTTGTTATAGAAAAAAATGTATTTAATGGGAAGGCTTTTGAAAAAATTAATAAATAGTACTATAAAAGTTTCTGTTTAAACAGATCGTCAGCATTTCATAGTTTTGATCGATAACTTAACATTGTAGATACAAGATTTGTTTTCCCCTTTCAGATTGTGAATGAAACAATCCCAGCTCTTATCAAACTAAAGAAAGCCGGAAAAACAAGATTCATCGGTATTACAGGGCTTCCATTGGGAATATTCAGTTATGTCCTCGACAGAGTGCCACCAGGAACAGTCGACGTAATTTTATCATATTGCCACTACAGCATCAACGACACGACCTTGGAGGATATACTGCCTTACTTGAAGACCAAAGGTGTTGGTATAATCAGCGCATCTCCTTTAGCAATGGGTCTCCTCACTGAATCTGGCCCCCCCGAGTGGCACCCAGCTCCCTCCGAACTCAAGGTTACTTTCCAATGTTACACAGAAATTCAACACTTACTTTTATAGCAATTTTTATTGCATCGTGGGCTAATCTTGCTCGAATCGTATAGGTTGCCTGCAAAGCTGCAGCTGCTTATTGCAAAGATAAAGGGAAGAGCCTCCCAAAGCTGGCGATGCAGTACAGCTTATCGAACAAAAGTATTTCGACTGTTCTTGTTGGGATGAACTCTGTTGATCAGGTTTTCCACCGATCTCCCATGTTCTTGATTATGCCAACTACAGCTGTTTTTATAAAGTTCGTAAATTCGCGCTAACCCGATTTACGAGCACCGTGTTTAGGTTGATGAAAATGTCGAGGCTGCGACAGAGCTGGCGACGAGCGGGATGGATGAGAAAACGGTGGCGGAGATCCAAGGCATTTTGGAGCCCGTGAAGAATGTGAGTTGGGCGAGCGGCGTGCAGCAGAGTTGAGGTATGTTCGGAGTTTTTAGTTGAAACCTTTCGGTTGGCCCTTGTGCATATATTTCTTATCTATTTCTCAATTATGTTTGCTGTGGTTTCATCTTTTTGCTGTGATTCTCCTGATCTCATTTCAATGAGTATGATACATTTTTAGTTCAATTCAAAAGGGGCATTAGTTGCATGTTTTTGTGTTGTTTGTGGCTGTGTGTTTATAGTCTTTTGATCATTTTTCAAGTTTGTATTGTTTTTTTCCATGCATAATGTGGAATTAGACAAAATAAATTAATGAATAATTTTTTATATTTTCTTCCTCTAGAATAATTTACCTATAGTTAAATCTATTAACAAAAGTTTACTATGTACTTGACTTGGATTTTATATAAAGACTGGTAATTAAAACTAGATACTACAAGGATGGATTTATATAGATAATTATAATTAGATACTACAAGGATGGATTTATACAGATTTTGTTGGACTTTCACCGGCAAGTAGAAGATTTGATTTATTGAAAGATTTTTTTTTTTTTTTTTTTAACGCTAGTATTTTTTATATCAGATAAGAAGAATATATAAATATTAAATTTATAATTCGTTTTGGATAAACATCTTAATTTTTTATAAAATCAATTGTTATATATTTATTGACATCAAATTATTCAATAATAATAATTAAATAATATAAAGTTTATAATTTTTTATTGGATTCTTTTAGTGTTTTAATTTATTTGTTTAGAACAAAAGAATTAGTTAGTACTACTTAAGCAATTGTGTGTAAAATATTTATTTTTTATTATTTTTTAGATATTCTGAGTAAAAAAATACAGATTTTTTATCCAAAAATATGTATTAAAATGATAAAAATGGAGAAAGTCAACATATTCTTCGAATTTGTTTGGCTTTAATTTAAAATTACAATAATAATTTAAATTTAAATTTAAAATAATATTTTAATAACATATTATAAAATAAAACAAACTATTTTAATTAAAAATTATCCAAATTAACAATAATTTTTTTTATTTAGAATAAAAACAAAACACACCAATTATTTGTATCTTGTAAGTCCGTCTATATATATATATAAATAATTATAATAAAAACAAGGAACCCAATTGGGTGGGGCAAATTTCTTGCACCTACACCCATCCCGACCACCAACGACACGGGTCTAGATTGGATTGAGTCTGTTTATCTGGATCAATTTTTTTCAAATTTTAATATTTGGACTAAGTGTTTCTTTTTTCTTTCAAAACATCCTATCAAACTGTTATTTTAATATTAAATCCAAACTAAATTTTCTCAAACTCAACAAAAAGAAACGCGTCCAAATTAACATTTCTACCCACTAAATCTATTCATGCTCTGCAAGTATAAAATGGACAGTACATGTCTTTATATTCATGCTCTGTGTATATATATATACACTGTCGTTTTGAATTGATTATACACAATAAAAGAGCACAGACAATATTCACATAAGACATCGTGTCACAAACATGGAAGTACTTCTTCACTAACATCGATTATATTGTCTTGTACACACATCATGATATATTTGCACCCTTCTATAAAGAACAAGTTATTTAGCATATATGATCAATAGAATAAAAATAAATTATGTAACAAGATTTTCCATAAAAGGGTGTAAATATATATATGATAAATACACTACCTGGAAACCTGCTGCAGAGGAGGCCAAGCAATCTCGTTGTCGTCGTTGTGTCCGTGTATAAGGAAATCAGAGCAGTTCTTCCAGCAGCCATGGTTATACGGGTTTCGAAACCTCCCATCCGGGCCATGAAGATAACTGTAACGTGCTCTGTTTGCCACTTCATTTGTGGTGATATTTTTAGCAATCTACGAAAAATAAAAATAATTAAAAGTAAAACCATTTACATATTGACAGTAACAGAAGAATGAATGGTCCTGTTGAATAGTAAGCAAATAAAACATTAGGCAAGTTACAGATATGGTCTTCCCTATGAGCAAAAGCTAAATTGCATGTATAGCTAGCATTCGTTGATGGTGGTTTTGAAAATTTGATCCAATGATTAATTCATATTTAATTCTGCAGGAATCAAAGAAAGAATAAAAGAAGACAGACGTAGAAAAGGGGGTGGGAAATACTATACCTGCATTGTTTGTACTGATAATAATGTTCCTGCAGCAATCAAGATAGCCGTATCCATAATCAGGAAGGCAACGATGCCGGGATAGTTGAAGAACACATAGTGAGCCCATGTTTCTCCAGCTGGCCAGACGGGAACAGATGTCCAAATCCCTGTTGCAAACACCACTTATGATTTCATCCATAGTTTCCAAAATCAGTTGTGAATGTTTGGGACTTGATTTGATTTATTCCAGTAAAAGTGAAAAAAACAAACAAGGATATAAGGATAGTTTCAATGTTGTAATGCTTAATACTCAAGCTAAATTTTATGTAAAAACTCATCATGTAGAGATCGATCACCCGCAAGAAACATAATCAGATCATCAAGTTATTTCAATGCAGAAAATGAAAATTGGAACAAATGAAAGACTTTCGGGCAGTTAATAGAATTACTAAAATTGTTGTGCACACACTGGAGCTTTAAAAGAAAAATTAAAATTAAACTCGAGCATAACTAAGAATTAATAAAAGTGAATGTGATTGGACGTACTATGTAGAGCGACTAGCAGCCCAACTAATGCTGTTAAAGTCCCCAGGCAAAGGAAAATAACAAAATCCCGCTTATTCCTCTGCAAAATTAGAGATGAACACAGCACTGAGTGATAGGAAAGGAAATATTAAACTTCGCAAAATAAAAATCCACGGAAAAAATGAGTATTTCAATCCCAAGCATAGTGCCTAGCAAGTTATGGGAACTATAAAATATTATTAATTTCAACAAAATTCAAACATGTAACTAAGAGAATATACCTTCCCCACACAATTTGAGATCCACGGGCAGTGGTGATCAAACTGGTCTACACAGCGTTGACATGTAGCACAGTGCTTTGAGCGAATAGGTCTTACAATCTAATAGGAGATGCAACACATATGGAAGAAAAAGATTAGACCGATGAAACAACAATGCACAATAGGTATTATTTCCACAGTTATACTTCTGTTTTAATACAGTGATGCAAAAAGCAGAGACGAACAAACCTTGCAAGTAGGGCAAAGTTGAGACCAGTTTCCACTCCAAATAGAATTGCTATTCAAATCAATGCCCAATAAAGGGTCCTGCATGATGATTGATGATATAAGTAATAACTATCAAATAGGAAAAAGCTACATGAGCAGGAAATTCAATGGTAAAAATCAAGCTGCAACTAGATACGAAAAAGGAAATTAATACCTCTGCATCAAGATGCATACCCGCCCGAGTTTCTATATAACCTGGATCTTTGCTGCAGTAAAGCAAGAGAGAAAAGCATGACCAAATGATGGCAAAGAACATTTTTAATGGAACAATACAAGGCTACATCCTGAACAAAGAAGAAGGAAATAATTAAAATTGCTTCTCACAAGACAATCTTTTTTTTTTGATATTACATTAGCATTTACTTCAGTTTTAAAAATATAAATATTGCATTATGTGAAATTGAATTTCCTTCAAAATAGTCCACAATGCCATTTTAATTTAAGTATTATAAGCAAGAATATATCACTATCATTGCTCCAAATATTATAAGTATACACCAAACTGCTCCTAGAAATCTATGTTCATCTGTATTTAAAGAGACTTAGTTGTGTAATGTTGATTTGTTACAGTGGAATCTACCTACTGCAGCGGACAAACATGATCAAGGCACAGACTGCCAGAGAAACACCCGTCCATCCCCAAAGTCCAACAGTAGCAGTAACCTTTGTTAGATCAGGAGCTAAAACAAGAAAGAATAACACTTAGCTGTGTAGATTGAGGACAAACTAAAATGCAAAAGCATAACTTACCAAATAGGACACAGTTAATGAAGAGGATGACATTAATAACCACTAACGAAAAAAGAACGGGGGCATAACCAGCCTTCCCACCACATCCAGAGCATATCCTGTCCTTCCAGTGCTTGCTCTGCGAACGCAATGCACTTGACTGCATAGAATAAGATGATTATTGTCAAAAGGCCTTGTAATGAGAGATACCAAAAATACTCCAGAAAGCTAAGGAAGCAACAACTAATATGATCATCGGAGGACATATAAAAGGGAATCACTGCAACTAATCACAATACAATCTTCCTTTGTAAGTAATGAGCATCCAGAATAAATTCGATCAACATCATAATGATCAAATTGAAGTTCTTCAGTATGATCCAATTTGTCCCATCATATTATATCATCCATTACTTCTCCGCATGGAAATTTAAACTGCATTCCAAAGAGCCATTGATCCAAGTTGGAGTTGTGTGACCAATGTACTACTAGTTTGAACCAAATAAAAGCAGAAGAAATAGAATATTGATTAGTCGCACACGAAAGCTTGAAATCCGCATCTATCAATCAGCTTCAAGCTCATATTCACATCCAGCTCAGTCTCATCATTATCAGGACCACCTTAGCAATTAATTCAAACACCTCTCTTGAAATCGAAACATCCTTTTAAACCCTATGATCCTCCAGCACATTTAGAAACAGAGTAGTTATATTATGACAATTACATTAAGTGTGCCGTATTACTAGTTAAAAACAAAATGGAAGACCTTAGAGCATGGATAGACAATAGTATTATATTTGTGCCAACCAAGACACATTATGTAATTGAATCAAGAATAATTACCAATAAAGTCACATACAAGGAAAAGAGCGATATGCCGATGACCTTTATCAGAAGCTAGTTCCACTGGAGTATATCCTGCTTTATCTTTCACTGTTAATTCCGCCTTTGATCCTGAATGTGCAAGCACCATGCATGCCTCCACATTTCCTCTCAGCGCAGCCCAATGCAATGGTGTACAGCCTAGACAAAAAGATAAATCACATGAATGCACTTGAAATTAGATAATCCAATATTCAAATTAGCATAAATACAACAACCTAATCACTTACGGCTTCATAAGCACACTCCATGTAACAACAATGATCACAATTAAATATACCTCTCTGGTCAAGGGAAAACTAGAAGGGCGCATCATTTATGACTAAACTATCAAAAAACTCATGGAAACTGAGTTGGTAAAGTTGAGACACTAGAAATATTGTAGAGGCAGAAAAATTTTAAGGCATTATTTGTATGTACTAAATTCCATTAAGCCTGTTTGGTAATGAAAAATTAGTTGAACTTCTTCCGAATGGAATGTGTCATATAAAGCCCACAAAATAAGTGATTTGTAAATGACTTAGTGTTTGTTTACTTGTGTTTTCTTGTACCTGATTTTTAATATTAAATCTCACAAATTTACTCCAAAAGCATCACATACAAATACAATTGAAAAATCCTTGTGCAGAAAATTCATGAACAAAAGCTGATAGAAACCAACCTCAACAAGGTAAGCTGATAAAGAGGGAAATAATTAATGAAATCATTGACAAGAAAACTGATTTCAAGTTACCCTTTGAAATTTAGGTATGTATCTTGCTAAAATGTAATAAATATCTATGTTTTAACAAAAATCTTCCACCTCTAGGGAAGGTAATGTTGAATAAAGTAAATATATATGCACACTTGGTCTTACTTCGGGTCATAGAATAGAAAAAAGAAACATGCACCTAGAGTAACGTCCAATTACATTGGTCTTACTTCGGGTAATAGAATAGAAAAAAAGAAACACTAAAATTAAAAAATAAAAATACAAAAGAAAATAGAAGAAAAAGATACCTTCCTTATCTTGTTTTCCCTGGGAAGCATCTCTAAACAAAAGCAATCTTATAGTGTCAGCAAACCCCTTATAGGCAGCCCTACTCAGAAAAGAGAGAAAAGTCATGCCCTCTACTTGGGATTGCATAGATTAATGCATTCATGTACAAAAAAACATTAGTGAAACTAGATATCTGCCAAAGGAATAAATTTTGAAGAGTTAACTTCTTTCATGATGGATCACTAAATGTTGGAAACTAGAATAAGAGATTACAATTGAGCTCAATAGGGTAACACTTCTCCGTAGAGCTGATTACAATGATAAACAGGAAACAAATCAAACCATAATATAATTAACTAGAATCACAACTCTGTATACAAAATAAACTACTGCTTCGTGAATACCAAATTGTAACTTTATATAAAATATACATATTTTGCAACAGTTGAGGAAGTTTCAAAATTCAAAAGCACAGACATCGAAGCTCATCTTACTAAGAACTACAAGAATAATGACAGACAGGAGTAAACTGAATACAGGCAAGAACATCACATTAGATTGCCAGAAGGTTCAAACCGAACTATTCAAATATGCAATTTTATCAGAAAGAAAATAATTCACAAAGACGCAAACATTTATATATTCAAGACAAATAGGAAGCTAATACAATGCATACATACCAGTGTAAAGGGGTCCTTCCATCATTATCAGGTACATCAAAATCAGCATTATACTTAGCTACAATGTAATTCAGGAATGTTGTTTGTCCATATTGTGCAGCAACATGGACTGCCTGCAGTCAAATAAAGCAACGAGTTCAATATAGTTTTGCAGTCACAAAAAATAATACCCGTCTTGCTTCAGTGAATCCACATGAAGAATCATAGAGACAATTATATCATAAACCATTTATCAAATAAACTATATAGGTAAGTAGGATACTCTTCAAGACAGAATTTGATCCCATTAAATTCTTTCATCATAATACCCTGACTTTCTACAGACAACATACAATGATAAATACCTATTATAGCACTATTATTGCACATCTAAATCTACAATGCTTGTGTCAGATACAATTTTTTACCGTGTAGAAAAATATGTACAAATACTATACTTAGATAACTCAACCCTCAAGACATCTTATTATAATGCATATATAACTCAACACTTCCTCTCCTTCCTATTCCCTCATATTGTTTTCTATGCATTCTTTCTAATCAATAAAATTACTTTACTCTCCAAAACAATATATATAGCTCAATACTTGTAACTACCATAGGATTTTCTGATAAAATGACGCCCTTTCCATATCCATTCCATGGAAACGTACCTCTTTCCTTTTTATTGTTATAAAATTCCATTAATGCCAACCTCCTGGATTTGGATTTGAAAGAGAAATTTTAATTATAAATAATGACATAGCACGTTGATTTTTCCTGGTTATCAGAGTCTTACCAGATGCATTAAGCCAGTACAGTATCGTAAGGACTGCCATTTTCTCGTTTTCTTTAAACATGGTTTGTCCAAGTGTTCAAGTTTTTATCAAACATTCCAATTAAACTACACCAATGAGCATACAAATACATTCCCTACAAATAATGCATGTAAATTATTCCATAGATGCATGTATCACATTAATTATTTGATTGGCTGTGCCAGTACTCAGCTGAGAGAGCAAGTGCCAATGCTATAAATCACACGTATGGAATATGGAAGCGAACACGCAAAGTTTATTGACATTTCAGATGGATAACAGCATGGGATCAGATTTTGCCAATTCATTTATAATTTTCTACATTAAGTAAGTGGGACCAATCTGCAGGAAGAACCAACCATCAGTTCTCATTTAAGTAAGAACATGAACACAAGAATGGTATTGAAAAGAATCCTTGGCTAAAACTTAAATTCCCAGCATAATAAATGTCCTTAATTACCCTGTATCCATTAACATCAGCAGCCTCAACGCGTGCCCCATTCTGCAGCAACACATCCGCGGCTGCAATTGACCCTCGAACTGCAGTCCAATGCAATGCCATCTGCCCAGAATTATCTCTTGCATTCACGTCTCCACCATGCTTCCAGGATGAAAATTCAAGCATGAATAACCAAGTCATAATCAAAATTCTACTGATTCTGGCACGAAACAACTATTTAACATCTAAATAATTTACTTCAATTATGTACTGAACAATGTCGGCAAAATTATTAAGGGCAGCCCACTGTAGAGCGTAATATCCGCCGCCATCCGTTTTGGTGAGGGAATCTCTGTCGTGTTCGACAAACTTCCTGAGCTTCTCGAAGTCCCCGTAGGCCGACGCCGAGTAAACGTCGACGATGCGAACTTCGTTGACGCCTCCATTTGGGGGCTTCTGCTCGCTCGAATCCGACACGATTTCGATTTCCGACGAAGCCATTCGTGGCTGATTGAAAAATAATTGAATCCAAATTCCGCGAAACAATCTTTTTTGAGGGTTTAGGGTTTTGCTCCAAGGCTCAATTTGGGAACATTTGTGGAGCCTGTGAGCAGAATACCTCAGAGAGGAAGGGGGGGCGCGCTACGACGAGGGCTTTTTCGTCATTTCGTATATAGAGAAATTAATGAACTCCCTGGACCTCAGAACCCAGATACATCCACACCATTGACAGTTTGACATCTACACAGTTCATCCATCTGGCGTGGAGCTTCCAGGATCTTCTCATTTCTAATAATTGATCACGTCAGCTTCCAACCAATATTCGGCTTAAGTTACGAATATATATGTTCGACGTTTGGTGTAACGCGCATGATACAATTTTAAATTGAAATTAAAAAAAATAAAAAAAAATAATATTATAACAGATATTTTTTTAAAGATTTGAAATTTTTAAATTTTGAAAAAATATATATATTTTACTTGATATTTTGTAAAAAAAATAATATGTTACTAAATATTTATTTGGAGAAGATATTTAAAATATTTTGCAATATTTATTTGCATGTACACTTGCATTATTAAATACTCCATCCGTCCAGGAAATATGGGACTATTAATGTATATACGATAATTTTAGGTAAAGTATAATTAGTAAATAATTAAGAAGTGTATTAGTAAAAATAATTATTATTTAGTAAAAATAATTATAAATTAAGATGAGTAAATAGTTTAATTAAAATTAAAAAAATTATAAATTTTAAATTTTAAAATGCGATTAAAGTGCATAATTATATTTCCAAAAAAAATAGAAAGAACGAAGGGAATATTTATTTACAATTACCATCGACTTTGAATGTAATAAATATTTTGTGTTTACCTATAGAAATTTTCATTAATATTATGGGTTTGTGTTTACTCCCCAATTATGTCCTCTTATAGATTCAAAATCGAAACTTTCTACAGCCGATAATTTTTGCAATTTTGTAGTGAGTCTGACACCTTTGATTTTTTTATTTTTTTTAATAAACACAATTTATGAATACTTTTGCATTGCCATGCATTTTAATAAAATATATACAATATATATGTCATTCTATAAGAATATTATTTATATAATATAATCAAATAAATAGAATATAAATATTTTTTTATAATTAACACAAATTCATACTCAGCTTATACTAATTTTAATCCATAAACTTAATTTAATATACATTTTATATCATTATTATTCTATCTATCAAATCAATACACATAAAAAAATCTCAAATTCAAACAAAATTTACTGATACAAAGGAACGACAATTTTCCAAAACTATAAAAAAAAAATCAAATTCAAACCAAACTCAAACCAACTCTTCCTAAACTAATACCAATGAAACACACTCATGGTTTCGGAGGCCGCTGGCATCGTTGACCGTTAATTTTTGTCTTTTGTTGTTTCGTCTTTTACTGAACTTCCTAATCCTAATTATTTTTTGGATAGTGAAATTTTGTTATCCAACATGTTTGAATCGTATGGCCTTTCAAGGGGTGGGTGGTGCCAGATCCGGAGGAATTCACCTTCTTATCTCAAGTTTCCGGAACTTCTTTTGACGATGACTGAAATTTCTATTAATTGTGGTTTGCGATTATGTTGTCATGTTTTCATTATGTTCTTAAGGATTTATTATTCGCTTGCATTGTCTCTACTGTAATTCTTGGAGGTATTTATTTTATATATTTTTTAATATGTTTATAATTCCGTCAATTTAAACAATTTTGGCCAAAATTTTGGTGAAGGATTTGGTTGAAATGATGTAAAACTCTTTGTTTGATGAATAGATTGTTTTGTGTTTTTTGTAACCTGTAATTGGAGGTTTGCTATACCAACATCGCAACCACACGTTCAATTAACATAATCATAAATCTCTTTATTCGGTGAAAATTTTATCTAAAAATACAGATCGATCGTCATGAAAAATCATAGTAGAATGACGAAACTTTTGTAGTAATTTACATAAATTCTACTTTTATATTACTCGAAAATAAAATTACAATATAAAAATAATACAGAATTTTCATCTATATGATACAAATGCTTAATGTTTACTGTCTAGACATATTCAAGAACATAAGGTATTTTGTTGTAGTTAAAAACTATACTATAAACAAAAATAACACCAACTTTTACTAGAATTGCTTTAGTGTTGTTTCATGTTGGAAGATTTTATTTTTTATTTTTTATTTTTTATTTTTTTAAGTTTAAAAAGAAAAAAAAAAAATTTAATCATAAATTAATTTCTTAAATATCCCGTGAAATGAAAATTGGTGTGTCACGCTGGGCGGATGCATTTAGAGGAGACTGTCCCACCCCACCCACTCCTATTTTATTTGGGTCCAATTAAGTTTAGTTATAAACCCCCTTTTCATTCCAATATACTAATAGTTTTGTTTTCGTAATAATCGTATCACCGTAAAATTACATTTATTTTTTCATTTTTATTATACAATTGTTATTATTTTTTACACTAATACACTCACAATAAAAAAAAATCTTTTATCCGTACCTTTTACAAATTAGTAATATAATATCAATAATTCTTAAATTCCGTATTTATCACAACTAAGACTATATTTATGGAATTGAGAGAGCATATGTCCTGGGGTTGAGTTGGAGTCTCATTGAACCTGATCTATTTCTATTTCAATTTTTTTTTTTTAATTTAATATCTTACTAATTTTGACAAAGTTAAAATATTAATATTTAATTAATATATTATATTAACACATTTATAATAAATGATACTATAATTCTTACATATTATTCACATTTTTTTCTTTAAACTTTTTGTAAATTTTTTTACTTTTTTTTAATCATATTTTTACGAAAATTATTAATTTTTTAAAATTTCATTTCGACCCCAAATATGCTAAATCATAGGATCTAGAGAATAAAATATAAAATATTTTGTTGGATCTTGATTTAAAATTAAATATTTTATATTAAATTTAAATAATATTTTTATTGCTACTCAATAGTTTAAATAGTACTAACATTTTTCTTTAAAATATGAAATAAAAGTGCATCAAATCCAAATTAATGTTCAACCTGCAATTCATAATTTCAAAATATTATTTCATTTATAAAATATATTATTTCATTTAAAAAATATTATATTAAATATTGTTTTAAAAAAATCAAATTCAAATAAAAACTAAATGTACCCAAAACATAAAACGGAGCAAAACGCTTATGAATCTAACCGTATTTACAATCACATGCAAACTCAACTATGTTATACTGATGACCCCTTTTTTTGTTCAGTACCTCTTAGACGCAGGATTCACTCCAAATTTCTATCATATAAAATTTTATTTTGTATAAAATACAAAATAATATGTATATTGTATACATTTTTATTAATTTATAATGCTAACAATATTTAAAATATCAATAACACTATTTATATAAAAATATAAAATAATACTAATCTACACTACAAAATACCGCATCCTTAAGCAAAATGGTATATGGGGATGGAGAGAGTATAATTTATAGTAACGGAAATTATATATTTATTATTAAAAAGGGTAAATAAATTAAATAAACGAAATAAAATAATATAAAATTTTATAAATCAAAAGGTACGCACAAGCAGCGCTCGCTATTTGTTGTGAGGTTCACGTTTCACATCAGTGCTCAGAAATGGCGGCCACTCGAGTGATAGCATCGGCGAGCAATGTCTTCTCCGGCGGCCTACTCTCCGGGACTTCGTTGAGGGGAAAACCTCGGAGCCTCGGGCTTTGCTTCAAAAGCGGTAGATTGGCTTCGCCGAGAAAGCGGCTGTTCACTTGTGCTGCAATTTACAATCCCCAATTTCAGGTTAAGGAGGAAGGCCAGCCGGAAACTCTTGACTACCGTGTTTTCTTTCTCGATAACAGTGGGAAAAAGGTAGGAAGAAAGTTTGGAATCATTTCGCTTTTGTTTTTATTATGTTTCGGTGATTTTGTTCACCTTCAATCAGAAGCTGCATTACTGCAATGTTTTGGTCAATATCAGTGTATTGTGTAGGTTTCCCTTCAAAATAATGATTCGCTAGTCCGCCTTGCAATAATTCTGAAATTCCAATTGATTTAATACAATATCTATGGTGGTGCTTGGTTGGAACTTGAAAGACAGAGAGAGTGTGAATTTTGTGAAAATAAGTGAAGAATTGATCTAAAATCAGAGTATCGGCGAGAGAGAACTAGATCCTATCTTCTATAGCAATTAGATTGCAGTATGAAATTTCCGAACTAGGAAAAAACTGGACGTGTCCAAAGACAGTGATGAAGAAGATGAACTTAGGTTAATGGTATAATTTCTCTAAATATGCTGTTATCCGTGATGTAAATGGCTGAGCATTATATTCTTGATAATATATATTGAAGCAGATTCACCAGGTGATGTGAATGACTGTATGTTTTGAGCAGGTTTCCCCTTGGCACGACATTCCCCTGCATTCGGGCGATGGCGTGTTCAACTTTGTTGTTGAGATACCCAAAGAATCAAGTGCAAAGATGGAGGTTGCTACAGATGAGGTGTATACTCCAATTAAGCAAGACACGAAGAAGGGAAAACTTAGATACTACCCGTAAGCTCGTCGCCTTCTAATTTCTTAATATTAATCCTAAAACATTTGTTTATTTTCGACAATCCATCTTTTTGTTGCCATTTAGATACAACATTAACTGGAACTATGGATTGCTTCCTCAAACATGGGAAGACCCTACGGCAGCAAATGCTGAGGTTGAGGGGGCATTTGGAGACAATGATCCGGGTGCTATTCCCTTTGCAACATCATTCATTTTCTGTTTTATTTTTATTTTTATTTATTTTTTCTTATAAGGACCGTGCGTAAAATGGGAATAGCTTAACATCTTTTGGAATGTTTATTTGTAGTTGATGTTGTCGAGATCGGTGATAACCAAGCTAAAATTGGGCAAGTGTTGAGGGTGAAACCCCTGGCTGCTTTGGCGATGATTGATGAGGGGGAACTTGACTGGAAAATTGTTGCTATTTCATTGGATGATCCAAGAGCTTCTCTTGTTAATGATGTTGAAGATGTTGAAAAACATTTTCCGGTATGTAATATCATATTTTCAACTCTTCCATTTACCATTGGATTAGTCAATAGTTATCTGCTATTCAATCACATTCTGTTGCTCAGATTAGGAAAATGCATTTGAGATTTGATCAAAATCTGAAAACTTAAAAAGTGCATCACACATACTATTCAGCTGAGGATGGTTTTCATTAAATGGTTGTGTATATCTTAGGATTATGTTTGCTGTTCTCATTATCTGGACAAGAATAATTCTCCATTTAATTTGTTGGTCATTGGAATACTGCTGTGCATCATCTGCTGGAACCCTAGGCCTCGACCATTATCTGTTTTTTCTGCTGTTTATGATGATGTCTTACGAGCCCGTACACTTAAATCCGAATATCATATCTCAATGACAAAATTTACAGTTTCGAGCGCCACAAAAATTCTAATGAGATTTTTGTTGTTAGAGGAAGTGCCCAATCTTCTATCATTGATTGATTTTGCCTTTCTATTATTAGCACACACAAAATTTTGAAAGAAAAATTGTGTAGCGCTAGTTGATGTGCGCGTTTATTACTACCTTATGCGTTTACGCAGCTGTATTTTGAAACAAATCACTGAACCCATTGATGCATTTTTACAGGGGACTCTTACTGCAATTAGGAATTGGTTTAGAGACTACAAAATTCCTGATGGGAAACCTGCTAACAGGTTCGGTCTTGGAAACCAACCGGCGAACAAGGTATTATCATGACTTTGGTACTGCCATTGCATCCATATCTCATGATACCTGTGACATTCAATAATTTTCTGTTAGATTTTTATTCTGAAAATATGTTATTAATTGTTTTGGAAGTAAAAATACAGGAAGATATACCATTATCATGCTTACAGGGTGTAACAATAATAAGCAAAATTTGTCACCTTCTTTGTAAAATTCCCATTATTGTTCAATGTGTTTTGTCTTCTGATTAAGGTTATGAACACAATTCTAACTTCATATCAATTTTCAATGTGGTTTATTTTTTTATGATACAGGATTATGCTCTCAAGGTTATCACCGAAACAAATGAATCCTGGGCAAAGCTTGTGAAAAGATCTACTCCTGCCGGCGAACTTTCCCTTGTGTGACTTATTGTCATTGCACGAGCTGCCCACCGCCTGTAAGAACACCTCTGCTGGCAACTATTGTTACGTGGTTTAATCAAGATTTGATTTAAACTACTCATCTTTGGATAATCTCATCGTGAGAAAGTACTTTGTGCAATGTGAGCTGCTGCCTTTAATCAAGTAATTCTTGAAAGTTACTGTGCTAGAAATTCTTATCCTGTGTAGGATAAATTTGCACAAGAAGAATAAGCATACAATAAAATGACAGGTTTAGAATTTAATATGCAACAATCTGAGCTCATTGCAATACTTTTCACCTCGAACTTTCTGTACATGAATTAGCTTCGGACCAAAAACAAAAGCCCCATTCTTAAAGCAATGCCATATTTATTGACATTCACAGGCAGGCCATTGATATATGTAATCTGAACATGGAAAAGATCCACAGAAAGCTAAATCAAACTATACCAACATACTCAATGCAGTGGAGACAATTTATCTCCCAACAAAACTGGCAAAGACAAAGCAAGTGCTAAAAACATCAACCAGCCAACTAATGCTCAAAGTTAAAGTTTGTTTCGGAAAGATCGTAAGCACAAGATGGATTCTTACGATTTGTATGTACAAGTCGATGGAAGGTCCAAGAACTTTGTCTAATGGATCATCATGTCGTTTCTGTGGTCTTCTCTAAAGGAGTTGTTGGATTTGCAACTATAGACTCGTCTTCGTCGGATCTATCTACACTGTTAAAGAAAATCCCTGCACGAAAGTATAGTGTGTTTACATGTTAAGAGGTCATATGCCAACAAGATTTTAAACACAAAACCCGACTACATTACCTATAAACCAGATTGCAGCAGCGATGAACAGAATAGATGTTAAAATAAGAGCAGTGGCCCTCCAATTATGGATGTGATCCTGCATAATGAGCAGACGAACAAAGCTTTTATCAAAAACGAAGACTAAGAACTTATTGAATCAACTAAGTTTGTAGTAGTCAGTCCATCGTTTCAGCTGTGAAGTTTCCAATAAATTACACAAATTTTCTTAGTCTTTCTTGAAGTATAGTATAGTTTCCACGTATATTTTATGTTTCGTAAAAGCCTACAATCTCCAGGAGACATAAACTATTAACTACGTAGCTAAAAGAACATACCTGGAGAAGCCCAACGAGGGGAGAAGACGGCACATCCCCGAATACGTGGATGCATACAGTTGACATTGCCATCGACAATGGTCTGAGACTAGGCTTAACACAATGAAGGCACACGAAATTTACAGGGGCCTGCAAATTATTGCAAAAGGTAGTATTAACGCAGACAAATTCCTTTAACTTTTTAGGAAGATTACTAAGTAATGTTCCATATTCGACATGATCCAGTGATAGACTTGCTCGCCAATACTTTCCCTTTGCCAAAATTTCATCATGTGTCCTTTTTACAAAGCCGTGAACTCCATATTCGAAAGTGTGATGTCAAAGACAATGATAAAGATGGTACCTGAGTTGCAAATACCAGCAGCTCTCCTATGGCAAACAAGGCCAAAAAGCCATATAGGCCCTTAAGGCAAAAGGCACCAAAGCAGAACACTGCCCCAACCAATGTCGTAAAGGATAGAAGCTACATGAAATGCGTGTGTGTGTACATATACATATATATATATATGAATTAGCATATCAAATTAACAATAGAATGTATTTAAATAGCACGTTAAGTTTGGAAAAAAAAATTAATATCTCCACGTGTTATTCCACAAGAACAAGAAGTTTTACCTTGCTGGAAAAGAGTGTTTGATAAAACTAACTCGAAAATACATAACCCACAAACCCGTCTATTACCTGGCGAAAATTTATTTCCTATTTTCTCTCATATTCTGATTTGTAGAAATTTGGAAAAAAAAAGGAGGTACACAACACATGAATATACTAAGGGTGTGTTTGTTTGGGGGATTGGATTAGATTTCCACTGTTCATCCAATTTTTTCCCTACAAAAACATCAAATCAAACACATATTTTTTATTTTTTATATTATACTAAAAATCAATTTTATATTCAAAACATCACATCAACACCTATTTATATCACATCATACAACTATTCAAATTCAAAATTTTTACTATTCAAATTCCAACTCAAAATCCAAACCCCCAAACAAACACACCCTAAGTAAATGATGGGGTGTATAGGATATTCGATCATACTATTCAATCATTATATTATTGTGAAAAATGAAAAAGGTTCGGAGTAGTCTCACCTTAAAAGCATTCGAGATTGTTGAGGAGACACTATCAAGAACAAAACCACCTATTAGAGAGCCTAATATTCCACAGACTGCTGTAACACCTCCAAACATATAATCTGCATTTTTCTGGGGAGACAATGTCGATGTTAACATTAAAAGAGGTATTTAGATCTTTTAAGGGTCAAAATAATTTTGTTTAGATGTAAATAGTAGACTATAGTTTAACTTTTGAGGAAAGGAGTAAAAAGAAAATATATAATCATCTTCTACACTGCCGTTTCTAAGGGACAAAGAGTTCTTACCATATGGTATATATTGTAGCCTGCTTTAGGGCCCCAATAAGAATAAGCACCTATGACGAAATTGTAGGCAATGTATCCTGCAACAAATATTCACACCAAAAAACACAAAAACAAGAGGATTAATTGTTGGCTCTCGAAACAATGCATGGTCAAAACAATACATCAAGATAGTATTTATGAAAGAAATCTGCTGTGTATAAAATGAAAATTTACTTACCAAGAACATTCACCACGAAAACCTTCTCACGCAATAGAGATTTCAAATCTCTCCAAAATACTCTCAATGGATTCGACCTGAAATTTGCAAAATTCATTCATACTGCTCGAATTTTCATTTGAACTAAAAAATAAGATAGAAGAATTCCTCACCTTGAAGGTTTGGAATTTTCACTTGTGGCCACTTGCCTTTGGGAAATATCACCACCTTCGAGAAATGGTATATGTATACATTCATATAACAAATTGCAAAATTTATGAAAACAATGACAGTTTATTCTAGAACACTAAATTCAGAAGCCAGATACACTTAGGAATGATAATCAGATGGTAGAGGACAGGAACAAGAACAAGATATAAGTGGAAAAAAAGGTATAAGTCAAAAGGCGAAAGTCATAAATTCTTGGATCCGACGTGTTATATATATACTTCCAATTAGAAACAGTATTCGGTGATGATCAAGTGGATTTGCTGAAATCAGATAAATCCAATTAGAAACAGCAACAATTGCTCTGCAAGTAGTTTAGATCAATGAGAGGTACTACCTTGATCTGCAGAGCCATCAGGTCCTACTGTCAATGGTTTTTTCAATCCAGCATTGAACCCTGAATAAAAGTAATACGTTACACAATGTTCAGTGGACAAAATAACATTGAAAGCAGAAGTTAGTCGAAATCGTACCTTTCAAATCCAATGGTTTCATTACAAAGCCTAGAATAACAAAAGGAAGCATAATAAGTGCTTCTACCCTGAACGCCCAACGCCAACCATAGTGAGCCATCTATAAGTACGAATGGTGTCAAAATTCGCTAAAGATACAAACACATGAAGCTAAATGAGAGAATTCTGAGCATTCACTGCTGAAGAAAACAAGAAATACTCATGCCAAATAAGTATTTATTATATATTACGCTGCAACATATTAAACGTAGACTTACCATTCCACCATAAACATACCCCACAGCAACGCCAGTTGGTATGCACATGTAAAAGGCTCCCAGCCACATTGTTCGCTGTTGCAGGGAAGAATGCGTTAAATATGAAATTCAAGTGCAGAATGAAACATAATGGCACAAAAAATTTGAGATGAATTCAATAGAATGGGAACAGAGATGTAGTGTTGCTTAAAACTAATTCCCAGAAGATGACAGTCCTTAAAATGAAGGCATAAACATACTCCCTCTTACAATTTATTCATTAACACAAGTTAGCTCATGATGCTCCTGTTATGGCAGAAATTGTTCATGGTGCTTACATACTGTCAATTCCAGATTAGAACAAAATACCCTCGAATGTATCTAATAGCAAGAGGAAAGTTTGAGAAGATATCGTAAACTACAGAGGTGCTAAACTGCTCATTATTTTAATCCAAAATCCTACACATAAAAGCTTTTTGTATGTACAAACAGAACACCTGAGCAGTCGGGGCATTGTCATCAATGAATGGAGCAGCAAGACTTATGAATGAAGCCTCACCAACACCAACAAACCTATAGAACAGAAACATGCATAAAAATAAGTAAATATATATATATATATATGTACGTTTATTATAAACAGGAAACTGAAGCTCCATAAAAAATGTTGATTCTTTTAATTATACTTACATGCGAGCAATCGCAATGGACCAAAAGTTAAATGAAAAACCACAAATAGCTACTGCAACTGTCCATACTGCCAAACCAACTCCAATTAGCCTAAATGGATTGAAACTGCAGAGTTTATGCGAACATGATAATCAGATGATTTGTTAGTTGAAGGCACAAGCTTTCAAATCTCAAATACAAAAAAACATTAGAAAATTTCATGGATGTCAGGATAACTAGAATCCGGAAATTATCACTATTAGAACTTCACTTAACCATCCGGTCATTGTCTTCATCCATAGGCCCAAGTACCATGGTTGATCAAAACTTCAGTTCTTACTGAACTACTCACTTTTAAATTCCGATAAGTAACTTAATCAGGCACAATTCAAAGCATGTGCTCCAATAATGCCATATAAAACGGGAGCAAGGAGTTATGTTTAACCCCTATATTACTAGAAAATTGAAACTCGATACTCTATTTAGCAAACCTTCAGAAATCCCTCATACTTATTTCATCACTATTCAAATGCAATAATCATCAACCAATCATTTCCGAAAAGTTTGCCTACTTTTTTTAAAACCATCAATGTAATGTACCCATTGGATTTAGTTCCATGAATCATCAAATATTTTATCAAGTGTTATTTAGGACAAATGAGCTGAATCCATCATTTGCATATTTCTAAAAGAACACATTTCTCCTGAATCCACTCATCCATTACTTGAGGCATCGATAGACTATGCTATTAAGTTACAATCTCCAGTTCTTTGGGACCCCAAATATTATTCATACAGAAACAAAGACAATTGTCTGTCACAAGATTCAATAATCAATTACCTCTTAGCTGCAGATGCAAATATAGGAGAGGCCACAAGAAGTCCAACCATAAAAGCAGAAGATACAACACCATCCTCAAAATTAGTCAGATTAAAATTGCCTCTGCAAGAGATAAAATTAGAGCACATTCAAAACTAAATACACAACATATCCGAGCAAGAGCGAAACACTTTTGACAATATCGGGGTTTTCATATGAGTAGCTAAAATCCATCCATCACAGCTAGCAATAGTAAAACTTACTGAATTCCGCTTCCGGGCGAGCATGTACCATTTTTTGAGCATACCCTAGGGCTCCCATTTACACCATTGCTTGCTATAGCTCCTCTGTCGAGGTAATTTATTAGGTTGATGATGCAGAAAATGATAAGCAACCTGCCAATAAAAAAGAAAACAAAATTAACATCTGGAACTTGATGATCAAAATATATATGAAGCAAAGAAAATTTAAAATACAGACAAACAACTAACTGTTCCTTCAAATCTTCAAACCAACTGAATAAGAAAGAGACTGCAGTCAAACCTGAAATCTGGAGTTTTTTTTTTTTTTTTTTTTTTTTTTTTTTTTTTTTCTGAATAAATTTTGTTTGTTTGAAAAAGAAAAGGAAGAGAAAATCTATACATGAGAGTGTAGAAATCTATTGTCCATTTATAAAAATCAAAATTCGAATCACACATCCTAAAAAACGAAAAAAAAATCCAAACACACCACTCTCGTTATGTGCACTCCATCCACAATCAAAACCTACCACAGATTTCTTCAAACGTACAAAATTTTCATTGCCAATGGAACCGAAAGTCAAGATCACACACACGAGCACAAAAAAAAACACACGAACAAAATAAAAAAAACAAAGATTCCTCACCTTTTTGGAGTAAACCAAGTCCGATTGTTGGTGACCGGCGTCGGAGGTTTAGCCATGCTTTTCTCCTTCCAAGGCTCCTCCTCCTCGTCCGCACCATTACGACAATCACCAGATTGATTCAAATTCGGTCCCTTCTCGACCGCCATGAATGAGAAAGTGAAGTATATGCAGCACTAAAAATAGCGCGAATTTACAGCTTTTGACGAGTGGCGACCCTACAAAACGGAACCCTACCCTGCTTTTGGGGTTTTCCTTTCCCACTGGAGTCTGGAGTGCCTTTGCCTTCTTTTTCTTCTCTGCTTTCACCCACCCTCCCTTCCTCCGTAGCCTGCTTATACAGTTATACTCTCCCAAATTGGTAAATTCAGAATTGGTGAGAGTCGTTGCGATCTGTTTGCATGAAAAAATGTACTTCTATTATCCAATCATTATTATAGATTCCATTTGTTCATTCTCCATTATTTGCGAAAAATCCGTCCGTACACATGGAGTATGATTTCTTTCCCATCAACTTTATTTAAAAAAACAAGAACCACATTTATTTAGTTTTAAAAAATGGAATTAGTATTTCATTCACCTTATTGGGCTTCTAGGCCCATCTGATCCAGCCATTTCCATTTCATTCTCCTTAGTGGGGCTTTTTAGGCCCAACTATCTTAAAAAGCAAAAAAGATGATTGTTCAATTGGGCCGGCCCATTTAACTCGTATTGGGCCTGGACAGCATCGACCCGTTATCCTTCCACTGCAGGGAGGGGGAGGTCTTCGCTGCTCTGTGAAGCCAGCCTGGCGCAGTACCCTCCACTCTAAAGCCCACAAGACCCGAGCCTGCGCACGGGCCGCATGAAATAACTCTCTGCTTGGAACGGGCGGGCCGAGAATAGCTGCCCGAGCCCAGCTAAGCAGACAGGCCCAAAGTCCAATCACCCTAGCGCCCCCACTTGGGTCACAAGCTCACGTGACTGAGCTCGGCGTACTCTTATGTCAGTGAGAAGATTTTAAAGTACAAGATTGTGTACTAATTTACCGATGTGGGATATTGTGATAGCAGTAATATGGAATATTGCGATAGTACTCCTCTCGTAGTGTTTAATTAAATTGAAGTATTTAAATATTGAATTATGAAGTATTTCTTGTTTTCTACGCTGCATTCGTTTGTTCTGTTACACTGTATTTTTTTGTTTAAAATAATTTATATCTAAATTTTAATATTATTATTATTTTGAAATATCGTGTTGAAAAACTTGTTTTAATTCCATTTTTTTTCTTTTCTTAATTCTTAAAACACACCTGGGGTTTTTTATTCATTTGTGTTTTTTATATTTATACTCGACAAAAAACAAAACATATATCTACTGAATTTTATTTCGATCTAAAACATTTAAAGATATTAAAAATATCTGAATATTTAAATAAAAAGCACACACTAATTTACCCCCATCATCTCCTTGTTAAAGAAGTCTGGAGTAAATATAAAATAATGAATCTAAGCATATTTCGAGTTTGTTTGATATAAGTTTGTATAATATTGGCTTGATGTTGTGTTTTATCATCACTCTGAAAGCATTTATGTTTTTTCAGCAATGTCACTTAAAACACAAACTACAAAGGTGTGTCATTGTTGTGGGTAGCCATGCTCATGAAAACCAAAACCATACTGCAAATGAAAACAAAAAAAAAAAAAAAAAAAAAAAAGAAAAAGAAATGCAATTGTAACATCTTGGGATTCTTGGCTCACACCAAATAAATTTTTACTTACAAATTCTCCATAAGCTGGATAGACACATAATCCACAGAAATCTTTTTGCTTTTGAGCCCACAAGAAATGTTTATTTATGCATTTTAAATCACAAGGAAAAAAAAGAAAAAAAAAGATTGATCACACTTCATACCTCTCTTCAGTTCATTTCCCTTTCAAGATGTCATAATACTGCAGTGGTTTTTTCTTCTGTGTAACACAAAGTTCCTGAAAATATATATGTATTGTAACCAGAATTACTACGAGATCTGTAATGGCATCTTTCATATCATGCATCGAATTCAAAACTAAATGTTACCTCGACTGCAGCAGCCAAACGCAATATTGTAGCTTCACACCATGGCCGGCCTATGATTTGCAGGCCGATTGGGAGGCCTTGCTTGTCGTATCCCACCTGAATATTGCGAGCAAATGTAGCTTATTAGTTTGATTGCAGTAATAAAATTTAAGGGAAATGGAGAAAGCAACCGAGTTACTTACAGGGACGGATATGGCTGGTAATCCGAGAAGATTTGCAGATACAACAAATCGCATTAAATTTCCTGCGAGGAACAAAAAGTGTAAGTAGAAAAAGCTTCATACTACTTATCCGGGGGCTTTCCACGCGCACTTTGGCTAAAGACTATTACGCATTATTTGCAAATGAGTAATCGGATAGTTAAGAATAGTAACATAGAGGCAACAGTGCTATTTAAACCAGCTTGCAGCTGTAATTCGTTGCTAAAGACTCGTTGCAAAGGAAATAAAAATGGCAGCGACTTTTTGTATATTATCTTGAAAGCAACTAACCGGCAACTTGTAGATCTGTCTCGCCATAACTAAGTGCAGCCGAAGGTATCGGAGGCGCGGTCATCCTGATAGAAGTTCGAGTTATATAAGTGTTACTACCACAGAAATGAGGAATCCATTAAAGAAAAATAGGCATTAACGAAGGTTGTGCATCATACCCTGTGGTTGGAGTCACAATGACGTCTACTTTTTTAAAAATCTCCATATGGTAGTACATGAGCCTTCTCCTGCCGAAAAAATAAGTAAAAAGAATGTTAATACAAGTAACCACCGGCTTACATAACTTGATTTGCAATTTATCTTTCTTATATCGAGAAGGAACACGATTTAAAACTTGCCGAAGGATGGCTTGCACAATTACCTATTCAAAAAGATTTTGATTTACCTTAAACATTGAGCGGCTACGTAGTCTGCTGCTGAAAATGACCTAAAAAGTGCTAGGTTTGTCCTTGTGTCGAGTGTGAATTCCACCCGCTTTCTAAATAAAAAAAAGTTTATTCTTTCAGATTATCAGTTCACGACTTTGCCATTAATATACATTAAATCAAGGTAATTGAACTGACCCATCTTCATAATCTGCACTCAACCCGCTTGCTGATTCAGACCCAATTGAGACAATGTGAGCAGTGCGCATCTCATTAAGCTCTGGTATAACAATCTCTACGGTCTTTTTGCATCAAGAAAACATAAAACTTTTAACTTAATGCCGCAAACATTTGTACTTGAGCATATGCTGCGAAAATTTTAAAAGGCAAAGACATTGTTAACTATGAAAGCATGGGAATGTACCTTGCACCCATGTATTTCTGATAATCTATTGAGAATATCCTCACACTTATCAGAGATTTCGGGGGAGAATACATCATTAAACCACTGTAAACCACATATGACACTGGTTAAAAGATAATTTTTGCATATAAAAATAGGATTTTAATAGATGAGGTCACCTCTGTATACTTCCCCAATTTTAAAGATCCAAGAACATCGGAACTCTGATGTGAATTGAGATTAGGCAAACAAGGGACCGACTGCAAAGATAGAGTAAATTTTACAACCTTATTTATAGTGCCACAATTTTTGACAAATCATTCTGTAGTGTAATTCTTTTAGACATTATAATTGATTAGCTGCAAATGAATAGCCAAATACAAAAGTTTGTACCAAAAGGACAGCTACAATTAGAGATGTATGAGAAGTTTGAAAGTGCTATATCTATAGATGATTACAGGTTTTAAGGCAATCTTATCCTCAGGTGACGATCCCAAAATTGCTGAGTACCTGAAAATTGGTAGGGAGATTAATAGGTAGAGCCCAAGCTTCTTGGAAGATACAAAATTTTAACTATAGAGGAGATCATGAAAAGAGCAAATTCAGGTGTTCATGGAAGAGGGCATTATAATAAAACATGAACGAAGATTAAAAAATCCCAGAATCAGGCATATAATATATAGCAATATCTCATTTTGAAATATCAGCCAGCGAACAGAATATCTTTTGAAAGTCAGTATATAAACTGTTTATGACAAATAAGTGGCGCGCTGGTTTATTAATGTGTTGAGAATTATTCAGATGTTTTCTTTGAACATGACTCAGACATATTTGTAGAATGCTTAAAAAATGAAGCACTTGGTCGTAAAGCACGGTTACTTACACAAGCAAAGCATCCTCAACAGTTGATGCAATGGGTCCAATAATCTCTACTGTACCTGAATCACATAATGCACTGCCAAAGAGATATTAGAGAACAAATAAATGAATATATATTCAATGGGAAGGCCTTCAACTAATATTATATTTAATAATCATCTGATGCAACAACAACTGCACAAAATCACAACAATTATAAACTATCAAATCCTATGAAATGAAAAACCGGGATTGGATTGACATAAATAAATAAATAACCCACAAATAACTACAGTTCATGGATTGAATCCAAATGTTACAATATTCCCTCATATAGTAATATAAAAGCAATACAATGCTTAAAGACATTTCTAGTTTTATACAGATTGGGACATCTGTTTTTCGTGCAAGATTGTATTACTCAAAGCATTAAGAGACAGATTTCTTTAGGAAATAGAGTAAAGAAAAGGTAACTATTTAATGAGCTTACCCACTCATACTTGTCCGACCATATGTCGATTTCAGTCCCACTACACCACATAGAGAGGATGGAATACGAACAGAACCTGCAGTTTAAATTAAGGCTTAATTATAACTGCAATACCAATTTCCTCAACGAGCTTAAGAATATGAGTCTGATTCTTCTACAACCTCCACCGTCTGTTCCTAGAGCAGCTGAGCACAATCCAGAAGCAACAATTGCTGCTGGACCAGAAGAAGATCCACCAGTGTATCTATCCAGAGCATGTGGATTTCTAGTCGTTCTGCATGCATTAATATATGAAAGTTGTTATATATTTTCTTTATATTCTGTATATGCAACAATCATCAGCCTCTATATGTGGTTCAAGTCATATTACGTTACGACCTTTATATATACTAAGGGAGTGTTCTGTGTTCTTTTGTGTTTTTGTTTTGTATTCTGAAGGTGAAGATAGGTGAATCACTTGCTTGACATGATTTTTGTATGAAAAAGACATTGGATGTAATATTTTTGGAAGAAAAATAAAATATTCAATAGTAAAAAAAATTAGAAAAGAAACACAAAAGAACAAACCCTAATTTCTATAATAAATAATGATTTCTTTTCAAACTTCATTTTCCCTCCAACTTGGTAGTTAACAAGATGCTTATAGATAATCCAAACAAGACAGAAAGCACATACAAAGCAAGATCAATCAAAAAGTTACATAGATAGGGAAATTATGAAGTACTGATATAAGGACACTGGAACGGCCATCTCATTTTACCAGCTTTGATAAAAGAAACACAGGTGCCTATATACATATACTTTCATATATAATTTAGTATTTATCCAAAAATAAAATAAAAATAGATGGCTATGTTCAAACCAAGACCTTACTAATAATTCTAGAAAGTGTATGCAGATTCAAGATATGCAATGGCTCAATAAAAGATGTGATAAGATGGAATCTAAAAACAAAATCCATTTCTATCAATGGAAGGTTTAGGGATGTGTCGTAGTAGTGTTATGGTTACCAGTGAATATGCTTCATTCCAAAATTCATTCACAAATTGTCACTGGCTTAACTACAATATCTGAACATGCACGAAGCACAACATTGACATGAACAATTGATCATATACATCCATCAATTAGATAGCCACAATAATATTATCCCTAAATTCAGTACATATTTTAACTAGCAGTTGGGGGATACACAATTATCTAATATCTGTATTCCCGTAGGTGCAGAATTTTATAAAAATAGACGATACTATAATGAATTAATATGGATTCATGCCTGAAATAAATGGACCAACTTCACAAGGTAAAATACGGGATTGGTACATACGTATTAAAACAACCATATATAGAATAACAGGGTCAGGTTCCAGAATTGCAATATAGCTAGTGATTATAAGAAAATCTTTAGATATCAAGCACAACTCCTGAGTAAATTCCTAGCAATATTTTTTGAAGGGAAGTAATGTAGCAAGAAGTGATTTTGAAACAAACGCCAATCCACCATTTAAGCACATCAATCTCATTTGTATAGAGTATGTATGCAGAAGCATACCCATAATTTGGATTATTTCCTGATGTTCCGAGACCCAGTTCATGCATATTTGCCTTTCCAACTAAGATCGCACCACAGGTACGCAACCTTGCAACAGATACTGCATCCTCTTCAATAGGACGAATCTCATGGAAAAAGGTTGTTGCACCTGTTTACCATGAAGAGCTCACAATGCTTCTATCACTACAAAGCATGATCCACATTGCAAATCAAAACAAATTACCTTTTGAGGGATGAGGGTAGCAGTCTATATCATCCTTAATTGCGATAAAAATTCCATCAAGGATTGACAATGGGTTTCCTGCACAACAGAATCGTAAAGAATTAAAAATTGAGCTAACCATTCTAACTACATTGAGGAAAACTGATGCATCCCAAAAACAGAATGACGAACCTTCCTCAAACCTTTGGGTGGAAGCTGCCGCTTGCACTCGTATAAGCTCAGGGTCATAGGTTATCAACAACGGAGTTGGAGGTTTCTTACCTTTGAAGTCATCCATTGCTGAGATGAATCGGTCTGCAACCTTTACAAGAAGATCTATCAAATAAACATTCACAATTAAAAACAGGAACAGATTGCTTGGTATCGGCTTACAATAGATGGGGTTGTAAGTTTAGATCTGTATGCATACGCATAATCTCTAATCTTCCAATAGCGGAAAGGTGAAATAGACTCTGAACTCCAACTCTTAGCAGGGTCATAATCTGGAAGAATCTTCAGTGCCAATTCAACTCTCTCCTCAGCCTTTCCATCCTCATCCAAAACAACAACTTCTGTTTCCGATTCTGAATTCAAAAATATCAATCAGCTGATTGCAACTGGAGTAAATAGAGGCTGCTTCAATAGTCTATTAGAATTGCTCCCCTTCTGTTTTATAATATCAATATCCAGTATCCACAACCTAAGTAATTCCCTTGCTTTCATTGCAAAGCAGCCCAGTGTAAAATCATTATCTAAACTGCACTATTTTTTCGGAAGAAAAAAACCACGGCCGCGCCAGTGGGAGACTAATCAGGTATAATTTTCATCATAATCTCTGACAGTTTCAAATTGTCAAGTGCTAAAATTTGCTACCCTAAATTTGGGGGCTTTCTTCTAAAGTCCATAAAATTAGGAAATAGCTGTGCTCGGTTTGATGCATAAATTTGTTCAATTCACCTGAAATGTGAGAATGACATTGTTATCGCAACCCCCTTTCTCTCTGAGACAAGCTGAAAAACAAAAAAATTGTTCGCAAGCTCAGCTAGGTTCAGCTTGTTTGCACTCATTAAAAGCTCGTTTGCTAAGCTAACGAGCTGAACACGAACATAAATTTTAACTCGCCCGTTATGTCAACAAACAAGCTCAAGTTTGTTCGTAAGGTTTGATAGTATTTGTGAACAAAGTAAATTAATATTTTTACATTTAATAAATATATAGCTTTATAGTATTGTACATAATTCTAATTTTCTTATACAATCTATTAATAAATAAATCCTTATTAATTGAATTTAAATTTAAACAAAATAAAATAAAACATTCTCTTAACAAACCAAACCAAATACAAACAAAATTTTTAGTTTATCTCTTAACAATCGAACACAACCCGAGCCCTCAGTTCTTCTCGTTACAAGCTCAGTCTGAGCTTACTAGAATTGAATCAGTTGTTCGATCACAATAAAAAATTGAAGTATATCACTGATAAAAAGTTTAGATTACTAAGATAAGAGCTGTAAGAGTAAACCTTGTGGAGGAAACTCAGGCTTAAACATCGGAGCCTCTGGTATCGCAGTGTTCCTCAGCATCTGTTCATCGCAAGCAACAATTCAACACTTAATTTTCCAATGACTACACATTTGAATAAAAATCATTTCCAAGTTCAGCTTTTCTTTCAGAGATTCATCAGCTAACCTCAACCATCTTATTCTCGTGTTTCAGATGAGATATAATCAAGGAACCAATTAGAGGAGCTTCGATCAGCTTAACAAATAGCTTAAATACAATTCCAGTCAATTTCGGCGCTGAAACAAAATTGTTGTACCCAATGATTAGAATTCCTCACAAAATTCATCACAATGATCGTAGATTAGCTAACCACACCTTCGATTTTCTCATCCCGATATTTCACCGTCTCCATGTCGACTTCGTCCGCCGGCAGCATCACCTTCTTCTTCCCCATCTTCAGCGCAATAATTAACTAATCCAATCGATCGAACCAAAAACCGCAGCGCAAACTCAATCCAAGTCACGAAAGCTCCACAGAAGCGTGAATCGAATGCTCAGGCCCGCCAATTAATTCGCACTTCCCAACTTTGGAAAACTCGAACAACCAACTGTAAATAGCTAGGTCCCCCAGATTGCTTGGCATTTATCGCCACAACAGCCAACAAATCGGGCCCCGGGGCATCTAATTTCGTTGACGTAAATGCTGACAGAGTAGGTTAGGCAAGAGCAACGATGCGCACCTGGCGCACGATAACCACCCTCCTCGCCACAGGGATGGCCCCATTCGCCATTTCTATTCGCTGTTCAAGCTAGCGGTTTAACTGCCGCCCTTTTGGATGGATGCCGCGTTGACTTTGACTTCCCGTTGGGCCTAGGTTCTGGTTATTTAGCCCGGCCCATTATTCTACTGTTTGGGTTATCGCTTTTACAGTATTTTTTTTTATTGTTATTATTAACTAAAGAGTAAAGACTTTCGTACAATGAACAACTTTCCCAAAATTTATAGCAATGAGAACACCCTTAAGGGTGTGTTTGTCCGAGGGATTTGTTTGGATTTCTACTATTCATCGTATTTTTTCTCCAAAAAAATATCAAATTAAACATATATTTTTTATTTTTTATATTATACTAAAAATCAATTTTACATTCAAAACATCACATCAACACTCACATCACATCGTACAACTATTCAAATTCAAAATTTGTACTATTCAAATCCCAACTCAAAATCCAAACCCTCGAAAACTTATGGCTCTCTTTATATATAGAATTTTGGATTTGTCTTTTTATTTGAAAATTAATTTTTAATTTTATTTTTTTATTTAAACAATATTTTAATACTCCCTCTGTCCCTAAGATTGTCATTTTTTTTTCACTTAAATTTTTGAATAGTAGTATTATAATCAGTCATAGTGAAAAGACAAAAATATCCTTACGAGTATTATGTAATATAAAAGTAATGTTATTTGTGTAATATAGTGTAAGTTTGAAGGGTATTTATTATGTTATATAGATAGTACGATTACTAAATTAGAAAATTGTAATATTGTTTTGAGACGGACTAAAATGATAAATGAGAAGCTTTCGATAGGTTAGATGGAGTATAATTTTTGATAAAAAAAAAAAAAAAATTAATACTACATTTGTCTAGTTCTAAAGGTCACATTTACTTTTTAAGTGTTGATCTTTGAATATTAATTATAATATAAAAATGTTGTACAAATTAAGAAAAAATTACAAAACTACTTTCATTAGTGTATTATAATGGTAACATAAATAAATTTGTATAAAAAATTATACAAATATAATGATATTTTTTATATTAAGTACAATAACATAAATAAAAAGATAAATATGATCCTTAAAGACAGATGGAAGAAATATATATTTTCCTTTTTTTTTAAATCATATTTTACTTGAAAAACAAATTAAACATATTATTACGAATTTTTTTTAAAAAAATAATAATAATTTGGAAATTCGCAGTCGTTACCTGTAAATGCATATTGGATAAACTCCGGTCGAACCTAATACCCTGCCCAACAAAGCAAATACAAGTCAAACCATGTGTGACAGATACAATTAAAGCCAAGTCCTATTATTATGACTTCTTTTTTTTTTTATCGGCCTATTATTATGACTTCTTACATTATTGATAATGTAGTACTATCTTTGACCATCAAAATTATTATTATTATTTTTTTTTTTTTTTGAAAATTTAAAAATAAGTGTAACTAATTTAGGAACAGAGATAATATATTTTAATTTTTTACAAAAAGTTAATATTTGTTACTATGAGAGTATGAATATTATATTAGTTGATAAAAATATCTTTATTTATTAGTATTGTGAATATAAATAATGATATTTGTATAATATATTATAAATTATAAAAATATTTTTTATAATATAATTACTAAATTAAAATAAAAATAGAAAAAATATATTATGTTTTTTTACTAAATAAGTAAATAAACATAATTTATAACTTTTAATTTTAATTAAATTAATTAATTATTTTAATTTTAACTTAATTATTTATATTATATTATAATTAATTTTATTAATACACTAATTATTTACTAATTAGTATATTTTCTAAATTCTCTTGTGAGATTATATTATGGAAGAAATATTATTTTTTGACTAACTTACACAAAATCCATCCGTATTTTTAAAACTGCGTCAAATTTTCTTGTGGTCTAATCCCTTTAGTGGTACGTATTTAACGGTATTTGACCTAAATGCGCTCAAATTGCGAATAAATTTTAGAATCTCAATTTATAAACCCCTAAAATTACAAATATATTTATATATATATATTTACCCTAAAAAAAACAGTAAATATATTCAAAAATAGTTATTTTTCTCAGCTTTTAAAAGTTTATTTTTACTATTTTTTAGGCTAAATATATAAAAAAAAATAAATATATATGTAATTTTAGGGGTTTAGAAATTGAGATTGTAAAATTTATTAGCAATTTGAGCGCATTTAGATCAAATACCGTTAAATAAGGACCGTTGAGGGGGTTAGACGCAAAGTTTATGAAACCACGAGAGAGTTTGACGCAATTTTAAAAGTATGAAAATTTGGTGCAATTTTATGAAACTACATGTAAATTTTGTGCAATTTAACCTTATTTTTTAAATATATTATGGTGTAATGTATTTTGTGCAATTTAATTTTATTTTTTTAATATATTACGGTCTAATGTATTAGTGCAGTGTACGGAAATATGATTACAAGGATGCACGCTGGTCGATTGAGTTTTGAGTCCACTTTTTTTATTATTATTATTTATTATTATTATTATTATTAAGAATAAAATATACTCGTCCACACATTATTATTTTTACATAAAAAATAAAAAATAAAGACAAAAATATTATTAACTATTTATTATAATTAAAATATTATTATTTTTTAAATATCGCGTTAAAAATAAATGTAAACTTTGTAAGTGGTCAGAGGAAGTATTATATATGTTGGCCACCTAATTTCGGGTCCTTAGGTATTGGATCTCTGCTATATATGATTGACATTTCTCATATGGCGCATTTAAAATATGAAAATTTAAATTTTAATATATATCATGCTATACCTCAAAAGTTAAAAAGTTATTTATTTATTTATTTATTTTTAATTGACCTTTCTTTAAGATACAAATCAATCAATGGATTGCGATGTTTTGTCCTTTCGTGTGTGATTTATATCTAAATGTAACAATTGTATAAGTAATACAAAAATAATATTAATAAATATTTATTATTTTTGACAAAAACAAACAAACATTCATTTTTTTAATAGAAGATAATTGACTTAATAATATACAGTACTATCTCTGTCATTTATATTTATGCTCAATTTATTAGCATTTTACAAAGGAAATAAGAACATATTTGCACAGATTTGAATGGCAGAGAAGTAATATATACTAAAAATATATATGAACTATATAAAAATATATAAACAAGTTTAAAATCATAAAATGACAAAATGATTCCATGCCGTCTACAAAATATGACATCTAAACCATATTTAAACAACAAATCAAATAAAAAAATTAAACTTAGAAAAATAATACTTCATTCCGCCTCTATTGGTCAAATTTATCTTGCATCATTATATATAACATTAAAAAAAAAATTATATTTGTTTAATTTTATGTACAAATGTCATTATATTAGTATTATAAAATATTAATTGAAGTATTTTTTGTAATTTTTTCTTAATTTGTACTACACTTCAACGCAAAAAATAAATGAAACTTTTAGAGCCGGACAAAAATAATATATTTAAGTAATTATTTTGTCTTGAAACCTCAAATAATTTATATATATCAAAATAAACTCATAATATGATAAAAATAGTACTCCTCCAGTCCTTTCTTAATTGATATATTTTTTATGTTTGTCTGTCCTATAACAACTAGGCCTTTCTATTATGAGTAAAATTTACAAAATCAAAATATATTTAATAAATATAAATTAATTTAATTAACTATATAACATATAATATCATTAAGGGGACTAATTGAAAATCCTTTTATTTATATATTCTTCTTATAAAATAAATATTTTTATTTTTATCTAAAACACTACTTTCTTTTTAATATAATTAGTTTATATATTAATTATAAATAAATAAACATATTCTTTTATTTACTTATATTATAGAATATTTTGTTTTTTAAAAATAATATTTATATTACATATATATTTTTTACAATATAATTTTTAAGTATTTAAATACATATTCTAATTTTTTTAATCATATATATTAAATTTATTTTTAAATTATTAATATTATTAATTATATACAAATAATAAAATAATATTTTTAATTTACTATTATTAATTAACTAAATATTATTATTTTAAATACCGTAACACTAATGAAATAGTTAATGATTGAATTGAAATGGTTTAATTGATCCGAAACAAAGGGAGTATAATGGGTGAGTTTGTTTTCTGTTTTGGTTTATATATATATATATATATATATTTTCGTGAAGTAGAAAAAATTATATATATAAGTATAAAAATAATAAATTTGTACAATATATTAATTTTTTAAAAATATATATTTTTAAATTTTTAAGTTTTAATTTTTGTTATTTGTAAAGAAACAAACCCATATTCCACTTGCTTCTTGCAATTTGGTAATTGCCTCTGCCTTTGGAAAGAGGGAGAACACTTCCTTCTTAGTAATCGTGTGTATATATATATATATATATAACTTATAATTTGGTGTGGGTTTTGTAGATCTGATGTGGAATTTTGTGGGATGTGAATTTTATTTGTTTATTTTTATTTTTCTATAAAATAATTGTTTGATATTTTATTATATTTTAAATATAAAATTAAAATTTATATGTTATACTTCATCCGCCCTTAAAGGACTTCTTTGATGTTGTGTAATATATTAAAAATAATAATATTTTATTGGTTAGTAAAAAGTGTGTAAGAGATTTTGTCATTGACTTATGTAATGGTATAATTGTAATTTAAGTAAAAATTAAAAATATCTTAATATTAATATATACTTATTATTTATAAAATAGAAAATAAATACTTGGAGCATACAAAAATGATAGAAAAAATATTTTGAATTAAAATGATGAAAAATATCTGTTAAAAAATAAAAATAAAATAAAAATAATAAAATTATAATCAAAATCTTACAAGTTACAAAGAAAACACAACCTACACTCTCTTCTTCTTCTTTTTTTATTAAAATTTTTATGAGGGCTTTACCACTTAATAAATATTATTCCATCAATCCCAAAAGTATAG